TAAACACAAAAGCTTTCCAATATATTATAAAATAATGATAAAGTGATAGAATATATATAATAAAGTATAGAATGCGAAATATGGTTTAACATCTTTAACGCACGGAGTTTGGAAAGTGAATAAAATGATACCTCGACCGATACATTCATTTTTTACTTCAGTGAGTAAATGATTCCGAGTAACATACTCTTTGCCATCAGTTGTGAACAGAATATCGATAGTTTTTGATTTGATTAACATCGATATCAGCTCCACACAATTATTCTCTGATAGTCTAAAAAGAAATAATGGGTGTTTAATAATAGCATAGAGAATGCATTGCTTTCCTTTTTTCTCGAATGAATTTCGAAAAAAAAAATAAAGAACTTACTTTTTCGAGCCTTCTGCCAGCTGTATTCGCTGAAAATCAGCTGCCAAACGTTGTATATCTGCCCATGTTGCGCTCATTGTCGCAACTGGAATGAATAAAATGTTTCTTTGGAAGTACATACAAAATCTTACCGACGAAAATGAATTTCGGTTAGGCATGAAGAAAAAACCGCCATTTTACAACCATTTAAAAAATCTTGAATAGCTTATGACCCTGCTCGTAAAAATGAAAAAAGGATCGCAAAAAAATGACATAGCTCAACACTTGATTCCCAAGGCATAATTAAACTCAAATACTAATAGTACTAGATCCCTGAAACTTAAACATCAGATTGGTTCCTCATCGCAGTTCTCAAATCTTGAACAATTTTTCCGCAACTTCGAAAAATCCTCTATATTCGGACTGACTCACTAATAAATTATTCTGCTGGAATCACTAATATCCTTCCTATTTCATAAACATTAGCTGATCAATTTCTCTCAAGTATTCTTTAAAATTTCAACAAACGAATGATGAAAAGGTGGTTTAAAAATTACAGGCTATAATTTGTTATCCTTTTATCACATGAAAAATGATACCACAGCTGCATATTACTCATAAAGATATAATCAACAGAATAAATTAACGCAAATAGACAGATAACCCGTTGAGACCAATAATAATAATAATAATAATAATAATAATAGAATCTTTAAAATTTAAAATCCCAAACGAGAAATCGAATTTTCTGAAATTTCAATTGTTGAACTTATACTACTCGATAACTAAGAAATGTGGAGATAATCATAAACATAATCTGATAAGTGAACAGAGTTACTTAATGGAATGAAGTAAATAACACGTGTTACTAAAACTACACTCTTTTGAATTTTGGTATATTCATAAAAATATGCTCCAATGTATTCCACGAAAATTCAAATTTAAAACTTATGTGAATTTAGGGGTAAAACGGAATGAAAGTATTATATGCAGATGACTCAATACATCGGGACAATGTATAAAACATAATGTAAGGCACGTATATTATGTTCCAGTGATATCACGTGTTATCATATTGGAAAATGCAGGAGTCACATATAAAAAGGTAGTTCATTTTTATGATGCTTACGGAAATATTAATAAGTCTATGAAGTTTATTTTTAGTAAAAGCTTGAAATAAATGAGAAGCATCGCAATTATATGCAATCATTTCCTCATACTTTTTCTGTAATGTCAGGTTTACTAGGAACTGATTCAATCACGATGAAAATGGGATCGTTTCTGCTGGAGGATTTGCACGCAACATTAATGTTTCTAGATGTGATATTTCAATCTGATATGAAACTGCCAATGTTTTGAAATAATTCAAATCTAACAGCAATTGCCGTCTTATTTTATTTTCGTCAGAATCAGCATTATTCTCATTTACCGCCAATGACTTTCTCTTGAAACGTTGCAAACTTGTCCCCGTTTGCTCGACAGAGTTGAGAACCTAAAACTGTTTAAATAAACTGCACGGCAAAATTTTACTAACCATTTAAAAAGTGATAAAAAATAATCAGTATACAATAATTATTTTGAACGAGATGATAGTCATTGGACTTGAAATCTTTGGTAATTAAAAGTCCTTCATATAATTTAGTTAAGCGAAAACTTAATAAAAAAATGGAGATTATAAAAAATACCTCTTTCGCCTTCCTGAAAAATATCTCTAACAATTCAGCAACTATTTGCTTCTGCACAGATGCAACATTTTCTTCATTCCAATAACAATGATTCATTTCATCCTATGATTTTATAATACTGACAAAAATAATTTTAAAAACAGAAACATCAATATATTGCCTCCAAGAAATTTCAAAAATAAATTAAAACAAACACTTTGAAATAATCCGATATCTTGAAAATGTTGAAAAATGATTTCGAAATAAACCTTGAATAATTTCAGTGCAGCCGCTGTTTCACTAACATACGGTGATATTTCGGTTGGGGAAGGCTTTTTCGTCCAGCGATACTGGCGAGGAATTCCGCAAACACCATCTAAAATCTGAAAAGTTATGTAGTAAGTTGTTGCAGAATCTCAATGCGGAAAATTTTAAATCACTCCGTTAGGAACTTTGTTTTTAAAGCACTTTACAGCTAACAAAGTTATTAAACGCCAAAAATGTATTAATATTCCTTTTAATATGTTTCTAAACCTTAAATAATTAATGGAAAGATGAGAGGATAAGAGCACCTAAAAGGCTAGAAACTAACTTCTTCCATTTGCCTAAATTTTGACTCTAATGCAACGTTCTCATAGATTTTCTGTAACTGAATATCACACCGCCTAAACGGTAGTTGTTTTTATGATACATATGAAAGTTACATGTAACTGTCGTTGCGAACAAGAAAATCGCACAGGATTATATTCTTGGGTAAAGTAACAGTAATATTATATAGGCCAATTATAATGTGCATTATATAAAATAATGAACACTGGAGGTAAATCAGCCATTCATATAGAAGTAACTATTTTTGAAAGCAGTAAACACTGATTACAATTTCATAACTTACATGAAATTAAAAAAATCATGCTATAAATTAGTAAAATAGAAACAAACTTTTGCTAACGATCTAACGGCATCTTCGACGATAAATTTCTCGAATTCTTGCGTTCTTTCAGCTATTTTAGTTGAAAAGATCGATAAACATTGCCCAAACATTGTTACATCCAACTGGAATTCCATCAATAAACTATCAAGAAATCACGAAACACCATTGAGAAAAAATTAAAAACTTTCATACCTCAAGTTCTCGAATTTTTGGCCAAATTGATGATAATGCAATTTCAAAAGTTCGACTATCAACAGTCATACAATCAGTATAGAGAGCACAAAACATACGCCAAATTTCAAAATCTTCAGGTGCCTTTTTGTCAATCCAGTAATAACTGAAAATACGTTACATACACTGCGAAGATCAGATGAAAATTCTTTTGTTCCTTTCATGGGATTTCAAAGTTATCTAAAACAATCACCATAAAAGATTAACAAGCAATCTTACCTCGTAATTCGTTCGACCCACTCCAAATATCTCATGAGGACTTTAAGAGTAAAATCCCAGAATTTGTCACATAAAGTCGGGAGGTAAACTTCATCGGACCAAATCCTTTCTAAAGTGTTGACAACAAGTTTCGGAAATTGATAAAAGATTTTTTCTTCCCATTCTTCCTTTTTCTCGTTACCAATCAGTTTAGCAATAGAAGGATTAAGCTCATCTTTTAACTGTGATAGAAATTGCTGCGTCTCCAGCTTGAAATATACAACCAAATTGAATCTATTACGTATCATCCGCAAAATAGTACGTGAGTTGGCAGCATCAGGCCAATTACCGATAAAATCACAAGTTGTCTTATAGCATCGATGAAAAAGACGATTATCGCTTGGAACAACAATAGAACCAAAGTGCTGAAAAGAACTTATATGTTAGACAATCCATCAGCAGACCTATAAGTTCCTGAATAATAAATAAACTCATCTTTTCCTAAAATTTCGTTCCAGATAAGAATCATCAGCTGAAGACAAAAAGAGTTAATACTTTGACAGTTATTAAAATAACCTTATCAAGGGATGAAACTATGAAAGTGAGAAGGCAATTGTCCAGAAATGGTAAAATATTTGCGGATGGCACACCACTATTCCGCATTTTTTGCAACCAATTTTCTCGAAGCTGTAATTTAATATCACTTTCAAAGCTATGACAAAAATCTAAAATTAATTCATGACTAAACCAATTTTACTTTTTAAAGTTATGATGCAGTGAGGATTTGTACACCACAAGTTGTTTAACCTAGATTAATTTACTTCAAGTGAAAGACTGCAGTCACGACTTAAATTTACTTCTTACAAAAGCCTTAATCAATGCTATCAAACGAATTACCTTATAAACTTTCACTTAATTTAACATAAGAAAGACAGTACCTACCCTCCGGATGGTTGTATATACTTCATCCAAAAAATCTCCCAAGTTGTTGCTTGGTTCTCCAATATGTTCAGCAATAATTTCTGTCATTACACAAGAAACAGCTGAGTCAGTACTCTTATTCAGTGTAATTATACCAAGGACTTGTTCAATAAAGCGACAATCACCACTGAGATCTTGTACAAGCCAATGCTCTGTCAGCTTACGGACACGAGCCAAACACAAAGTATAAGCAGCAGCTATCTAAAACTATATCTGTGAAACAAAAGATTAAAGTAACTTGATAAAGATAAACTCGTTGCAATAAAGCAAACTAACTTTATCATCAGTAACATTCACTTTGTTAAACCATAGAACCACATCAACGACTGCATCAGCAAAAGTTTGTAACCTATAAGCATTATTTACTTTATTCTAAAATTGTACAACATTGAGATAAAAACTATATGATAGTTCGTAATTTATCAGTTACAAATAATTTATCAGAAAAATCATCATTTTATATAAATACAAAACTAGAACACTAAAATAGTTGTCGAAATGGAGAGTGTATTAAAATTAACATACATTTAAACAATTTGACTCTTAGAAGTTAGAAAAAAAACAACATCGAAATCTATGTAGTAAAAAATTGTAAAAAAAATTGCTTTGTTATTTATACTGTAAGCAATAACAGCGAAGTTTTCAGCTAAAACAACCGAGAGCATTCATTCATCTGTCAATAGCAGTTCAGCATTTATTTTCATCATATCAAGTAGCAAAAAACAAAATTCAACTATCATATAGCTCACCAAAACATCTCTATTTCTTTTGGACAACTGGCAATTTTATCAGCTAAGCGCTCGATTGACTTTATTAGGAAAATTTGTGCACGAATTTCACACTGCGCTTTTCGGCATTCAATGAGTTGAGTGGTTTTTTTTTCAATGAATTCAACAGATTGCTTTACATTCTGTGTACTATTGCAGAAATCATGCCATATTGTCTATAAATAGAAATCATTTTCAAAAAATCTTATTCTCAGATACCAAGTTAGAAAAACAAACATTCATTTATTCCTGTTATTAAACTTATTTTTTCCTAAAAAGGCGAAAGAAAAACTAGTAAGAGCAAAAAAATTTGAAAACTGTTATTCAATATTCTCTCTTAAATAAGATGAAAATCACCTCAATATCACTAGTCAGTTTATCAATTGTTTCTTTCAATCCTACAAGATTCGATGATAAATTCACAAAATCGGCATAATCATCATTAATCAGTTCGATCATTGAATTTTGCACAATTTTTAGATAAACCCGTAAATCGTTATGAATTTGCTGCAAACTAGCTCGTCGTCGGGCCAAATTCAGGAATCGTTCTACATTGAAATCCGACCGACTGAACTGATCCTAAAATACTTCGTTCCACAAAGATGCTCAATTATTCTTTATTAACTAACTTGAAAATATTTCTATTTTTTAATTAACACAAAACAGATAAAATGAAGAATAAAAATTTAACGAAAGTGTAACTAATGAAAAAATGTTTAAGCGAAATGCTTCCGCTTGAAACAATCATCTGTTTCTCATAAATGGTCTATTATTACAAGATCTGGATAGTACACCACGCAGTTTACAACTGCTTCCAACTTCATTAGCAATCTACTCTAGATCTTTTTCTGCAGCTGCAAAGAGCAAATATTGTCAATAAAGCAAATACAAATTATTACCCCGAAATGTGAAACTAAGAATACCTTATTAAAACAAAGATGAGAGTCAGTCATCAAATTTGACTGCGGTGCAAAAATTGCATGGTTCGCCTTTATACTTCCTCCATTCGATGTTACCGTTGTCACTGTTTCCATCTCTACAAAATATAAGCAAAATGCCATGAAACTTGACCGTATTCCTCACGTGAAAAGCGGTATTAATCGATAGAGTATCCCTTCATTCTGATATTTGAAAAGGAAAAAAGTGCAAATCGTCATTTTTTTTTTTTAAATTTGTAATCAAAAAATTTGTAAAAATCATTTTAAAGCACTTCAAAACTTTGATAGCTTCATCTATCTGCAAAAGAATTCATTAACTTTAAAAGCAATTATTTCCTATTGATGACATCGATAGAAACTTCAAATCTTTGCCAGCAATAAATAACAAGAAAAAGGATGGTGTGATGATGAAGAAATTTGGATTCTGGAAAATGTAATTATATTTCAATGATAGAGTCTAATGATATTTTAGCAACACTGATAATTCATAGGAAAATGTTAACAGAATAGCAAATTATAATAGCTAAAACTATAAAAGAAATGATTAACAAATCTTTTACAAAATGTATTAGAAATTAGCTTTTAAAGTTTGAAAATTTGCCTAAATTTATAATTTAGATATAATAATGATATTTCCTTCATCCATATCCTCAATAATACTTCTAGGAGAAAAGGAATGGATCAAATAGGGAAGAAGCTAGCGATAATTTGAACTTCGAACCTTTGTCAACCTGAACATGTCACATTGAATGCTAAAAAGAATAATTTATGATTAATTACTGGACAAAATTTATGAATACTATAAATGAATGGAATTACACTGCACGCCACACGCCGAACAATAATTACATGTCATTTTCACCCAACCGACAAAAATCAATACCTTTATTATTAACGCTGCATTTTGACAATCGTTTAAATTCCCACACTCCTTTGTTAAATGTTTGGCTTACTGCCGAGATAGTTGACTTAGGGTGCTAGTTGATGGCATGCATTGGTATTTTATTGGTAGATGTCGGGGTGTTCTGATGATTTGCGAGCATAGAGTGGAGGGAGACTAAGTTTCTGAGAAGGCACTTGCCCAACTGAACCTTATCGGACATTGACTAACTTAACTTAATCTTATCATGCTTAGTATTGTTAATTAATAATATTATAGAATTTTGCATTTAAAACCTACCGATGCTATTAATAGCAATGTAAAATTTTTCAATAATGTATTCTCATAATGATACCATTCATCAGTTGGAACAGTAAGCTAAGATGAACTAGATGTCGTTGCTTAGCAGTGATTCGATGTGTACCCTTTTGTTGCGACAGATCAGGAGAGGTGGCTTGAGCAGAACGTGTATAGCACGTTGCTCATCTTCTCAATTGATTGTCTCAAATGAGCCTTCAAGAGATCAGCGGAAAGATGTAGAGGATGTGAGATCGCCACAACAACCACACTCTGCTCCAAGGTTGTCACTTTTTTATTTTACTTAAATTTTGAGGTAAAATTAATTGAGTTTGTTGACATTTGAAAAGTAAATCTTGAACGCGGTATTTCATTAATTATATAAATAAATATTAAAAGTGTTTGAATATGAGTGGAGTAAGGCAGCTCTGATGGTTAGTTAGGTTACGGGTTGTGTGTGAGATGAAGGTCGAGAGTTCGACTCCTATTGGAACAGAAGTCGGTGTGTGGTGTCGGTTGGTTTGGGTTGCAGCCTGCTGCAACCTGTTCCTTCCTTCACTGGCGGAACATCGAACGTCCTTTAACACATTCGGGCGAGAATTCGGTCCGCCATACCGTAAATGAATGCGACCTACGTTGACACCTGGCAAGAGGCAGTCCGGAGAATGTCGTGGCCACTGCATATTCCTTATCGTAACATAGCTCCAAGTGGGCAATGACAGTTGGGAAAAACCATGCAGTGGACACCCTTTTTTGTTTTTATGAACATGTGTTTATGTGAAGAGTGTTGATCTTCATAAATTTATCCATTGAATGTGTGTATAATAATGCGAACCAAACAGAAATAAACTATTAGTTTTCAAACCGGAAAGGCGCCATATCTATTGTTCCAGAGCTACCGATACAAAGCCTTCCAGTTGGATTGATGTGAATCGAGAAGCGGAACGTCGGCCGGGTACTTTTCGATCTCGCAATGTCGGTTTCGACCGATTTTTCGACACCCAACGCCGACATGAAAGATTTACAGTTCGGGAACAGTGGACCCAGAGAAGCGCCATATCTGATCGTGCTCGAAATTCTGAAGGTTCGTTCACTTTATAATTTTGCGTCTTTTGGTATCACCGGTAATTATGCAGTAAACAAGGAATTCTTTATAAATAATATACCAACTGTTTTTTTAAGTTAACTGTTTACAATTTACTTGTATTTTAAGGACCTTGGAACAGAAATGTTGAAATGCCAAAAGTCGATTATAAGCATTTGAATTTACCACCCATTCAGAAAAATCTTTACGAGGAAAATTCTTCAGTTACAAACAGAAGCGAAGTATTGTTTTTATTGAAACGCATCGTTACTTTTTTTTCTTGGTGGGCAATTTAGAATTTTGCTGTTTCATTAAAATTCATTAAGTAGTGAAAGGAGAAAGAAAATTCTTTGGAAATAAGGCTTTTTGATTGGAGAATTAAGGGACGTATAAGGGTGTGGTTGGTGTAGTGGTGAATGAGCGCAGGATGGAGCCAAGAGACTAGGTTAGGTTCAATTCCTTGTGGAAGTATTATGTGGCAGGTAGGAACCATATGTGAATATGCATGCCACATGTGGGCCGATGAAATGCCTAAATCAACTCATTGTATTAAAGGTCGCAGGTAGAGGGTTGCTAAACCTCTTCAGGCATTACCCAAGCAGTGTACAGGCCGTTTTTTGATTGTATGTTCAAATATGCACGGGTTGCAGCATGTGTTTTTAAATTCTTGTCAAGTTTAGTCATTGTAATTTCTAATAAATTTAATTTTTGGCTGTAGAAGGAAATAGCGGAGTGGTTTACGCATAACGAAGTCACCTTAAAAGGGGAACCGTCTCCTCGTCCTATATTTGAATTCAGTGAGGCAGGTTTCCCTCCAGCAATTGTAGAAAAACTCAAAAGAGCATGCTTTCAAAAGCCGACTGTAATACAATCGATATCTTGGCCAGTTGCGTTGACCGGACATGATATGATTTCGATTGCTAGAACAGGTTCAGGGAAAACTTTAGCGGTAAGTTCACAACTTGATTTAAAAATCTGTTTTTTAAAACTTATATGAGATGTGAAAAATATTCAGCACGTGAAAATCAGAGCTATTTTGTTTGAAAACCGATTTTAAAATCACTGAAAAATGAATTGGTAGAAGAACATTTTAGCCGAGTATTTTGGATAATTTCACTGTTTTTTTTTTCATATACAAAAAATTCCTTGCGCACGAAAATTTTCTCGACTTTTCTATCGGGCTTTTTAATGGTCCGAAATTTCAGTACACTTTGCCAGGAATTATACATATGCAGCGCCAACAACAGATGGAAAATGTTCGAGGTCCCGCAGTACTTATCTTAGCTCCAACAAGAGAACTCGTGCAACAGATAAGCTCGATGACAGTAAACTTTCACTCTAAAGTGGCATCTGCTTACGGTGGCTCTGGACGTGATCAGCAGGCTAGAACCATTCGTGCAGGTTTGGTTTGCTTAAGATTTGATACTTTCAGTGGAGATCGATAGTTCATTATATTAGGATGGTTTTTAATCAGCTAGTGTTATATCTAGTATTCTTTTTGTTATTATTAGGCAGATTGGGGTTACTGAACAGTATGTGTCGCAAGAATAGCAAGGAGACTTATTAAAGCAGATGACAATAGCAAACTAAAAATTTATGGATCGTTTGCATTAGAATAAGATATAGTTTGGTAGTTTCGCTTAAAAGATTGCTTTTTTGCAGGAGTAGACATTTTAGCTGCAGCACCGGGTCGCTTATTAGATTTCTTGATTGCGGGTGTTTTGAATTTAAACCGATGCACTTATTTGGTACTGGATGAAGCTGATCGTATGTTGGATATGGGTTTCGAACCGCAGATACGCAAAATTGTGTCCATGATTAGAGTGAGTATTCGATTATATTTATATTTAATCGATTATATTTAATTCGATTATAGATTTTCAAGTCAATTCTTAAAGGGCACCTTAAATAACATTTTTTTTAGCCGGACCGACAAACTTTAATGTTTTCTGCGACGTGGCCGAAAGAAGTGCGTACTTTGGCGAAGGATTTTCTAAGTGACCCCATATTTGTTAATGTTGGGTCACTAAAACTTGCTGCAAATAGTAACATCGTACAACTAGTGGAGGTTGTTGAAGAAAATCAAAAAGAAGAAAAACTACTAGAGTTTTTAGGCAAAATATCAAACGAGGTATTTTCAAAATTCTGCAGTTGTTTCAAAACTTGACATCACTTACTGAAGCTCATTCCATCTTATTATTTTCTATTAATACCTATTGGAGGACTTTATTTCGCATTATACAAAGATTGCTTGATATATTCAGCAACACTGCAAAACATTGATTTTTGTTGGTATGAAACGGACAGCGGATTGGTTAACACGGCTGATTCGTAAGAAAGGATATCCGGCTTTGAGCTTACATGGTGACAAGTCTCAAACAGAACGAAATTTCGTTATGAATGGTGAATTTGTTTCTCGTAAAATGAAAGCGATGATTTTAATTGCGATTTACACCATACTTTAGCTTAACATGCATTTCAATTTTCCTTAAATTTCAGTTTTCCTTATATTTATCATTAGAAAGACTTGTCAGGGAGAATCGAACGAATAACTTCCTTTCACCCATTTTTCGATTAGAGCTGTGTTATCCCAGTGAATAACGGACAGTTCTGGTTTATTATTGATATTATTTATTACTTTTCTATATTGCAGATTTTAAAAATGGTGAGTGTTCAACTCTGATCGCAACAAATGTTGCTGCACGGGGTTTAGGTATGTTTGTGCTTCGCGTTTCATTAGTTTCCATGAATCTTGATGTATCACGGTTGATTTATAGAGGACTATTTCAGACGTAAATGACATTAAATATGTCATCAATTTCGACTGTCCGAAAAATATTGAAGATTACATACACAGAATTGGAAGAACTGCTCGTCATAATAAAACTGTACGTCTCTCCCCAACATTTTAATCGAATTAAAATAAGTTTACATGTGTAAACGGCGGGTGACTCTGATTTTTATGATGAACAAGTTTAAATATGATTTTTGTTTGCTATGTTGTTTTCTTTAGGGCACTTCATATACTTTATGCACACTTGATGATGCGCCTATAGCTAGCGACCTTATCAATGTTTTGAAAGAAGCCAAACAGACAATTCCTCCAGATTTGTTGGAGCTTGGTAGTAGTAGACGTCTCGCAAAGTCGTCTAGAGGGTTTGTTTTTTCCTTTTTTATCAATAGGTAAGCTCACGATCCTACAAGAATCATCAGTGGGAAATGTTTTATATTGATAAAGTGCACCTATTTGCTGGTTTGATTAAAGTTCTCAGTACATCTAATTTATTTTCAGTTTATTTCAGAAGATTCTAACCAGTGATATATGCGACGGAATCAACTGAGCTATAAAATGATTGCTGTGCTGGTTAGCAACCAACATTTATTGATTTTTTTCTTGATATGGCTGTGGGCAGCAGTGATAAAAATATTTTTTTCTTCTTTATTAGTCCCTGTAATGCCAGTGCACAACGAGATGGTTCATGAAAGCAGTTTCAGGAAGTTATTTTTGCGGAATTATTAGCATAAAAAGAATACGGCAAATTGTTCCCAGTTCCTCCTATGATGTTTTAATTGGCATGGCCGCGTAAGGCCTTCGATGTTCTGATGGGGTATATTGTTAACATTAAAACGCGATTATTTGCTTCATTTTGCAATAAACTTTGAAGTCAGCACATTTTGATGGCATATGTTGTTGCTACATATACAAATAAATAAAGTTAAACTATCACAGCAAGTACAACTGTACTTCCCTTAGCTGAGAAAGGACTGAACGAGTATTAGAAAATACCACGATGAAAACTCATGAATAAATTAGAAATGTTTCATACTTATTTCACGAATCAGAACTAATGGTATATTTAAATACCAGTAATAAAACCACCCAGGTGATTCTCCGTTTCCACTAAAAACTCAATTTTTAGTGGTTTCTTCCTCGTTTTTATCCTCATCCAACGTCGTCTGTCTCTACAAAGCAATTGGAATTCTTATGTTTTGAAAAATGTTTTCCCATGTGTAAGTAACCTAAAAAATAAATCTGAATACCTAGAAAATGGAAAACTGAACCTTTTGTTTACTAAAACAAAGCGGTTAACAAACGAAATAGACGAGCAAAGGAAGACTTCCCTTATAATAAATTTCAAACATAGGAAGGTTTTTTTCCGAAAGGATTCCCCATCCATCTATAATTTAAACTCAAGAAGGCTTATTCCTTCAAGATATTTGTGACTATTTCTCTGACGAAGCAGAAATTCACTCACCCTCTTCAGTTGTAAAGCTGGTGCTCTTCATTAGTTAAGGGGACATATATTACATCCATTAATTTTTTTTGTGTCACATTCCCATTAACATCCTTGTCAACCTGTACAAACCGTTGACGACCGCCTTCGGGACCAACCGGAATCAACATCCTTCCACCTTTAGCAAGCTGCTCTATTAACTGCAATGCTTTATTGTTCTTATTTCAGGAAAGTCATGTCTAAGATATTGCATTTCTTAAAGTTGTAAATTCGCGACAAGTGAATGTGACGCTTTACCCAAAGTAATGCCGCCCTTCTAATATTTTTAGGGTAATATTCATATGACATTTAAGATCAACTGTCTTAAACTCTTAAACTGTCGTGCATACTTTTCGAACGTAGAAACGCATGTTTTCGGGAGTAATATGTGATTTTAAAAGAAATAAATATTAAATTCAGTCCGGAATAACATTAAATTAAATCATTTTGCACTGCTGTTTCCGAATTTAAATAAAAATTACCTGAATAGGGATTTCAGGTGCAGCAGCACCAACATGAATAGCATTGTATGGTGCCTCTTTTTCATAACCTTTCCTACCATCTCCTTTTACAAGAATTATACGGCGATCGGTTAGTAAATCCTCATGATGTTTCCTGATATTACGTCTTGAATCATCCACCAAAGCTTGAACATGATCTATGCCAACCACTTTTCCTCTTTTACCAACCTAAAAAACTCCCAAACAGATCAACTTATAGACAGTACAGAAATGATTCCAGTCAATCATCATAATTTCTTTTTTTGGAAATTTTGTGACAACGATGTATTACAAAAACCAACCATTATTGCCATACAAGCTGTTAAGTAACCAGAACCCGATCCGACGTCCAATGCTCGATTCCCTTCTTTTAAATGATCCTTCAGAAGCTCAAGAGAAGATGCATGCTGAAACTTCTCTTTCTCCTCCATTTTAACCATCAAAACTTTTTATCAAATTCAAAATCCACTAATCCTTTAAAAAAAATATTTAAAATTAAATATTAAAAATATCGACCGTTCTAACAAAATACTTTAAAAGCGCTAGAAAACTATTCGTAAGATTATTGAATACAAATGCAACGAAATTATTCGCATGATTTTCCCTTTCTTTCAGTTAACAACGGAAAAAGAAATCATGATCATGATTACCATATGCGGAGCACTGATTGTAGCACCATAACCGATCGAAACCGGATGATCACCATATGGTGTTACAGTTGTAAAATCACCTCGATCCACTTTCAACATAGCATCTCTTACACGTTTATCTTTGATTAAATCATTGTCTGGAAGTTGATGTATCACTATTATACGAAATAAATAAACTCTAGTAATTGTGGTAACAGGCAACTATCAAACTGATTTGTTACGAGCTATCAATCTTAGCTGTCTATTAATTCCTCTGCAAAAGTGTTTTTCCGGCGCATTATGTATTATCATAAATTTTTCCCCATCCACTACTACTATGCAAAATACAGAAAACAAATTTAAGATAATATTTCCCTGTCTTAACAAATTTTAAAAAAAGCAATAATTACTTTGTAAATTGTTAACCAAACCAACGTTCGAATCAGCACCGGACATCCAAGCCATTGCATTTCGTATGTTACGAGTTAGTAAGCGTGTTGCATCTTCAAAAATCTTCATTCTTTCAAATTTTATTTCTTCCTCTCTTTCTGGTTGTAAAATTTCATCTTCTTTTTCTCCTCCTTCAATATCTGTTGGAGAAATTGATTCGATGAGCTCTTCTCGATGCTTCTCGATATCAATGCTCAATCTCTGCTGTTTCGCATTGCAGTAATCCTTCTTTGAGCTATCACAATCAGCTGTTGATGCAAATAACGCTAATATACAGTTAGCAGTAATTAGTAAAAATAAATGGAACCAAGAAGACATTGATGCCACCACCAAAAGATAACCAACACTCACTTGACAATAACACAAATAAAGAGTGCAAATAACTAAACTAAGAAATGAAACAATCACTCTAACTTCTATTTCAATTTACAACATATCTATTCTTCTTTTCTATTCTACATCTCTTTAAGCTATATTTTGTTATCGCTGTTCTCTTACAACAGGTGGTAAGTTAAACTCATCGCATTAGCATTGAGCGATAGATATATTTATCGCTGTTATGAAGGCGGTGATTGTGTTTTAGAACAAAAGAGTATTTTTAGTAAGAAAGTCACTCCTTACTTGTTACAAAATGAATGCGAATGATGACATACATCAAACGCAACATCGAAATTTTTCGCCAAATTTTTTCATTTCGTCCCCGACCATTTAGGCATTGAAATGAGCATTTCGATATTTCGAAAGAACGGTCTCTGAGAAAGGTAATTTGGAGTATGGAATGGGTATATGTATGTGTGTATGTATATACTATATATACTATATATACGTGTATGAGTTTGTATGTGTATACTATATACTATATACTATAGTATATACGTATATACTATATATACGTATATACTATATCATACACGTATATACTATATACCTGTATGAGTTTGTATGTGTATGTGTATGTGTGCATGCATGTATGTGTATGTTTATGTATATGTATGAAAAAGATTAATCATTGGGCTGTTAATTGTCGAATGCTCCATCTCATCGGTATAATGGATGGGGAACGAGTTTGCTTGGAATGATTGATGATTGCTCTAGTGTCATAATATTCGTCTATCACTTCGATCAGGATCAGGGATTGGAACATCGGGAAAGTTCCATTCTTAATACCGGTAGCACTTTGTCCTCTCCGAAAAATGAATTGAGTGGGAGATTTTGAAAGGAACGATAAACTAATATGCATCGTAAGCTTACATAGTTTACATACCATATTCTTCGGTATAACTAGAGTAGACTGGGTGACACTTGGTACTTATATAGCTTATATACCGTATCCTTCGGCATAACTGCGGTAGACTGAGTGACACTTGGTATGTTTAAGATAGACTCTTACCCAGTCTATCTTAACATAGACTCTCGGTATAATTAAGGAGGTAGACTAGTGACATTCAGTATAATTAAAGTTGACTAAGTACGTTCGGTAAAATTAAGGTATAATAGGTGGAAGTCGCCCCGGCATTTGAAAGAGAGATAACTTTTGAAAATCTTGTGAAATATGCATAACAATAGAATAAGTGTGCAAAGTGAATAAGTTGGAGAAAGACTTGCTCCATAACTATAAAAATTTCAAAAACATTGGGATTGTTTAGATTTTTACTTAAAAGGTTAAAAGTTTTTTAATAATGACTCATTTTGCATTACAACAATATGACAATTGGCAATCCTATGATTGGATATGTTTATTAGGATAGTTGTTCAATGTTAAGAAAGACAGGAAAATCAAAAAGAAATTCTCTTGATGCTCTGTTTCAAAAATTATTTTAAAAGCTTTCAAGATTAGAGTTAACAAGCAACTTTTCAAATGCAAGATAAAGGAGAAAAATTCGGAAAAATAAAATATCTTTTTTTACTCATCGTTTTCCTTTGGAATTTCTGAACCATTTGTTGTGACATCTACGACACCACTGTTCCGCTGAATGAAAATTTTTGAAAATTTTTTCAACTTTTGCTCAGATTATTGATAGTTGCTATAAAAAAAGTTAATTCTGTCTTGTAGTAAAGTATCATTTTTATATTGTTATGGTCAAGCAATAATCTTTTTATGCTAATTAATGGAGCCCTTAAAACAACAGTTGAATCTTTTTCACTCTTTTTTGTAATAATTAGAGACATACCCGATTATACTTCACGAAGGTATCGTTCACAACGGAAAGCATAGGAACTACAATATTGTAATAGCATAACTCAGCAATGCCAGCGTTTGGTAATGCTAGCAGCATCAAAAATAGCATCTGAAATAAAGCAATATAATATATAAAATTGAATTTAAAGTTAAAGTTTGAGAAATTCTCGAAAACTAACCATATTTTTTAGGAAATTTTACAAAAAATGTGAAGTTCATTATTAGATCACTTATAACCTTTAGTAAAAGAAGTGGAGAAAAGAACTTCGTTAGCCATTCGATGTAATAATCTTGCAGTGTGAAAAATGCGAATACAATCCAATAGATAAGCCAATGTTTACGCTGTTTGCGCGCTTTATTCTTGTGAATAGTTAAAGACTGTAAAATTACAAAATTTACTGAAATTCAAAAGGAAAGAAAAAAATTAATATAGGAACAAAGTAGCGTCATTATTGAGGAAAGATCATGGAGTATCATGAAGGTTTTTAGTGTCCAGATATATGTTCAATAACTTTTTGGATTAAACTTAAAAATTAAACAAGTTTTGGACAGGAAATTAAAGAAATTTGAATGGACAAACCCTGGTGGTTTCATATGCAGGATAAAAGCAGCTAACTGTGGTACACAATAATGGGTCAAAATTTTGTAATAATACAAATGCAGCTAACAAAAATAATATTGCATAAAAAATCTGCAAATTAATATTTTGGCTGAAAAGGAAAGCCAGTAAATTACATTAAATGTATTTTCTATTTCATCTGAATGTGATATTTTAGATGAAATAGAAAATTAAATTTAATGTAATCATTGATCGTGATGACTACAATATGATAATCGGCTGATCTTAAGCTATCACAATTTCATTAATGCGAATTTGTTTTACAGGGAATAAATTTTTAACAGTACTAAACATCAATCAAGATTAGTTACATTAGCGCTTGTAGATAATGAGCACTTTCTTTTTTCGTTAAATGTTAAATTTGTCTCTCAGTTTAGGTTGCAATTACCAACACATTTCGAAATATATCTTGTTTGTTGGACTGACCGGCTATTACTTATTCATCGTTCGTTTCAGATTCAACAATGTCTTAAAAAAACAAACCTGTTCTCTTCTGATCATTATTTTGCGTTCTATAAAACAGAATGCTTCATTCATATGGATATAATCATTGTTGTAGAGAATTTTATTGAGCAGAAATTGATGCCATGTTTTCAGTGATTTTCCTTTTTTAAAGAAATTATTTTGAATTGTAGCGATGGTATTCACCAGCGAATTTTCTAGACTTTCTGATTCTCTCTCTGAAGAATGAACAGATTTCTCCTCAACATCATTTGTCTGCTTTGATGCAATGTGACTACTACTTGTTTTGCTCACATTGCTGGCAGATGAACTTGATGATTCCGTCTTGTTCTCGTCCTTATCCGCCATTCAAATAGTATCGCTTTGTTTGTAATACACGTTATTATCTAGAAGTATCGATTTATTCGTAACATTCGTCATATCTGGAAGTATCGATTTATTTGTAATATCAGTTATATTTGAAAGTATCGATTTGTAACAACCGTTATATCTGGAAATTATCTGCAACCAATGTTTTCCATTCAAATTCATTGACAAGTCGCATGAATGAATATACATTGAAAATTGGAGCTTTTCACGAAATATTTTGTATGCTTCATGCTTCAACTTTAATTTTAGAAATTGATGGTTAAGTAATGGTTTATTAATTAGCAATTAAAAGCTTTACAATAAGAGTCATTGTAAAGTTTTTAACTGCTAATTAATAAACCATTACTTAATCATCAATTTCTAAAATTAAAGTTGAAGCATGAAGCATGTAGAATATTCATGAGTTTTTCTTAATCAATTTTTTTCTAAAAAAATTAAAGTTGAAATATGTAGAATGTTTCAGAAAAACTTTACAATGACTCGTTAAGCATAATTTTCTGAAAATTACTTCAGACTCAGAAACGGAAGAGCAGCTGCGATAGGCAAGACAGGGAATGGAATGGAAAGTGAAATGGATGTCAGTTGCAACTTATATATGCGCAGTTATTCACTTATGCAGATGAAAAAAATATATTTGTACTATGATGATATGCAAATTATGTGATTAAAAAGATAAAATGGGATTTTTTAATTTAAAAGTATTTCATGAAATGATTTAAACTAGTGGCGAAGAAGTGTTAAATTTAAATGCTTCACCATATTTTTTTTGTAAAATAAAATTCTTGGCAATCGGAAGTGTCTCTCGGAAAGATTATAAAATGCGAAAAGTTTCTAAATTTAAAACAAAAAAAAGATAATTGCTTCTGCTAGATAATTGCTAGATAATAAAAGCAATACTATTTCCTTCATTAATTCTTCAGTTATCCATTGGGGACAATCAAAATTAAATCAAGAATTGAACTTAATTGAACAATAATTTGAGCTTAAAATAAGTAGTTTAATTGAAGTCACTTCCGAAAAGTCTCGATGTATAGTCATACTTGTAGTTACTTGCTTCAATCTCACCACTTATTAATTCACTGATACTATAAATTGGTTTGTCTTAGTCTTTTTCATCAGTAGAAGGTATGCATGTATAAATCAATTGCCTAAAAAGAATTGAAAATGAATTAGCACAAATTAAGTTGAATGTTTGAAATTGTTAAATATTCTTCAACTTGAGCAACAATTATTACCTATCAATTACTCATTTCGATGAGTAAATATTAAGACTTCAATAAGCTTAGCACATTTTGGAGTAAATTACTCACTGATTTTAACTTATTAAATGTTTATTATATAGGGTAAAAATAAGCAACAAGCCTCATTCAAATCTTTCATACCCGTTTGCTATATGTGATCAATGTTGTTAATTTTATTCGTTTCCAATCTACGATAAATAGTTCTTATGAGCAGATTTGGGCAACCTAAAATAACAGAGGGAAGGAGGAAATCTATTTATATTCAAGTGCTCATTCAGGAAAGCCTTATTTTTTCTACAGTTATCTTATAATCTCTGTTCAGATAGTATTTCTCTATGATTCTAGAAATTTTAAATGAAAATTTGGCATAGTTATTTTGGGATTTAGATTGATAAAATTGGAAAAGCTGAATTTATGAGTAGGCAGAAAAATGAAACGCTTAAAATTAACTGAAAATCTCAACCTCTAATTTGGCATAGAATTTAGATTCAAACTTTAACCCATTGCGAATTCATAGCTTTCATGGTTGGCTATCAAGTACTGCAGAACGACATGTATTTTGCCATTATTAAGAAATTGGATTCCATTTGTTTCAGTTATGATTTAAACTATTTGAAATATGAAAGTGAATTAATTGTTTAGCAGTGTTTGCGAAGATTAGATTAGAAGAATTAAAAAGCTTAAATTTGTCATGGAATAAAGAACAACAAGTAATTAAAAATTCAATTTTTATAAGATTTGAACTCATCGTAGGCAAAAGAGGTAACCGTAAGATGGAGGAAAGCATCCGAATTGTAATCAGCTACAGATTGACTGCTTATTTAGTTTAATCTATTTTTAACAGTTTATCTCTACTGTTAATAATGCAGAAGATATGCTTATCATCTTTCATCAGAGTTTCCTTCATAATTGGTCATCTTAAATGCTCGGTATGAAATTCAAAAAGAAATAAAAAATCACTCATACATCTCTGTTTTATATTTTACTCTCATCAAGAATCAGAAATGATACATTTAGCAGCCCCTATCCAATATTCTCTTCAAGGACATCGGAAAAATAACTAATGACCTTTAATGAACAGGTCGAGGTCGGCAGGTTCGTCTTCAGCGCTATAGCGCTGTAGAGGAAAACGAGAGATTATTGGCGGCAACAGTGACATTTGAAAATGATGATAGCGGTCGTCTGATTCGTTGGGGCGTTTTTGTTCAACTTTAGATTCTTAACTTTTTAAATCTACTCTCTCAAGTCTTCCTATCAAGAATCTTCAATTCTAACCATTTATCACGCATATTCCATCACCAGCCTGAGGTCGTTGCAGAAATCTCATAAAACGAAGTGTTAGTTTAACGTTATTCTGGATGAAGTTTATTCCCCATCATGAATTATTTGTAAGTACGTAGCACTGATTAGCTTTATTGCTGACATCATCATCTTTTTTCTTAATTTAATACTTGGATGGAGTTCGTATTCGTTGTGTTTCCTTCTTAAAAAATGTTTCCATCTCATTCCACTTCTGTAGAAATCTTTTAAAATAATTATTTCAGTTGTTGCTAGTAGTTAAATTCGAAATTTGAAGTAATGTTTCAATTCCAAAGGTGAATAGAGGCGAGTAAGTTAGGACGAGTTAGAATGTTAGCAGTTACTAGTTAATCACGATATTTCTATAAACCTTAAGATTAAATCTTTACTAATTAGTGCAGTTGTTAATGCATAATTAATAAAGTTTACAAGTGGATCAAAGGTGTGGTGTTGTTTAGAAATGATAATTACTAGATTGTTACTTCCATGAATGCAGGGAAATCCTAGTTGATCAAATATTATTCATATTATGTTAGAAAGAGGAAGTGAAAATACAAAAGTATGAATAATTTTAGGAAAGAATACAGCTAAAATATGGATAAAATCGTATGCAGTAGCAGATCTCGCGAAATTCTTAAAGAGTACAACGAAAACAATAGTTTCGCCATGACTTTGATTGAGAGACAGAACAAAATGGGTACTTCTTGCACTTTATATTTTCTTTTACCTTAACATCAAGTGTTATGAGTGTATCACTATGTGAAAAGTACTGTTTCAGACATGTTGAAAGCGCTTGACTTATTGGAACAAATGAGACAGAATTGGGATTATGAAAAAATGAGAGCAGAAGCTATGGAGGAAGAGCTTGACCAGAGAAATAAAGAAAAAGAGTGGGTTTTTTTCCAATGTTCGAAAAATTATAAAAATTTTTATCATCTTTCTTAGGTTTTTCGTCATAATTTAAATTAAAAAACTGTTGCAAGTTAATATATTTTATTCTTATTCTTCCCTCTTCATTGTTCAATCTATTCTTTTCTTTCGGATGTCTATTACTGGCTTTCGAAAATAATTCGACTGTGGCTCATTTGTTGTCGTGCTGGTTATGGGGGTTTGCATTCATAATTTCGGAGAGCTGGTATAATATATGAATGTTATCGATTTTAGTGGAATGCGAAAAGAAATAAGGGTCTATAGGGAGCAGCTTCGTGATGCTCGGACTCAGATCGCAACTCTAATGTCTGATAAGAAAAGCATGGAGTATGATATTGCTGAATGGGAAAGGAAATTCGAACTTGTCAATGATCTCCTGAAGGTCATCATTTGTCGTTTCATCAGTGCTACCAGTCAAAGTTGAAATGAAATTGCTCGTTATACTTGAAGCATTACTTCCATTTTATCAAACACGATTATTTTTTAGGATCAGTCACATTTAAATATTGAGGATCGACAGAGATTGTTTGCGAATGGCAACATACTAAATAAAAAGCCTATTAAACTGCGAGGAACACGTCTAAGTTTCTCACGTGACTCGTCAGATGGAGAAAACATAGATTACGATAAAACTGCAGATACATTTGATATTTCATCAAATGAAATGGACGAATCACGTTTGCGGAGTGGAAAAATTTACAGAAGGTAAGTGATGTCAGTATGTTTTGATTATGTAAAATTAATTGAAAAACTTTTTATATCGTTCGCTTCTCAAGTTCAGATCACATGATATGATGACAACAAAACGTGTCTCAGCGGTGACTAGCAAGCGACCAAAGAAAAGCATGATGATAGATATCGCTGAAGAGGAAGTGGTAAGCTTTTTCTTTAATGATATGCTTTCAAAGCTTCAAAGCCGTTGCTATTTGCCAATGCATTATTGCGCCGAAACCTCCAAATATTAATGAATTTTAGGAAACACCTTGTAAAAGATCAAAAGATGGGACAGAAACACATGTTACAACAACAATGGCTACAGTGAATGCTAAAAGCAATAAATCACCTACAGCTGAAATAGCTACCCGAAGTTCAATGAATCGTTCATTATCTACAACCAATATTCCTGATGTTCGTAAGATTGCTGTGTTTGAATTGGTTAATTTCCTTTCTCTGTAATTCAGAACGGCGAACTCGAATTTTCAAAAATTTTTTTCGGGAGACTTCCTACTTCAAGTTATTGGCTGATTAAAGAACGCAAATCAAAGACTGATATATTATGTTTTTAGAAGTCAGAAGAGACGCTGACATTGCCAACAGATACCTTGACACCACGATGTGGAACCAGTTCAATCGACCTGTTAGTTACTTATCTCTAAAATTGAATCTTAGCATTTCTTCGTAGGGAGAGGGAGAAGGGCAGGAGGAACTTGCCTTTTGTGTAATTATCCAACGCTACATTTTCTGTGATGCTATTACACTTACGTGATCATTAACATTATTTATAGCTGAAGAGTTTCCTGGTAATAATATGTCTAATATTTGCTTGTAGTATGTTTACTAACATCTGCAACATGAGTAGTATGGAAAACAACTAAATATAAATAATCACAGTTATTGTTCTCAGGAATTTTTTTGACTATTGCATATGGATTTTACTGCTGTTGGCTATTATTTCTCCCATTTTAACTTTATCTCGCTAACATTGTAAATGATGCCTTTTCATTCATAATAGCGAGTTGTAGAAAACTGTAGTAAACTTATAAAAAGCAATCACTTGCAAATATATTACATGTATCTGTCGCAATATTAAGTGAAAAAAATTATGAACTTTAAGCAGACTCTTAAATCACACATTTTGCGACAGAAGGAATTTGATATATATTTCAAATTAAAGAATTTTTGAGCAAACCAAACAATTTTTTAATTTATCCGACATTGCTCATTATATTTTCTAAATATATTAGAAAACGCTCCTTCTTAGCCCACTTTTAGCCTGAAAATAAGGATGAAGTTAGCTAATGTCATACTGGAAGATGGAAAGGATGTTAAGATTGGTATCAATGAAATATCAAACCTGATATAATTAAAACTTTATTTTTAAAGAAAAAAAGAATTACATAGAACTGTATTATTTTCGCCTATACCAGTGAGATCTGCATGATCAAGTAGTACTGGTGATTTCTGGGTTAGATTTGTAGACATTATTATTTGCGTTGATTGGCATCAATTCTCTATATAAGAGAATTTGAAGTTCAGCAATGTTTTTTACTAACATTTGCTCACCTAATCATGTAATCTTATTCACATAAGAGTTATCAGATCTAATGCGTATAATATGTAAGCGTATAACTAATGCATAAATGTATTCAACGCTGGAATAATGTACAAGAGCAAAAGTACAACAGGAATTTATAAGACTTGCCACAGGTTGTTTTTTTCGCAATAATGAATTTGTCCTCAAGATTTTCTCCGGGGTAAAATTGAAAATCCTTTGAGCATGGTTTACATAAACCGTACTGTTTTTGAATATATGCAAAAAATATTTTTAAAGGAGAACTCCACTCAAAGGCACGAAAACTTGGACTCACGGTGCATCAATCTCAACACGCCCGCATATATACACAAATCACAGCTCAATTCTTGGAGATCACTGCGAGGTGTGTAATGGATGGATTGGAATTGTCGGAAAACAGGCTTATAAATGCTGTGGTAGCCTTTTTGAAGTTTCACTAATTCCAAATTCATTTTCTCAAAAAGCCGTTCATGACATTCTACAACAAAGTTAAGCTAAGTAGTTATTCAGACCTCACATATGGACATGTTAAACTTTTGCTTTTCAAATCACGAGGAGAAGTTTAGTTCTCCAAATGTGTTGTTGATATTTCACGACATTCTTTAGTTATGCATTTTTACAATCGTAACAGTTTTTCAGATTGTGGTTTACATATCCATAAAGCATGCATTGATAATGCACCTGTGCCTTGTGTGCCACGAACTCCAACATCTCGGACACCTGCCAAACAGCGTCCACGCTTGAAGGATTTATGTCCTTCTACGCAGCCTATGATACCACCAATTCTTATTCATTGCGTTTTGGCTCTAGAAAAGAATCGACTATACTCGGAGGGTATTTATCGAATTCCTGGGTGATTTATTGGATTCTTTAGTTTTAAATTAGTCTAGAAAAAATTTTTCAAAGCGTATGAGTTAAAATAATTTATTAAAGTTTCGTACAAGACTTTCTTGCTCCGATACATCTGCTATAACTTCAGGGATGACAGTCAGGTTCAGAAACTACTAAATGAATTTCAAAATGGTCGCTCCGTTCCGAAATTGGATTATCACGACACGGAAACAATAACGAGCTGTGTTAAGCAATTCTTAAATAAATTACGGGTTCGTTCGATAAATACTTTTTGATTTTTTCCCTTAAATTCATAAAATTCTTTAAATTTCTATAAATTTCAACTTGCAGGATCCAGTAATTCCGAGCACATCTTGGGAGGAATTTGTTAATGCTGCCCAAATGAATGACATTGTAGCTCTGAATCATAGCATTATGGATTTACCCTATCCAAATCGAGATACACTTGCTTTCCTCTGTGCTCATTTTCAGAAAGTTAGTTTGTTGGGAGATTATAATAAAAAATACTGCTATTGAAGTTTTTCAATTTTGAGGGCAGGCAACTTCTGTCATGGACATCGGCCATTAGCAAAAATAAGAACTAAGATCCCACTACTTTTTGGAGTGAAATCGAGAAAATTTAGAGAAACTCACTTTACCATGTTTTGATTCAGCACCTTACGCTTCTGCGTTTTAATTTTCGTTTCAGATTTGTGATAACTGCATTCAAAATAAGATGTCTCGAAATGTTCTAGCACGTTGCGTTGCAGCAATTATTGTAGGCCCAGCTCCTCCACATGTAGTGAAAGATGAGGAAGAAAAAAAGCAGGTTAATGCAGACGTTTCTGAATAAGTTTAAATAGTTTATTATTCGAATGCATTTTTATACCTCGTGTTGTTCTGCTGGGAATGCAAAATGATTTTTTTTTTATTTAAGGAAGTACAGTAAATAAAAAAAAAAGTGTGAAAGAATATAATTTGTTACTTATTTTGCAGATGATGGTTATGTCAGCTCTGCTTAAAATGCCTTCAGACTATTGGCCTAAATTCTACAATTTTGATAACGGAATACCACTGATCAACAGCCCCAAGTGGTAAGCAGCGATTTTATGAAATAAAACAAAGATAATAAAAGAGGACAATTTTTTAGCATTTTCATGAACCTCCTAGATGTTGTGAACTTCTTTAAAAAAATACTTTATTTCGTTTTCTGTATCAATTTTGGAAAGAAAAAGAAAGCATGCATCATGGAGATATTTTCAGCGCTTTATATGACAACAGCAAACCTGTGAAAACCCCGTACAAGAATCCAAATAAATCAATTCTGGGGCCAGTTGAAACTCCACCATCTGGACAAAAAACAAATACGTACCAACCTAAAATATCTAGACGGAAGCATTTCCTCGGCGACATTTTTTGAACTTGACCTTGTTCCATGTTTCTAATTTGAAAGTATTTTTATGCTGATATAGTTTTCAAAAGCCATTTTGGAAGCTTTCTGTAGCGTTTACTTTTTTTGGAAAGACAACAACTCTTTTGGGTAGACATTCAACAGCATCAATATTTGTCCTTTTCTACTACGCATGTTATCGTAATGGAATGCAATTTATCAGTATGTTCGAAGGAGCATATTAGTTTTCCATTTACGCTTGAATTTATTCTTTCAGTATGTTTCAAAAAGTGAATTTTTTAGTGATGGGTTTCTCTTTGACTCAAACTAATCCTCCCTAACTGAGCTGAATTCTTGAATTGTCTCTTAACATTCCACTCATTATCTTGTACTATACTCGCCCTTGTGTCAATTGGCACGAAGATGTATTTATTTCATTTGAATTCAGTTTGAGAAATTTTTGGCGAAAGTTCTTGCCTACATCTTATTATACAATGCTCAGTTTATTATTGGTAGCAGTACAAAAAGCTGAAACTTTGCTTCTTATATTTATTAGTTCTTGTCCCGAAACACTTTAGTGAGCGATATGTTAGATTTGATGCAGACTTTTGAACTGGAAAATCAAATCTACGTATCGAATAACTTCATTCGAAGTAAAAGTAAACATTTAGATGATAATAATTCGGTCATGTGAATGTAATACTGAAATGTTTAGTACAAATATTTGTGTTTTTGTTTTTCCTATATATCGCTATCTACGATGATCGTTATGCAACAAATTATGCTTACATCATGGCGCTTTTCATTATCATTCATTGATTTGTTTTTGAAGACAGTTAACAACACATTACTGTGTGTACAATAATAAATGTTGTGCACCTGGCCAAGTTATTTTGGGCACTTTGTGACATCAATAAAATATTTTGCGTTGATATTAATTTTGTTTGCAATGCAGGAATGGTTCGCTTCGATCTCTGATTTGGAGGAGTATAACAGAGAAAAAAAAGTTAGCAGTGAAGGAAATTCTAAAACAATTACCAATATCTGATACCTGATGCTAGGGCTTGAGAATGTACGGATTCTGGATTCGTAGTTAGAGCTGCAACAGGAGCAGTCCTTAAATTTATGGAGGCAGAATGAGTAGAGTCCTGGGTGATTTTAAGATTCATCTTTGTCGGATATATACATTGTAACAGTTCAATTTAACTAATGCAGTAATGCTCTGAGTTTCTGAAATTGTTAATTTGCATACCTATTTCAAGTCATAACGGAATTGTTCATCGTTTTTTTCGGTTTATATGTCAATTTTTGTATGTATCCGTAATTGTTGATATATGTTTTCCTCGTATAGATTCGTTTTTCTTGATATTATTTACTGTTTTTTGATATGTCACACTTGCAAAAATATTAATTTGAAAAAATTATTGCAAATTCACATTTTTTAATGTTTGTTTGTTGTCATTTTGTGGAAAATCACATCAAAAATTTACTAGTTTCTGTTTACAGAAAAAACATGAAAAAAGTAATGGATGATAATATTTGCCATGATAGATCACGTATTATCTTGAATGAGTACGCCGAAACAGTCAGTATTGCCAAATTTCTTGTGGAAGGACAAAACACTCGTAAGTTTGTTATTTTTGGAATGGACTTGATGTATTTTAATGCATTGGAAAATAATCTTGCCTGTATAATGTCCATCAAAATTGCCACAAATTGATATTAAGGCAAATGTGCAATTCGGTGCTACTTACTATTTCAGCTTATAAAGAATGCGTTAGAGAATTGGCGGCAGTTTTGAAATTATATTTATGCAAAATTTTAATTGTTTGAGCTTTTTAAAGTTTGAAATCATTGTTACGGAGCTCATTAGCAATAACAGAGGGTTGGTAAACTGTGACTCTTCCTACGCCTTCGTGATAGTTTTCAGAGTTGTACGTGGTTTTTTCCATTATTATTTTTTTATGTTACTCCCGTGTAAACTCCTGACGGTGTACTCTTATGGTTTTGCATTGAGAATGAAGAAATATTATTGTATCATCGCAGATAGACTATATCGACTGCAGTATAAATACGATGTAGTAAGTTGTCCAGCAGTGAGAGTTCTTTCTCCCTAAAAGAGGACTAATTCACTCGAAGTCCTACCACAGCATCCAGAAAATAAAAGAAATTATGTCTTCATGTACTACTTTAATAGCGAAGAGCCAATCATTGATATTTTAGAATGAAGAAACATTCATAATCAACATGAAAAAAACTGTTCCAAACTTCTTTTTGATCAAGTAGCTTCTTGTTTTACAATATTTAGATATTTAGAAATATCCAACATCCCTTTCGGAGTCTTTCTGGACTAAAAACTGTATTATTTTTCAGATACCGAATTTATACATCTTCTTGATATAATGGAAAACATACGTCAAAACTGGAATGCAGAAAAATTAAGAGCAGACGCTTTACAGGAACAGATGAATACTCGAGAATATGATTATAGGTTAGTTAGTATAACATTCATTGTCTTTTATGCCGAAACATGTTTTTACAGACTTCGATGAAAAGTTGAACTGTACAGGTAAAGGATAGTTTATATGTAAAGGATATTTTTTTTTGATATGTAAAGGATAGTTTAATCAAGGAATAGAATATAAATTCATAAATCGTTTACATCAAATCCACCTTTGTGAAAGTTATTTGGTAAACTGATCTGCTTGATTACCGTTGGTTGGTAAGTTTAGTATAACGATTTCTAGTTAGGTCTCTGCTGAATTTTATAGCTCATTAGACCATTCTGGTTGATCTTACATCAATCCTCTTTTATTTTTTTTCGTATCATATTTTTTTATGATCTTAAATCTAATACATAAATATTATTAAAGAGCCTATATAGCATCTGAAATTTATTAAATCTTTAGAAATTTCGGATTGTAAATAAGCCTTTCTAAACAAGCATTTTAAAAAAATGGAAATAAAGGCGTAGATTGAAGAAAGGTAGTAAAAATTTTTAAATCTAGATTGTAAGCTAAGCATCAATATGAATCTGAAAGAAACAGCGAAGTTAGAAATAAGAAATGTTTTAAAAATTATACTTCGTGAAACGGGCATGGTCATAAAAGCAGTTTATGCTCAATTTCGATTCGTATCTTTCGAATTTATTACGACTTGTTAAACTTTTGGTGAACTTATGTTTCATCATTTTCAGTGGATTGCGACAGGAAAATCGAATATATAAAGAACAGCTGCGGGATGCACGTGCTCAAATTGCTACATTGATGTCCGATAAACAAAACTTAGAGCGTGATATGGTTGAACTTGAAAAAAAATTTGCATTAGTCAATGAACTGCTGAAGGTTTGACTGAAGTCTGCATCTGTTAAGGAAATTCCTTCACCTATTTTTTTTTTAATGGAAATTGCTGTTTTAGAGTGACCAGTCATTGCTGAAACAAGAAGACCGACAGAAACTATCATCGTTTCGTAAGCCAATTATGATAGAAGGACAAACGCATCATGCACGTCGTGGTGTTTCACGTACGCTTTCACATGGCGAAGATATTGATTATGACAAGACGGGTGACTGCATGGATATTTCATACGACGACTCTGATGAATCGCATTTACGGAATGGTAAAGTGCAGAGAAGGTAAGAAAGTCTCGTTTGAGTCATCTTGATTTCTATTTTCTATTTTGCTTTTTGATAACTGGTCTTTATTTTAGCATATTTTTTAGATCACGAAGTTTAGCTGTTCTTCCAAGCAGTCATAATTCTGTAGCTACTATGAAGCGTTCCAAAGAATCCAAAAGAATGAATATTGTTGAGGAAGAAATGGCAAGTTCTGGAGATTTTTTCTTTGTGACAATATAGTGTAAGTATGGTTGCTGTTGTTGTAAAAGTGATGCTTTATCGTTTATTTCGATGTCTCTGATCTGAATTGTAAAGTTGATAATTCAGACTAAGATCCAAAAAAAGAAGTTGTGTCAATTTTGCATTTATTTTCTTTCCATTTTCGGGATGCAGTGTGCTAATTTCTTGGCTCATGTTTCTCAAATAAATTTTAAGGGCACTCCTTGCAAACGGTCAAAAGATGGGACTGAAATTAGTACCTCATGCAAACGATCAAAAGATGGAACTGAAACAATCATTACCACTACAACAATAACTGTAGATTCAAATGGGAGAAAACCACCAACAGCTAGTGTCTCACTTCGACGTTCTAATCGATCAATGTCAGAATCAAATATTCTGAATGTTTGTTCAAACTATTATTTTTGTAAATACTTTATTGCTGTTTTCTATATAAGCCTCATTTCATAATGTTCGTTCTTTTTCTCTTACATAACTTCTTCAGCTTTCACTTGTGATTGTTGGCTAGACAGAGATTATTAAGTTTCGAATCCCTATGCCTTATCGTTTCAGCAAAACGAAGAAACCAAAGCTGAATCGACAACAAAATTTAGTGCAGTCACACCACGGTATGGAGCCAGTGCTCTTGACCTGTAAGGGTTTTTATTCTCCCAGTATTTTGCAAATGCATGGAACTTCACATTTTCGTACAGTCGTAACTTCTTTTAGTACTAAAATTAATGCTTTATCTAAAAATGCAATTTTCTTCGTCATATGATCGTTTGTTAGCACGAATAAGTATTTTTTTATTTTATTATCAAACCATGCCAAACAATTTAAGAGATTGAGAGATTTTATTTTCCAAATATGAACTTTAATTCCATCATTTCTTTTCTCTGACAATTTAGACATACTCCACATACTGCGGTTAAAACTTGGACTAATGGTTCTTCAATCGAAACTCGACCACATACTTTTGCTAATTTTACATCGATTCTTGGTGATCGCTGTGAAATATGCAATCGTTGGATTGGGCTCGCTGGAAAAGCGGCTTACAAATGCACAGGTAAGCGAAAATTAGTTTTTTTAAAAATAAATTTTGTAGAAGCAGTCACTTGATTTCGATTTTTGTTATAAATTTTTTCTTGGAATGTGGTGTAGTTAGTTCATTTGCGGTAATTACATTGACTACACCTACCAAGATTTGGCATTTCCGGATTTCTTCCGTTTTGAAATCTTTTCCTGTAATATTGAGATTGTGGAATTCGTTTGCATAAATTGTGCACAAAAAATGCTCCGATTCCGTGCGTACCACGAACAGCAACACCTCGAACTCCCGGCAAGCAGCGTCCTCGGTTGAAAGATTTTTGTCCATCAATTCAACCGATGATTCCGTCTCTCATCATACACTGCGTCCTGGCTTTAGATAAGGATCGTTTGAACACAGAAGGTATTTATCGAATTCCCGGGTAAGAGTTTTTTATTTCTATGATTGCTTTTTGATAATAGAAATGACAAAAGTATTACGCAATTATGCGGCTATAGTTTTGCAACCGTAGTTTTGTTTTTCTATAAAATAAATTCTATAAAAAAAATAATTTCTATAAAATAAAATAAATTTCTATAAATTAAAATAAATTTTCTATAAAATAATTGATACTGTTACTTGTTTAATAACTTCGATTTCTTTCCATAATTGAGGAATTTCTCTTCTTCCAGACAGGAATCGCAAATTGTTAAATTACTAAATGAATTTAAAAACGGTCGCTCATTGCCCAAATTAGAATATCATGACACAGAGACAATCACTGGTTGTATAAAACGCTTTCTGAGGGAAATAAGGGTTAGTTGATCAAATTTTACAGATTTTAATCCGTCATTGTAATGACAGCTTCGAACATATTATTTTTTAGGATCCAGTAATCCCGATGTCGTCTTGGGATGAATTTATAACTGCAGCTGAACGTGATGATTTCGAGGCTTTGAATCGCTCAGTGATGGATTTACCCTTTCCAAACAGAGATACTCTCGCATTTCTTTGCTCTCATTTCCAACGGGTTCGCATTTTCTTTACAACTTTTATATTTCATTCATTTTTCTTGAAAGGTTTGAAGGATTTTTTAGGTTTGTGATAATCGTTCACGAAACAAGATGTCTCCAGAGGTTCTAGCTCGCTGTATTGCTCCAACAATTATTGGCCACCCTCCATCACGCGCCACAACCATAGCACAGAATGCTGACGATGTAGCAAAACAGGTAATTTCTGATTTTATAAATGTTTTCCTTCGTTAGAAAGTATTCAACACATATAGAGTTCTGAAGTTTCTGACATTTGTTAAAAAAAATCTGTTTTAGATTATGGTATTGTTGGCTTTGCTTAAAATGCCACAAGACTATTGGCCAAAGTTCTATGCATTTGGTCAAGAAAAATCTCTGCTCAAAACTCCTACAAGGTAAGCAGATAATTTGGAAGAATAAAATCCATTACATTTTGAAGCAGAGTTTTACACGATGTAACGCCAATGCACGAATTCACGTCTTATTCGTTTGACTAAATGCACTGGTGATTTTGCAATAAACAAAGATGAAAGTATAGTTAATCTTTTAACTCGCATTACTGCATGTTCTGATGTGTCGCATATTAACTTAGTTAATGTTTTTAAATATTTAAAATTGGTGTGAAAATTTTTGAAGTTTTACAGTGGATCAACAGCAATATTGATTTGCAATAAGGAAAGTAAGACTCCAGTTCGACCTTCATTTAAAGTCTCGAGAAAGAATCCGAACAAATCGATGCTAGAACCAGTTCAAATGTCACCAACTGGAAACCAACCAAGAGAATTTCAGCCTTTGTGGGGTAAACGTGGGAAGGTTTTTGTCGATACTAATTTCTAACCTACTAAGAATACTTAATTTACTAGCGGTGTTATCGAATGTGTAACAAGATGGGTTAAGGTCACTGCACTTAAAGTGACCAAAAATGCGAAAATGTAATATATTTTGATTGCAAAATCCCTAAAAAAGTTATACTTAAATGACTGTGACTTCGCGAGAATCATCTTATAACGGCCACTCAGTTAAGTGTTTTCCCGTCATGAAATTCAACATAACTTCGTCTTTTTGGAATTAAACATAACTTCGTCTTTTTGTTTACCACTTCAAGATTAGAAATCAAGATTTATGTTTTTCGACATATACCAACCATTTTCTTTGGGGAAAATAACACTTAATCACTTGTTTTGTGGCCAGGTACTCTATAAATTTCTAGTGCTCGTAATTCAATGATGTTGGTATGTGCTCACTTTGTAGTTTGATTCTGTTTTAACATCAAAGGTAAAATGTTAATGTAGATTTCCCGAAATGTATTTTTCAGATCTTTCACAATGACTATCTTTTGACAGATCTATTTCCTCCTGGCACCTTTTTTTAGGTTGTTATGCTTTTAATTATCCTTTTTGCATGTTTCTATGTAGTATTTTCTTGAAAAATAAGTATAATTTGCAAAATCTTAAAAATGGAATTGGGGATTATAGCTACTTGCCTTGCAGTTTAAGTTACATAGTATTTTTGCCAGATCCTTCCCAAATTACTTTTGTTTGATATCTTCATCTGTGCTAAATTATTTTCTGGGCAATATTTATGTTCATATCTCCACAACTTATTGACCTGTTTGTTAAAGGTCTTTAGAAGATGCTAATTCAAATGCTATGACTATATCACTGAATGAATATCAGAATTAGAGCGGTCTAAAGAATATACAGAAGTCATATCTCGTTAGAGGAATATGAATCCTTAAGTGTGTATGTATGTGTGTCGCAAAGAATATTAGTAGTAAAAGTATGATAAAATGCCCTTCTTTTATATTTTACTGGCAAATGCGAAGTGCTTTCTGTTGAACTGGCGTTACTGATTCGACTGGTCCATTCACTTCATTTAATTTTAATGTATTTAACATCATATAAACAACTACGATTGGTATAGATAGTGGACAAATTCAGTTTTACCTGCATCTCCAACACAGCCGTCCGGATAGTAGACCGCTAGCGTTTGAAACATATTTGGCACGAAAGAGATCAAACAAAACGAAACATGCGATAGAATTTACTTACAAATTCTTCCTTCTTATTCTATCTAATTCTAATGTTAAACTAGGACTCAAGCAAATTTATGTTTTGAAACATATAACAATATTTTTAATAACTTTTTCGAAAGTTCACCATAAGATTTGTAAAGGAGTTAGTTCGTTAGGATATGATTGTTGCAGGATTTTCATAAATTTATTCTAAAGGAATCCATAAAAATTAGTACATATTTTGGCAATATAGATAGATCGAACGGGGAATGATTTGAAAAATAATGCAGTTTAGCAATACGTATCTGAAATATACAAGAATTGCCGCAGATATTAGCAATGCTCCATCTAGTTTCAAACGTTTCAACAATGGAAAATGAAAGTGTGGTACAGAAAAATTTACAAATCCCACTCGAACCTTCTTGTAAGAGTAACGAAAACTATTTAGTTTTACAGCAAAGAATAATGGACTTTAAAAGGTAATAGAAATTTTGCAATACATATTAGAATAGTAGGAGATAATAGGACATTCATTTATTAACAGTGTGATGTCACAGCAAGCAGTTGACACGGATCACTTTATCGATGTTAAGTCTTTGACTAGCTATAAAATGAGGCCTAAAAACCTGTCTAAAAGTCTGACGGAATGGTGCGGAACGATATGTGGTGGCGATAACAATAATAAAGACACAAAATCCGATTTTAGCTAGTATAAATTTACACAGTAAAGTTACCTATTTCATGCAAGCATGTTAACGTCCCGACATGCCCTCTATTGCGCTTTGTTTGTGGATCATATCTTCCGGCCGAAAAGAAATGTAAGACGTATTTTAGAAATAATTTGAAAAAGGGCAATGAAATGAAGGTTAAAGCATGTAAGAGGTTATTTCATTTGCTGGTACATTCCCCGAATCCGAATTTCGAGACAAGAGGAATGTATTCTAAAAAATACATTGACTCAAAAATCTTGGAATCCTTTGGAGAACGAACTTTAAGAAAGCCAACCATCGAATTAGTTTGGTTTTGTTGCAGGGAAAATAAAAATCGGTTATCATCTATGGCGCAAACGAAATCACTAACCAATCGAATATCTTCAACAAGTAATCGTTGAATGTTTTGCATGTTCCAAACGACTCATCTGACAAAATTTGCCCTCATAATATTCGCTGATGTTACTATTTCCATGATATCGTGCTCGTTCTTACTGGCAGATTTCTTATCTAAATTATGACAAAAGTTTGGAAAAGTTTTTTAATCTTTCCGATGTATTTCGCATATGAAGGGGTCAATGCCATACTTATAAAATGTCATGAATTCGTATCTGTCTTTAAATCTAAAAAGCTGAAAGATTGCTTTCGTCATATAATTTGCTCTGATACGTCTCAGGAAAAAAAACTATAACGAGAGCCGTGAACTTTACGAAGTATTAAAAGAATTTTTACGTAATAAATAAACAAACAAAATTTGCTAAAAAGATACATGCACCGAAATGCTCGACATCGAAATAAAAACTTACCAGTAAAAGATTCCACTCTACTGATTGTTTCCAGTAATACTGGTGAATTACAAGGAGGCCAGTTGCCTAGTTCAAATTTGCCTCTTCTCGTTCCATTTCAAGTATCTCCTCTTGTTCTTCACTATTTAGGTAACTATTCATGATTGACCGAATGTCAGCGCTCGATATCGTATGCAACTTGTTGCTTTCCAATATGTTCTGTTTAAGACATTGGCTGACTCAGTTAGGTAATCGTTTTTTACCTTAAAAATATAGAGTAAGAAGAACTACTCTGTACCATAATTGAAATTATAATAATAAAATATATTTCTATCAGATTCAAAATATAAAGACTAGATAGCTCAAAAAGATAGACTTTTAATGGCAGCAATATTGCTTGAGTATCTAGTGCCAGTATACTCTCATGATCTAAATGTCCTAAAACATATTCAACAATAGTTGCATCATTTTCTTCAGCTCTCACATTCATGAAACAGGTACAATGATTGACCACTTTCTGCTTTGTCCGTGTGAGATCCTCTTTGAAAGTGAATCTGCAAGGTGTTTTGCTTTGCCAGCTCTGGAATGAATCACAAATCAAATTATTCCCAAATAATTCAACAATTTTTATTTTAAAGCAGACTAACGACCAAATTGTCAAATTAAATAACCTAATACACATACTTCGGTTAAACGACTAAGTTTTTACCAGAGAAATTCAAAGAAAAAAAAAGAACATCTAAAAGCTAATAAAAGCATAAATATATCCGGTGTGAAGATGAAATCAAAACAATCCACCACAATTCTACAACAAAACAAAAAATAACATAAGCCAAAATGCTACACACAAAGATGACAATGCAGTGAAAGAGCTTATTGGAAGTCAAATCTCGAGGAATCACACATTATCCTAATGTATATTTCACATTTATCGTCAGAAGATTCGTACAAATAATCCATTAGTTCCATTAAACCTCCTAATCAAACATAACTTTCTACATTTTATACAGCATATGTGCATTTATCCTTAACAGAAATGGCTCTAATACATTTCTTTCCATTTCGATGTATTGCATGAAATCATCAAATTTTGCACGACTTCGAAAATTTTGCGGTTGTAATTCGAAATTCTGCTCTTCAATCTTGTGCTCATCATGACCATGTTTGGTCAAATTTTTCACCATACGGAATCTTTCAAAACGTTCTGGGCATTTTACTGGTTTCTGTCGGGGCCTCAGAAGATATCAGATAATTTTTAAAAATTATCAAACGAGAGAATTAAGTGAAAACAAGGTAAAAATATTCCCCAAGTCTTGTCCGAGAAAAAATACCTTTACAGAATGATGTTTGATTTTTTGAGAAAGTAAGCCTTGTCGACTATCTCCATTTTACTCACACTCATCATTCACCACAGAGGATTTCTTCCTTTTGCAACTTTGATAACTTCCAACGTCATGCATCATTTTCATGTAAGATGAAAATGACCAGCTTGTAGAGAATTGCATGTTATATAGCTCGCAGAGTTTGCTTGGGAACATATTTGATTCTTTTTTAACTTAAAATTTAAGACTACATTTTAATTGGAATCTTTAACAAATAAAACTATAATTTCACTAAATGAGGCAAATTTCTGTTCTTCCATTGTTACTTTCCAGATGTCAGGTCAGAGCTATCTCACATTACAATTTGGTGTCTCAGCACCTCTTAAAAATAAGCATGGCTGCCTACTATAGTCTCAGAGAGGTATGATTGATGTGACTTGTACTGAATCCAGATAGATCCAGCAAAAAAATATTAGATAATTATAAAAATCATAAGATACCAAACTTTTTCAGAACGTATTTTTCAAACTGCTTCCATTTTGTCGTCCTTGATTTGAAATGTTACCTCTCTGACTGCTGTGCTCAATAACCGATGTGCCCAGACTAAAGCAAATTTCTGGATTAACAGTGTCTCATCAAATAATGCTTATGACATTTGCACAATGTCAAACGTGTCAAGATTATATTAAAGGATTTAGTAGATTCAATTCTTGTGGTTTTTCTTCTCGTATTCTGTCCATATTATTAATTCTTCCTATCTTTTAAAAAAGCAAATATTTCATAAAAGCTACACAAATGTTGACATGACAAAGAGCAACTGAATATAAAGATACGTGAAAGTCGAGAAATGATAGACGAAAAAAGACAACACTTCAAAATCAGTCCAAAAGCAGGAAAATAAGTTCACTGCATACGACCCTTCTGATTTATGCATACATATAGATCAATCCCTACTTTCGTTTGTCAATGTAAAGTTCTACAGAAGAATATTGTCGAAATATAATATGCCTACAAATCATCAACAATAATGAGCCTCTTGAAACTGACAATCGCGACACGCGAAACTGCTACATTTAAAACCGCAAGGCAAAATGGAAAGTTAAAGAGGGGTACTCCGGAAAAGTGCGTTAATACGTCACTGAACAAAGGATAATTTCCAAGCCATCTGACAACCAAATTTCTTATGTGAAAAGCAATTAGCTTGGAAGAAATTTAAATGATATTAAAATGAAAAGTCCATGAAATTCGCCACACCTACTAAAGCAGCAAAATTTGCAAACCCCTTGATGTTAAGCCAATGATACCATCATGAGGAAGTCGCTGGAATATAGTTTTACTGATGCGTTTTTATCTGACTTAATAGTACCACTTGATATCATTTAACAAAAAATTTATTGTTATTTAAATAGAATAACAAAAAACGCCGACAAAAATTTTATTTCACATTTTCATTCCTTAGCTTCTCTTAAACGCCTGATGGTACTTCGCACGGTAGCTGCGGCAGTTGTACTGTAGACATAAGCACCACCAGCAACTACTTTGTTACATTTTGAGCATTTCCAAATGCCTACACACTTCCGCTTCATCGACTCCTTCCCACAGAAGGCACATGTATACTTAGAATGCTGAGTTACCTGAAACACTCAAATACTAGTAGAAAAGTAAAAATTTATGCACAAATGATAAATGACATCACTAAAACTGCTGCTGAGCTAAGAGAGTCCTAGAGAAATCCTGCACTTAGCAATTCTGTAGTATTTAAGCAAAATTAGAATCAGACTCAGCACCCATACAAGCAAAACATTACTGCCATCACTTAATATGAAAACATTTTAACCTATCTGCTTACACTAGCACATACAGCCCCAACAATTCTACTCTTGCCCATTAATGAAATGATTTAACAATAGTGCAAAAAAACCAGAAAAATACCTCCATCTTTTTAACAGTCTTTCTCAGCGAGGCACCATAACGAGTTCCATACTTTCCTACTATGCCAACCTTCTTCGTTCGTTTAGCCATTTCAACAAACTTTGAAATGAAAAGAAAAATCAATAATTATAATGAAAAGTCATTCCAGCCATCGTAACTTCTTAGCCAACCAATGAACTCCGACAATCAACTACGTTCTCGACAAATAATCCTACAAAAGAAAAACAGAACTCCCCATCCCACACCACAAGCGACCCGTCAAATCTGCTATCATTCCTCCAAACAATGCACCAAAAAGGAAATCGCCCAAGCCTACCGCTGCGTTGCCAGATCATTCTCCTGGGCACTATGAAAACTAAGAACCCATCCTCATTTCTGCTGTTCGACGCGCGAGAGTCCCACTGTTGTTGTTGTGAGGTAGAGTAGCTCTAGGTGTATATCTTTCTCAGATTTATTACGGTATGACGCCTTCCATACAGTTTATTTTTTATTTTAATGACATAACGGACAAATTATAAGAGACAGAATTAATTAGTGAGTCAAATTGACTTTTACATGAACAATAAACAGATGAATACTCTTTGTAAGGTGACATACCGTAAGCAGTGCACTTCAACTCAATAAATTTACTTTTATAAAATTATTGACTTTTCAATCCAGTCCCACAGATTATAAATCGAAACCAGTTAGAGTGAAACAGTATGTCAAACAGTTTATTAAGGATTTTGGAATTTGGGTAAGGAACAGAACGGCGAAAAAATTGGTTGCAATAACATGCAAAGCATATGATAGTAATCGAGCAAACTATTACACGAAATCTATCTTCATGAACTGAATGGAAATGTCTTTAAGGAAATAAGTATAATAAACTAGGCCGATAATTGTTCCTCGCCTTCAGTCATTGACAATATTTCTTCCCACTCTAAAGTTGAAGACTAACTACACAGTTTTGTGTTGCGTATATCACTTCAATACTATGCACTTATTATTATCTTTTAATCAACTAATCGTTCAGTTCTGGAAATAAAAACAAAAGTCTACTTTTCAACTGATTTCATTGGCCGTTGTGTCGAATAACGCTTACCAATACGTATCTCCAATTTCGCACTATGACCTATGCTGTCTATCTCAGTCTTGTTTTCTGCTTCTTTACCTAAAATAACAACACATCAGAATATCTTTTTGAAAGTCTGGTAGCTGATCTATTTAATTTCACTAATAGAATTATTAACTATCAGATCCAAAACTGCTACATTGGGATGATGTAACTTATACGAACTGTACAACAGCTAGCAGCCGTAGCTGCGATATCTATCAGCAATAGCTCAAAAAATTATAAAAAGACAAATTCAGCAATCGTCTAATTAATTTTAAAACTAAAACTAGTACCTTAACATATATCTTTTACCTACTTCACTGAGTCCCATCAATTGGATTTAACACTTTCTTTTCCGAGCACTTACCTTCATCTAACTTTTGATTTCCGTAATCACTATGATGTTCTTCATTCATTGCGTCACCAGCTAATGGCAACCGACTGTCGTTTCCTCGCTTTCTTAGACTTTTTCTTTTCTCTTGGCCACTAATCCCATGGCTACGAACTAGAAAACAATCACATTAGACAATATCGCCAGAAATGTGTTCAAACCGATCAGAATTAAATTAGTATTTGCATCAACTCAATTAAGACTATCATTTATAAGTACATATAACTTGGAATTATTGTTTAAGATATCAAAAAACAATAAAAACATGCTCTTGCGCGTCCTTGTAAAATGACGTGGTGCGTTCCAAACGTTTGCTGCCGTCGGGATTCGAATCGGATTTGTACCACGTATATCCTGTCGGAAAGCCAAAAACAATAATTCTTGTAACAATTTTAAAATGAAGATTTGCCCTTGAAATAATAAAACAGTTAAAATCAAATCTAGAATTTAACAAACAGTCAAAAGTAAACCTAAAAACTATGGAGCATTTCCCAGAAGAATCTGCATTTTTTCACTGAAATTGCACTCGTACTGAGTGTGTAAGCTTACCAAAGAGACAGGATTTCCTTCCCGATCCACACCATATTTCTTGGCAAATTCTCGATCAGACAATGGTATCTGGTCATCTTCATTATATAAATCATGCCGCCATTTGCGATCAGCGCGTGACAACGGATGTAACGTAATTTTCTCACTAGTTTCACGGGTGTCATGCATGAAAAATTGTCCTGTGCGCGGAATGTATGCTGGATGTGTCTGATCTTGATCCTCATCAGGTTCGGACACTTCTTCATCCTAAGAAAAAATTAACATCAACAAGATTAGAGAATGCGGATAACATGCCACTATATTCTTTTTCATATTCTCGTTTTTTCTGATTATTTTCACTCAAATTTATTAATTTCCATTTGTTTAATGATAACAGTTTGTTATAAACCCAAAGAAATGTATTAAAAGGTCAAGGATATCCTCTTAAAGCAATGATAAATTCCGCATGAGTTTTACATTATTTGCATTTCCTGTGGGCAACAAATCATTCAAATGGTTGCCATCAATTGCATTACGGATTAGAGTCTATCACATTTCACTATAGAAGTTTTTTTCAAGAAAAATTATCATTATCAAAAAAAGCAAAGAAGACATCAAACGGAAACAAGGTATCGGTTGTCATGCAAAAAGTGAACATAAAGGACATAGGACGTTAGATACATTAAAAGCGAAGACATTATTGTATATTCAAACAGATAGGAGAAAATAACTTTCAATTTTTATACAAGTTATCAACAGCAGATAATCGCGGGGAATTATAGATGAAGTATATTTGAAATTAATCATCCAGGGTCTTTTAGAGATGAGGATAGATCATATGGCAATGCGGTAAGAAGTTTATAAAATTGGAAATATCAAGCTTACGTCATCAGGCCTTTCTAACTGCTGGATATTCGTAGTTTCATCCTGCGGAAAAGTATTCAGATATTCACTTTCACAAATATTCACTATTTCGTCTTCTAAGTTTCTTGACTGTTCATTATCAATAATTTTCATTTCCGAAAAATAACCAGCGATACCCATTAGCTCCGGATCTTCCTCCATTATCATTCTTGCTTCTACTGTTGTTATCGTTGCCACTTTAAAAGAACTTTGCATGAGGCGCTACAATAGCTCGAAATTACCCAGTTTTTATACGCTTCTTCTGTTGGAAGGAAACGTGTTTTCGATTGCCGCATCAAAAATGCTTATTGCTAAATCTCTAAGGTGACCGGATCTAATGCTAAATTTCATCCATTGATACATAAATCCAGCATAATATATATTTGGGTATCCAAATATCCTATAATAATTTAAGTCCAACATTTCATATCTCTAATCTTTAAATCAAACTCACAAAAATTGTACAACCGAAATAGGAGAAAATCTTTAGACTGAGTTATTTAAGTTGAAGCGAGATATGAAGATCAGGAAGCATTTTAAGATCACCAGATCAAATTTACTTCCTATCGGTTACGTGACTCCATTCCTGTGATCTACCAAAAAAACGCTCTCAAGATCGTGCTGAAAATATCTCTCCATTGTTTTCTTGCAGTAAACAATATTGAAATTGCAATTAGTTCAAAAGTAAAAGTTCGCGCAAACAAATTACAATTAAAATTAATTGTAGTAAAGAAATGAAAACCAAAATTTATATACTGAAAACGGTGAAAAGTTCACTTAATAATGCTTCTTAACAACTAAATCCTCAGAAGATTTCATTCCTATTACCATGAATTTCATGACCGTTCCCTTACTGTTGCCACATAACAACAATCACTCATAATGGCTTTACTGATTAACAACTCGCGCAATTCACGCAGGCGAGCGGCATTGCTATTTAAAAACGTGTCGGAAAATCTCCAGAAGATGGATGAAACACGTTTGAAGTACATTTCTAGACAGAGATAACGTGATGTGCGCTCTCTTATCGTGTTAATTACAAAGAATGGTTTTGGAATAGAGATAAAAAGTACACGTAAGCACGTAAGCATGGAAGTGACTGACACAATGACTAATAAGGATATGAGAAAGGATAGTAGCAAGGAAGTAGTCATATCCATTTTGTAGGAAGTGTACGTGCTTTAGTGAAATAATAGAGCGTAATGAATGGACGGTAAGATGAATAAATTAGATTGCTTGTGAACATATTGAAGAGATGGAGAATGAAGACGTGACATGGGAGGGAAGGGGTAGAGAATAGATACGTAATATGCGTGAGGAGAGCTAGAGAATAAGTAGTAATATGCGGGGAAAGAGCTAGGAAATAGGTACTTAGATGTGAGAAGATCTAGAGAATAAATACGTAACAAACGTGCAAAGAGCTAGAGAATAAGTACGTAACAAACGTGCAAAGAACTAGAGAATAAGTACGTAACATGCGTGAATAAGTAAGCGGCGTGCGTGGGCTGTTTTAGTACTATTTCGATTGAAATTCTTTGAAAATCAAACATCTAAAAGATAATCTTGGTATTATTTCAGTGTAATGGCAGCAAAAGAGCAGTGTATAGCTGAAAACAATGATCTGATAATTTGTCATCGCTACCGATTAGTACATAAAATAGGCAATGGTACCTTTGGAACAGTATTGTTAGGTAATCTCTTATGGATCATTTATCCTTATCATTATTATAGCATGGTAATTGTCGAGGTACTTTCTAATCCAATTCTCTAAGTATATTTTGATTGTACCACTTTTTTTGAAATCTGAATGTTATTTAGGATATAAAAACGGATTGTTAAAAATTGCACGGATACTTAACGAGAAAGAGTTTGATTATTTTTAGGAATTCTATAAAATTAAGAATACATCAGAATCTGTTTCACTGCTTCATAGATATGTTCTAAAATAATCTATAACATCGAATTTACAGGAATTGATTTATTCGATCATAGTGAAGTCGCCATGAAACTGGAAACGAAAGCTAAAGACAACAGCAGATTGTTGCATGAATATCACATTTATAAAAATTTCAAAGAAGAAATAGGATTTCCCGAAGTAAAAGATTAATGTAATTTTTGATTGATAAAAGTTGTATGCTTTATTATTTTGATAATTCTATTTGATAATTCGGTCATTACTGGCCAATTGTTCAGGTCCTATGGTGTGGTAATCAGGGTGATTTCAATATATTGGTAATGGAACTGCTAGGTCCTTCATTGGAAGATCTGTTCAATTTTTGCAGTCGTCTTTTTAGTCTAAAAACGGTTTTACTTCTAGCAGATCAGCTGGTATGCACTTTAATTTTTAACCATTCGCAAAGAGTGGAATTTTATTCTTTCATCATTGATAACTGGACGACTCATATAAGAAATATGATTCCGTAGGATTATCAGAACTATCTCTTAAATCCACTGATGAAGTTTGGAAGTAAAGAACGCAATACATCATATTTTAATTTTTTAAATCCCTCAAGATTTCATTGGATAGTGAAACGTCAGTAACATATTTCTTTTTATATGTTATTGCGGAAAGAACGATAAATATTAAATTCTTGATTTAAGTATCAGTTTTTCTCTACCAGTATTTTTAGCTTTCAAGGTTGCAAGCACTGCATTTGGCGGGCATTATTCATCGAGATGTCAAACCTGACAACTTTGCTATGGGTCTTGGTGCAAAACAGAACATCGTTCATGTAAGAAATCTAATCAATTAACATTCAGTTTCTGAACATTATGATGACGGTGTAAAAAATGTTCCTTATATGATGATGTTTGTTTAGTTAATAGATATGGGTCTGTGTAAGAAATATTTGATCCCGGCAGAACCAGAAATTCGAACAGAGAGTACGAAAAAATATTCGTTCTGTGGCACCATACGTTTCGCCTCGCCAAATGCTCACTGTGGTTTTGGTAGAGATTTCAATATTTTTGCTGGTAACGAATGAATGGTAATTCCATATCGGCTCTAAATTGCCATAAATATAAGAAGTGGAATGGTAACCTCGAAGTAGTCTTACAGAGATCAGAAAAGAGTAATCGCATTGTGATTATTCTTTGAACTATTTGTCAATAACATTTTTGAGAAATCCGTAACGATATTACTTTTTACCTTGCACTTTTGCACTTGCATAATTAAATTGCTAAATTTACTTAAATGTTAAATCAAAATATAAGATGCAATGCATTTTTTTGGAGTTTTGTAAAAATATCTTTTTTTTCGGTAAGCAAATTAAAAACAATGTTAAGAAGGTTTCAGCGTTAAGTCGCAGGGACGATTTGATTTCGTTAGCATACACTCTTATCTACTTCCTCAAAGGTGAACTACCATGGTTTAAATACAAAACTCATTCAAGAGAACAATATACTGAACTCGCCGGCCATTTAAAAAACCGACTGACCGTTGAAGAACTCTGCAATGGTTGCCCAGGTGAACAAAAATAATCTTTTTGACGAGTTTTTCAGGGCATTAATTAAGATAAGATAAGATATATATATATATATATATAATTAATGGCATTAATTCTCGCCAAGGAATGGCGAGATTACGATTTAGTATCTCATTTTGCTAATTTTGCAGTTTTACTCTTAGATAAGATATAAATATCAAATGTTCAAAAAGAAAAAGCCGTGCAGCTATTTTCAATTTCGTGTTCCTTAATAGACTTTCACTGATGATTTTAGAAATTTATTGCTATGACTGTTAGAAAAATTTTGTAAATGTTGAAAAAAATGTTTTTAGAAGAATTCAAGACGTTTTTGAAGTATTGTTATGAACTGAAGATCGATGAAACTCCAGATTATGGACGAATGAAGCAGATCTTTTGGATGTTGTTCGTCAAAAAACACTTTATTTTTGACAATTTATTTGACTGGAATCTTTACAGGTACTATTTGATGTGCTGAATCTTCATTGTGATCACGATTTATCTGCATGTGCTTAATTTTTGCGAGATCCACTGAGGACGCTTGCTGCAGTAGCTATGTTGGTCCTGTAGTGTTGTCACGTTAGTTATTGCGTTCAGAAACTCAGTGGTTTTATAGGACATAAGATAGAAATTGCTCTTTTAGTAAATCTTCGAAAATTAGGTTACCTTCTAATTTAAAATTTTCTGAACTATATTAGATATGCACGAAATCTGGAAAGAGAAATGGATAGCTCAACTTAAAAAGGAGCTAACGAAAAATTCGATGGCAGTCGCACTATGTTCAGCTTCATATCAAATCTATTTTTCGAATAGTATGTGATTATTTATTTCGATTATGAGGAGAAAGATCAATGAAAAGAGTCATGGATTTATCTGCTTCAAATTCTGGTATCAAATCAAAAATATATTTTGGTCTACAATCAGTACTATATTTGAATTCTTTAAGTTCTGATGCTCCTCTATATTCCTCATCAGTCATTACTTGTAGTTTTTGTAACACTTGATCATAATGTACTTGATCGTACTGCTTATGGCGAACTAGTTTTCGAATCTTAACAAGCTCGATGATTAAGTGGCTTTCTTTTTATATTGAATTTATTACGGCATGTTCTGTTTTATTTATTTACAGGATGGAATGATATTGATTTCAGTACTATATGACTATACCATATTAATTGAAAAAATGAAAATTCCGGGATTTTTCCCATACGTTAGAGATAAAGATTTGAATTTTTTTTTTTAAAATAAAATGCATCGTGATAAAGATGAAAAAAACATTGCTTTAGAAAATGTATTTATCATTTAATATAGTTGTGAAGTTTAAATTTATTCCCTTTGAAATAACGACATAAAGTATAGGAGAGAAATGCATTTATCAGTCCTTTTGATCTCTGGCTAAGTTCAAAACTTTAACTTTATCATATGCCAAGTACTCAAAAACACCAAATTTTATCAAAATTTTTACATTCATCATCGAACCAGAGAGTAAGTAATCTATCCAGTTCACTACGCAACAGGATCGAATGTTTCAGTTTATGTGCTCAACGCATATTACACCTGGACATGTGCTCTTCATAAGCTGGTCGTAAGATGCCTCTTAATTGATAGCTCATGTAATGCTTGCATACTTGATATATCTAGAAATGATTTGATTCGGAATCTGTTGCCTATCATTTGCTAGCCAAAAGGCTTCTAATTCTTCAACTTTATCGGAGCATCAAGTTGATGACAGTAATGGTCAATGCTGGGTGATGCACATTTTTGGAAACAACAAATAACCTTTGAGATATATTGATCAAATAAGCCAAGCTATAGTAAAAGTTTGATAATTTCACAATTATCAAATTTCTCAGTTCATTGGAAACATATTTCAGAATGTAAAAGTGTGAAAAACCAGAGAAGTAAAACTAACAATGACTATGAAGGGAATAGTTTTATGAGAAATTTAGATAAAAATTAATCTTTTTCTAATATGCAAAGTCACTTACAAGTTCTTTTTACAGCCATCTTTGCCGAAACATTTGGTATTGATGCTGAATCAATCATTACTGAACACTTGAAGATAGCGATCAGGGACAAGCATTTCGTCTTTATGAAATGTGGTTTATTTCTATATTTAACTAAAAACTTTATCCATTTAGTTTAAAACGAACGTAAGATTTTATTCCAATCGTCTCCTACACAAAAGATAGTATAAATTAGTTTTAAAAAATTTAGTATATTTCATATGGATCAATAGCATGAATTCAGGATTTACTGCATAATTTTTGCTTACAAACGATCTTCTGGAGATATTTCATGTAAGTGTGAAGCTATGCCGACCAGTGAGAGCACATTAATGATTTGCTTGTTCATAAAGCGATTCATTTGATAGAAAGTGCCCTGATGATAACTTTGGTGAAATATTCGCCTGCAGGAGAATAATTTTCACTTTTATTGTTTAATCTACAATTTGAAATTATCTGCAGGTTTAAAGTTCAAATCGAAAATCAACATCCCACTCGTTAAAAAAATTGTCATTTCTATTAAAGGAAATGGAAATTTGCGGAACTGAAATGTACTTAAAGATTTTAAGGGAAATAAGAAGACTACTTACCTCCATCAAATAAACATTGAAGTTTTTATCAAGTACGAAGTCAAAGCGGCTTAATTCAAAGAATGGAGTGTAATTGATTTAACATTATCGAAAATATTGGATCTTTTAGTTTATTTTCAAGCTTTCTTACTTTTGTCTGCAAAATTCGCTCCAGCGGCAAGCATTTTTTGTTGCCATTCGAAAACCTAAATTTTAGAATTTTTTTTGAGACTTGTTCGAATAAGAGTTTTATACAACCAAATTTGATTTGATGAAGATTACGATAATTCATGTTTTGGTGCAATAATTATATTAAAACTTCGCTTGAATAACTAATAAGCGTTTTGTTATAAATCGAGTTTAATTTCTTTTCAAACCACTTATGGACACTATTTATTTGGGAATCAAGGGAAGATAATGAATTTCAACTATGCTAAAATATTTTTTTAATCCCATTTCAGTCGGTCTTTGCTGTTATATTAGGCAATAAGGAATGAATAATTGACATTTTTTTTATTTTTTGTTTTTTTGAAATAAATTAGATCAAGAACTGAATTTATAACAGCAATAATTTCTTTGATAAGATCCCAAATTAAATTCGGATCTTTGCTTAATTCGACAATATATGCATTGAACGCATGTTGAAAAGTCATTTGTTACTCAACATAATACTGCTTTAATGATGACATCCGAAATTTGGCTTAGAATTATGAATGATCGAATTTTAAGTAAAAAAATTATTTACAACCGTTACAGAAACTGTATTCAATTTTGATCACCGTTACCTTCTAAAGTGGTGTATAGTTGTCGGCGACAACATATTTATCAACATCACTGACATCGAATGGTTTATAATCTTCAGAACAAAAGCGTAGCAGACATCACCCTCATAACTGTTGTATACACGAAGCGCTGAAACCAATGTAATTACTGTATATATACCAATATCAAATTTATTGAATACAAAACGAAAATTAATTGGTGACCGTATGAGATTTGAACTGGGAACTTCCTCCTATTGAGGATTATCATTTAACATTACTCGTTCATTTTACTTATGAATCTAAATACAATATTACTAGAGTTCATCATCTTTCTATTTCGACATTTGATTTATCTTTCAAAAAAAGTTTTTTTAGTTGATTGTTCTTGGAGGCTTTTACGTCATATGGCTTTTTCGATATTCGAAAATATTTATAATATTTTTATTGATCTTGCTAATGTTTTTATATTTCACCGATTATCAATGAGAAATGAGACAATAAAACGTTATAGACCTCGAATTGCATAATTTTCAAAAAGTCTGAGCAAAAACACATTATTTATTTCAATTGTTCGAAATATTATATTTCTGTGACCACTTCAATATTTATTTTATAAAAAAACGATAGCTATTTTCTAACTTTCCAAATAAATCTAACCACAAAGAGAAATTATTACTCATTTTTGATATCAATTAATCATCAATAAAACACACCATCCATTTGCTCGCGATATTTCAACGACATTTCTTTATTTTCTTATCACATATCTCTGTGAATGATAAGGATAATAAGGCATTACCGAATATCCGAAATATCAATGAAACACATCATCTATTGCTCTAAAACTACAAACAGCTCTATTTCAATTTGTCGCATGCAAATTTTATTTGAAATGCATAAAATTTTGGAATACAAATGTCTTAATGCAAAGGATAAAAGAAATCAGAAAATAGGAGAATTTTGAAAAATACAAGATTAGAATTAAGGGCGGTATTTGTTGATGACAGGCGGTTTTATTCATTAGGGAATGCCATCAATAATGGTTACGCTTTCATTCCCATTTATATTAATTTTCATAAGTATAATTCAGTAATAATCTTCACGCTTACATAACAATATATTGCGGAATTAATTTTCGAATGCAGCAAAAAAATTTGTAAGTTTTAACGCTACGGTAAATTTAATAGAAAAAGTAATATTAATGGATTGTTACATATATTTCGGCATTTCAAATAGATCCACTATTTTATTATATTTGTTTCAGCCTGGTATCTTATATCAAAGTCATCAAACACGTCTGCTGCGTTACATTAGTCGTCGTAAACCTTGCAAATACTTATTGTTTATACAATGCGGAATATTAGCTTTACTTACCGGTTTCTTTGTACCGATTACGCTATTACTAAGCAAATCAACGGTAAGAGCTTTTCTTATAAATCTAAAATTGACAAAAAATATTTACTGATATTATATTGGAGGAACAATTAGAAAAAATGAAAACAGAACATCGAATCTATCAAACTTATGTTGGCTCAATAACACTTGCGCACTGTCATTATATGTATCCGAAAAAGTATGAGGTATCTTCCACAACTGATCTGTTAAATACTTTCACATTTTCATTTTCATTACTTTACATTTGATGTTATCAGTTTCTATGATATATGTATCATTCCAATGATAACAGTTAAGTACAATTACTGAAACCTAAAGGAAGTCTACAGAATGATACTACGTTTAGCTTTTTTAGATCAAGTCATTCCTACCAATATCAGAGCAATGCAATCTTCCTGAGGTTGCTAAAATTAATATAGTTATACTAATAGTTTCTACTTGCATGCCAAGTTGTTACACAAAGTTAGTCATTCACTAAGCTACAGAAAATATTGTTCACTTCTAAGTCACGTGAAATTACTCATCACTTTACAATTATCGCAGGAATTATGTGATAGGCAGTGTGGAAGTTCAGCTTATATAGCGTTGAGATATGAAAACTCCCTTAGAAGCAAAATGGAATCAACTTGTCCTCCTCTGATTCAGACAGTTAGTTGCATTCTGTTATTTTATAGTTCCTCTCAATTGTTCATTAATTTAAAAAGAAAGACTGCATATGTCTCAAATTTCAACTTCTACTGTTGTCGGGAAGCGAAAAAGCAAAGTATTCCAGAAACCGACAAGAAAAATTTACCATAAGAGTTCATCATTATCATCATTATTATTTCAGATTCCATGTCATGAAAAACCAGCTCATTGTAATCATAAACTCCAACTGCGTCAATGTCCGGGGCTGAATGGGATACATTTGCTCAGAAATCTTTCAATAACACCACTAACTATTGTTAAAGTTGGTTTGACTATAAATTTGGAAGAAGTTTAGACTATAAAATAAATTAGATCAATATGTGGAGTATTTTGGGATTAGTTGGTTTTCACTTCGCTAAAGATTTTTTCTTAAATTTTGTAAACAGTAAAATCGATTGAATTTGATGAACGAGGTGGATGGAAAATTACAATTTACGCTAAGCTCAAATAATACAAATTACTGTACACGTTTAGGTTCCAGTGCTCAATATCTCTACGGTGAAGGGTAAAATTGTGTCTGCTCTGGAAATATTTGTGGTGTGTCCCCGCTGCAGAATATTTTCGCATTCATATATGTAAGAAGGTCTTACCGTTTCGCTTAATTGCTGGCTAATTTTCACCTTCGTAATTAAATTTAATATGCTTTCATTTTTTCTTCTTACGAATTCTCTACTTGACAGAAAAAAGTTTTTTTGCAGGAGATCGGACAAGAAATGTTACAGACAACTGGAAACAGTAAGAGAAGGTTGGCCGGAACCATACCGCATTTGCGATGGTGAGGTACTAAGCGAAACAAAGCATTGTAATCCTTACGACGCTTGATAAATTTTCAACCTTAAAACTTTTGAATCTGATTCAATTATTTCCAGCTATTTCTCTAGCACTCAACTTATTCTTAGTATCTCTTGATATCACTGTTGTTGTTAATCATGTAAATTATACGATCTTATCGTCTTGAAACATACTTCACTTATAAATTCATCTCTCCGACTTTGATAAAACATTAATGATAGCAGCTCCTGTCAGCGCCAAATGAGGTTATCGAAATGGAACCATGTCTAGTAAACACTTTATATTCAATTCAATTCAACTTTATAACTCCGTTCCGCTTTCGTTATATGAAGTCTAGGCCATATCCCATGATGCACTGAACTGAACACAGAACTGAAATAATTCTACCCCCCTTAGATATATCGACGGTACAACTCGATTCCAAGTCCAATTTGCGCAAAAACGCAATCCCAATGTAAACTGCTGGACTTTATCCGAGGTATAACCCACATCTCGACCAAAAGTTTCACAATGACCAAACCACGGTCACATGGTTCCGGCGTCGTCGCCCAACAAAGTGTGAAAATCATCACATCGACATTCCATTCTCATTGGGCGACGACGAAAAATCTGAGCTGCCCAGTCCACGCAAAAGTGAAAGTCCGCCGCTACACTCTACGGCACTGTATAGGAAAGGCGCGGAAGTGTTCGATTCACAATGAAGAAAGAACAATATAGTTTTCGAAATTATTTTTATATTAAATTTCACTTTATGAAAGAATGCAAGCAACGGTTTTGAAATATTTTTAACATAAACGTCCATTATAATCATAGCAATCGTTATTGTGTAGCAGAATAATAATTAAATAGTTCAATCAGACGTCACAATTTATCAATTTATTTCAAATAATTAAAGTACGACAGCAACCAAAGTTCACCTCCCGCTTCGAAGTTCAAATTAGCGAATTTAAAACTCCACGATGAGGCTTTTTTTAAGGAAAAAAAAAAATCCACGATCAGCGCTTTGCTAATTCTTTATGCCTTACTAATTCAATTATATATTCATTTTCGTACCCGAATTTTCGAAAGAGTTATTCTTTTACCGATTATTTTGCTGCACTAGAACCGAGAAAAAAAGGGCTTTAAAACTTTTTTAGAGGGAAAAAACCCACAGTTGACAAAGATTCCAAGACTCCGGCAGTGTACAATTCAATGCTTTACTTAATGTTGCAAATGATCTTTTTCACAAAACTTCTCTGGACTACAAATTTTGACATCACAATGAAACACCTCAGCGAATTTCTCGCAAAAAATTGGAAAGACATCATTTACTGAAACATGTCTTCCCAGTTCTTGTGTCAAAGAAGTGACTTCTTTTCCAACTAAGCCGCAAGGTATGATCTGAAACTAATATTTTGATTGGATATATATATATAAAGTAAAACTAAAGACTTATAACGGAACGATATTTGTCAGAGATTAAAAACTGCGACTACGATCAAAATGTTGGTCTCTTGAATGTCAGGATTACTTCAACCATCTGGATTTAATATATAAAACATAAGGTGATGATAGGTCGAAGCAAAATAAACCTCATGTTCCCCTTCTTAGATTCATAGCGGCAAAAAATTCGATTAAAAACGCTAAATGCAATCAATAACAAATTTTACCTGATGGAACCAGTCCAAATCCGTACTGCAGTTAAGAGCTAAACCGTGACTAACGATGCCATCGCGAACATTTATACCGATTGCTGCTATTTTTCTCATACCGTTTGCTAGCCAAACTCCTGAAATTGCTACTGATTTATCAGGAAGTTGGAATAATAATAACAAATATCACCAATATGACAGCATTTCCTGAATTTACTTGAACCTTATAATTAATTATGTTCCCATCGTCTTTCGGAATTATCCAGTCGCAATCAAACTCAGACGTGATACATGCATTGCCATACGAAAATTTTGCTTGAATTCTCGAAAATTAACCTGTGTTGGGTGATCGACCTGCACCAAGCAGGCCGAAACTGCGGACAGTTTTGATGATTACCTCTTCAATAAGATATACGTAACGTCGAACACCTACAGCAGTGGAATTCTGATCTGGACCTTTCACATGCAATAAATGAAGATCAACAATAGGATAAACAACAAGTTGGCCAGGGCCATGAAATGTAATAAGTCCACCTCGCTTGGTCCTGAAAACCCAAATACCAAACCAGAGATGAGCAGACATTTACAAAAAATAATGACTGCTGTGCAGCAGTCGATATTTGTAATGCTCGTATTTTTTATATAAGAAATAAGACCTAAAATTTAAATTTGAAATTTCCGGATCATATATTCTCTGTGTTCATTTTACCTTATACAACAGAAAAAAATTGAATACCGGTAAAAGTCAGCTCCCAATTTCTTCAATCGGTTTTCTTCATTTTCATTATATTGAAAGTGTCTTATGCCAACAGTATAAACAGGTGTATGCTCCAGTAACAATAAGTAGATTCTAAAATTCTTGCACAAACATTTATTTTCCCTAATTACAAAGATCATATATAAAATATCAAATCGAAACTCACTTCTTTATCAAATCAGGTCGCGCTTTTCGTGAGGCAAGAAGTTTGTCAACATGATAGCGCTGTTGCTTCAATCCATCAGCATAGGTAATTCGACCTAACCACATCGCGTCAGCGGCATTTCGTATTGAAAACGCATCAAGCCGCATATCAGACTTAGAATAAGAAAATTTCAAGCAGAATAGAATAAAAGTATCAAAACGCAGCCTAACTTGAAAAGAGATAATTTAAGAAACAACAACTTTTCAAGAATGGTCACTTCCGCCTTTTCGGATGGGGTGCCGCTACAGAATGCAATCTTTCTTCACGGTACCTAGAAATATGTCAAAATATTTTGGAATAAATATAGAAAAGTATCTACTTTAATTCATTTCACGCAAATGCGATTTACTAGTGCTGGCTATAGTACTTTTCATAGAAACTTCTAAGATATACATTCTGTGGTATGTCGGTCTTTCCAATGAGATATGCGTGAAGAGATTTATGGCGCAAATCATATGCGCGAATCAAAAAATTTGAAAATCACTGTAATCCAAACTTCTATGAGTCACATTCCAATAAACGTTTGTTGTCTATGTTGGGCAATTTCCAAAGATATCAAAATTATACCTTGTATACCACTCGTGCTTGCCAGTATAAAATATTTCACGAAGTATATAGTTACGAGGACCTTTACGTGCCAGTGAACCCTGTAAACCAGCAATGCACTCGATCTCTTTACTCAGCGCACCCGAACTCTGCAATTTCAAAAGTAAAAGCATATCTCGATGGTACAAAATCCAACTTAAAATATTTTTTTTGAAGTGAAACTTCAACAAAATTTAGTGACTTATGCACTTTTGCTTCTTAATTTTTTATGAATATTGACACAATGAGGAACAAGAAACATTTTACAACATATTATTATTTACTGGACATTTCATATTTATATGTTTGCTCAGATTTCATTGACCAGTCGTTTCAAAATTATATAATAACCTGTTTCTCCGTTTCTATTTTTTTCAAATCAATGGGTTTGGAATGTTCGTAGGGAAACGATCTTTCCGGATGCCAGCAAGCAATTGTACCACTCTTACAAATTACCGTACACGATTTGCTGAAAACTTCAGTTAATTTTATAAGGTCATATTTTAAACTCAATTACTCCATTTGGTTTTCTATCACTTATATATTATTATTATTACTGTATATTAATGCCATTTCCTATCGTTAACCTTTTCTACTCGCTGCATTTATCTTAACTCTTCTTTTCTTTTCAGGTAAGCACCGAAGCACTCAAATATTCACAAATCAGAACATATTTGAAATCTTGAAATGAAATGTTATCAGAATTAAAGGAGGATACAGTGATGAGATACAAATGAAAGCTTTCTTCATAGGATATGGCGCCAAAGAATGAAATATTACCTTAGGTCAATCTCTTCGTAATTGCTGAAACTTCGAAACAACTGTTGATCAATTAGTCGTAGCAGAGTGTTATACCGACGAGCACAGGAAAACATTACTCTCTATTCACCTCTTTCCCCAATATTGGCATCTGTCAAGCCTCACCCCGTTATAAACGCATAATCAGACGTTTAGTTGAACAGGTAAGAATTTGATGGACCGCGTTTGCTTCAGTCCATCATGCGATCATATCGGTCATACTGGCGTGGTGAGGTGAGTGGTTATATGGTGTTTGTTAGGAAAGGTGCGTGAAATATTTACTATTTTGTGCCATCGAAATGGAAATCGGCATTAAGAAAAATTAAGAAAAAGTTACGAGGTGAATGAGCATCGGTCTAGTCACTTGGACAGTAGGAATGCAGAAGAATGAATTTAATTGTGGATAGATAAGAGTATAACTGTTTTTTGCGGGTAGTGTATACTTTCACGTTCAGCTGAGTAATGTCCTCGGAGGAAAGTTCAAGCTATGATGAGTCGAAAGGGAATGCCCAAGAAAGCGAATCGGAGAACGATTATGTAGCTGACCAGCACCAACCAAGTACGGTCATATCATCGGATGATGATGACGAACAAGTGCAGAAAAGAGGTGAAATTCCGGTTTCTTAATTTACGCTGAATTTACACATAGTATGCTTACTGTATTATTGTGGTTGGAGTTACTGTAATTATTGTGGTTGGTAGATTTCTATTTATTTCTATTTCCAGGGAAAGGTTTCATTGCTGAAAAGAGCAGATCTCCATCAGAGGAACGGCAAAATATAGTTTCGGCTGGAAGTGATGATGACTCCGGTGCTCCTTCAGAACGTCGCGTAGAAGCTGAGGAAGATTCCGATGCTTTGTCGGAACGACAACCACTTCCTGCCGTTTCTGATGACTCAGATGCAATCTCGGAACGAGAACTGGATGAAACAAAAGAATCCGATGATAGCGAAAAAGACGGTGGCAATACATCGAAGAGCCCTTCACAAACAGATGAGATGGAGGAGAAACAAGGACTTAAAGATATCGCGTTATCAGAAAGTGACAGCGACAAAGAAAGTAACGAAGAACGAAAGGTTATATTTTCTTAGGTTTCTGAGGTTTTCGTTGGTCTCGAGGCGACCAACGTTTCATTGATTGTAGAATTCGCAATCATTTTAAATCTACTTTATCAGCCTGTAGAACTTCATTAAATCATATTGCTTTTATTTTATGCTAACCGGAGGAAAAGTTCTTTGCTACTTAAAATTCCTGTAGTTACAAATAACTTAAATAAGCCGTTGTAGTGCAAATCACAGGACCACTTTATCTGATGCTTTTTATAAATTTTGAAAAATGGCGTTATATCAAGTTTGAGGTGCATGCTGCCAGTTAAAGATGGGTTTGACTCCGAAAGGTTTTAAAGACGTCAGAGTTTTTACTGCATATCAATTGGTTTAAAATATTACTGACACCATGTTGACTTGTGATATATGATATAAGGTTTTCTCTTCAACAGTTGGTTTTAGCACTCAATACAAAGATTCTATTTTAGGGATTAACGGAGGATGACATAGTTGGACCGCGTCTGTACCCCGATCCAGAAACAGGTGTTGCAGATACTGAACGTCTTGAACCGACAGTCGTTGAAGTTAGCACTGCAAGAATATGTCCAAAATTCACTGACGAGGGACTGTATTTTGTGAAATTCCCAAACTTTTTGAGCATTGAACCACGTCCATTCGATCAAGATCATTACGAAGATGAATTTGATGAGGATGATTTGCTGGATGAAGAAGGACGCGCTAGGCTGAAATTGCGGGTATGTATCGTTGGTCTTCGTTATAATCATGGTGTTTTACGAATTAGACAGGGATGCTAATATCGCTTTGAATTTAATGTAGTTCTTTTTTTTATCACGCAATTGCAATCCCATGTAATGTTTACGCGGTTAATGATATCAGTTGTCGTTGATTGTGGGACCGGTACAACAGTACAATCATTAAATGCAGTTGATAAAAAAGTAGCAGCACTTGTCTTCTTACAGTAAATCACATATCAATGCACATTGAACCACTGGCGATTTTATCTATAATACATAAATTTAAATTCCTTTGTTTGTAGGTGGAAAATACAATCCGTTGGCGTTATGTGTTGGATGATGATGGCAATATACAGAAACAAGGAAATTCAAAGGTTGTTCGATGGTCGGATGGAACGTGTGTTTCTGGCAGTTGTTGATTTTGTAAAGCTTTTGGATTTATCATGTAATGGAATTTCAGGAATTATTTGGTAGAATTTCAGGATTTGGTTAAATTTCAGGATGTCTCTTTATCTTGGTGGAGAAATTTTCGATGTAATGGTACAGCCGATGCAACTTGATAATCATTTGTTCTTACGACAAGGCGCAGGCTTGCAAGGACATGCTGTTTTCAAGCAAGTCTCAGTTCTTAATTTTCAAGCCAAAATTCTGTTTCTTCTTTCTTTTTTAAATTTACCAAACATAAGATTTGCTTCGTTTCATTTTTCGCTGTAATACATAATTCTAGTACAGGAGATTTTTTATATGAATAAAACGGTTAAAGAAACTTTTATTTTCTTTATTGCATACCCAGACTTTAAATAAGAAAAATTTTTATTTACAGGGAAAAATTAGTATTTCGTCCGCATTCAACTGATTCCATTACTCATCGGAAGGTTACCCTGTCAATGGCAGATCGATCTAGCAAATCTCAAAAAGTGAAAGTTTTGACTGCAGTTGGTTCGAATCCAGAATCGAAAAAAGCGGTATCATTGTTTTTCAGCTCAAATGTAATTTTGATTAAAAAGATGATGGAATATAATAAGGGTTATCTTTTCAGGAAATAGTTCGAAAAGAAGAAGAGCGTATGCGTGCTCAAAATCGTCGTGAAGCACAACAGAGGCGTAATCGCATGCGTCCATCTCTAGGTCGATCAGGGTTGACCGCCAATTTCTTGGAGGATAGAGACGAAGATTCTGGTACTTTCTAATTTTTTGTCACTTATTTTTGATTCACTGGACATAATATTTTCTTTTGTAGACAAAGAATCAACAACAATTTTTATAGACGAAGAGTCAATATCTGCGATCAAGAATCGTTATAAGCATGGTTTGGATGATAGGCCGTTGATCGGCCACTCAGATTCTGAGGACTCAGATTCCAAGCGATTGCATGATGCTAAAAAAGATAGCGAAGACAGTGACAGTGACCAGGTTGTTCGCTTAATATTATTCATAATACCGTACTGTTAACTGTATCCTTGTGTTTGAGTTTCAGAACACGAAATCACTAATAATAAAGGATAATTTTTTAGAATTCATTGTTTTCTGTGATTTTTCATTATAGATTCAAGATTTCAATTGCAGGAAAAGAAAAAACAGAGAAAGAGGAAAGTGATTATTGAAGATGATGATGAAGAAGAGAATTAGGATTTGTCATTTCTGTGCATGTATAAATGTCGTTATGCTTCAACTTTTATTTTTTGATGTGACTTTTATAAATTCATTGTTGGTATTTCTCTAATATAGTAATACTCTTGTATTGATAATTCATACACACGCTTTGTGTTTTTTTCGAAGGAGACAGGGAACCAACTTAGGTTTTCTGGAGATTGGTATTGTGGATTTATAGCACTTGTCAGAACAAATAATTTTTTTGGCCATTAGTTATTTAGTGTGGTTTTGATTTATTAAAAATTTGAAAGTTTAAAGTTTCTATTTTTTGCAAACCGTTTATAACGGAGCCATTGATCGCTTTGAAGTGGTTGAACATCTATCACTTTATTTTTAAATTTTTCTTCTATATCAGTCTTAACATACAAATGATGCAGAGGCTGTTCATGTGTTTCGAATCCGTTAATGCACTTCATCATCGTTTAAAAAAACAGTGATCTCTTGCGAGGAACTTAGGGATTTAAACATTTACTTAGCGTCGTCAGGATTTTATAAAGTCTACTATTACTGAAAGACTTATCTCATTTTCATTTCATATCAGTTTGAACTAATTTGCGTTAAGCTTTTTCGATACAGAAATTCCTACTCTCCCATTTCATTAATACAAAAGAAACTTATCTTGATTGAATTTATTTCGAAAATAGCTATTGCGATCAAGCTCCTAATGTGGCAACATGCTAATTGCATAATTTTGAAAAGATGACAAGCGTAAAGCAGTGGAGGCATCAATCAATAGAAGCCGATGGATCAAGTCAAAAAAGTATGGAAAACAAAGATTCTGAAATTACTACAAGTGGATATGATGAAGAATCAGTCGATGATGAGGATGCGAAGCAATCATTGTCTGTGTGTCGTGCCGAAAAATCACTTGGCATATTAACTCAGCGATTTGTTGATTTGTTGCAACGGGCGCGAGGTGGCATCGTCGATTTGAATGTTGTAAGAATTATTTATCTTTATATCTGCTGACTATGTTAAAATAATAAGGAAATCATCGTTGTTGGTATAATTCTTGGTTCATCGCTTTCATCGTTCACTATCTCAGAGCATATTCGTGTTCGGTATAATCTGATTCCCAAACATCTGAAAGTTTTTCCTTTTTTTTGTTATTTGATTGGTAGATACTGAATAAACCAGAAGGAGAACGACTACTTCTAGCGGAGCTATTTAAATTATGGTTTTTGATTTGAGTTTCTGTGTTTAGAACACAACTGGTTCTGATAGTTCATGTATTTTAAAGGCGGCTGAAGAACTACAAGTGCGACAGAAACGAAGGATATACGATATAACCAACGTGCTGGAAGGTATTGGATTAATTGAAAAGAAGTCGAAAAATATCATTAATTGGAAGTGAGTTTAAAATGGTATTTTATTGATGACTGCCTTGATTATTTCATGATATTTTCTTTAATTAGTGTATTGTAAGTTTCCTTTAAAGAGGTGGGAAGCTGAGGAAGCACGGTTCATTTCCGGACACTGATCCTGAGGAACAAAAACGTATTATGAAACGGAAGGCTGAATTAGAAGAACTGGAAAAAGAAGAACGTATTCTCGATACCCATATTAAATGGATGAAGCAGGTCTGAATTGTGACCACTTCGATACTTATTTTTATTGCTTTCATTTTCACTGCTAGCTTTCACTTTCATTGTTTATTGTTTTTACCTTTGAGTATAATTATATAGTTTAATTTCTAGAGTTTGCGAAATGTTAGTGAATATCAAAAAAACATGAAGTTGGCATATTTGATGGAAGAAGATATAATGTCTGTTTTCGAACACAGCCGAGTTTTTGCGATACAGGCTCCTCCTGGGACTTTCGTTGAAATTGGTGCACCACCAAGGGTTTGCTTATTATGCAGTTTATTGGATTCAATTTTTCCTTATCTCTACTGTTCTTTTCCACATAGCAGATTTCATTTTTTATTTGAAACTGAGATATACAGATGCGTGACTTTGATATGCAATACAATTTACGACTGAAAAGCACATTTGGCCCTGCGAACGCAATATTGTTGGGAGAAATGAGCAGTACTCAAGGTCAAGGCGACTTATTTACTAACAAATCCCAGGTATTTTAAGTGGTATTTATGGTTCTCGAAAAGTAAATAATTATCAGAATTTTTTTTGCGGGATTCAGTTAATTTTTGAAAAACTTTATTAAAGGATCGATTGCAGCCTATACCATACGTTGTGGAGGGTGAGGCGCCGGGGCAGTTTTTGGAGGAAGATGAAGATGAAAGTCTGCTGAAGAAGAGGCGGTTGGATGAAGAATTTAGCGACCAACCTGATCCCGTATTGCCTTTTATTCCATCTCGTAAGCAGTGGTTACTTTATGGATTATATTAAAATATCTGAAGCTTTATAATAGTAGAATGGATATGATGTAATGTAATATATCTATAAAAGAATGATTATACAAATTGATCAGAAAGGGTTTTTTTCTAGTTCAGACTCTAATGGTTTCAGAAGGGGAACGTCAAAAGTCATCTCAAGGGTGTAGCTCTCTGCAATCACAAACACAAGCCAGTCCTACGTTTAGTCAAGGTAATTTCTTTTTGAATATACTTTCATTCTTTTTTTGCAGAAAATTTTGATAAACTTGATTTTGTTTTCAGAAATTCGAGAAGTAATGAGAAAGCTAAGCCCGCCGCCGTCTGAACGTGATTATATTTTTAGTTTGAGTCAGGGGGAAACACTACCTGACCTTTTTGAAGATGATCTCATTTGATATTTTTCTGGTGATATTTTGTTGTATATATGGGAACGTCTGAAGTGTATTTTTATTAATCTTGTTTTTGTGTTTTTTTTACTTCAGTTGATTAGTCTTATGGGACTAACCAACTGAAGTAAATGAAGTATATCCAATGCTTCTTCTGTGGTCGACTTGTTTCTAATATGTTCAGTCATCTATGTTTAGTATTAGATATTTTCAAGTCTTTATGTTACTTAGATTAAATCTAGTTTCTTTCATGATTCTTTCGATTTTCTAATGTGATCTAACATGATCGGATTCAGCATTTTTCTAAATTCTACTGTTTTGTTACTTACATATTTGGTAGGGGAAATATGCTACTTGTATACTACTAACTGCATCATACTTCGCCAAGAAGTTGTGCAGATCCTATGAAATAAAAATAAGAAAACATACTATATGTTAAAGTTTGCCCATATCAGTGTATTCCACTTGATTCAGGTCGTTATTTTGTCATTTTGTTTAAACATTTATATTCATTGATATTGCTACGTTATTTATATTGTTTCATTATAATGAATTTAATGCGAAAAAGTAAAGATTTCAGTTGCTGTTTGCAGTAATTTAGATAGATTATGCATGTATAAAACGCATTTTACCTTCATAAAAGGTCAACAGCTTAGTTATTTCGCAACACTAGCAAATTTTTTTCTTGTTTAGAACGTGTTGTACCATGGCGAGATGTAGTTAGTGAAATTACCAGCTATAACTGGTTTTCTTTCGATCCATTTAGAAAGATTTTATTGGTCTGGATTCCATCTCTTGAGATCGCCAATAACTTGGGGATTTACATTACATCTGCTCAGACTGGCATAATTTCACTACGTTTTAAGATCAGAACATTGATATTATGCAGTAGAATTCTGTCCCAGCTTTTTTACCGCTTTTAAGGATTCCGAATTCGAAGTAATACCTTTCCTTCCACTTTATTTCTTAAGATTTTTATTACCAGTTTGGATGTAATGTTCCATAAGCGCGAGACTGCGACATCTTCTTCAAGGTCTGCTGTTGGTTAGTTTTCTAAAATTTTCACTGTTTCTTGTCGGTGGTTAGGAACTACATTTTCGAGCTTCACGACTTCCAAGTCGATTAAAATGTTTTTCAGTGCATTATTATTATGAATTGCAGCTTGCTTTCAAAATTATAATGCTTTGATTATTGTTGTTTGAAATTAGGTAATCACTTTCAGGCAGTTTCAGTGAACAGGACACATCGTTCAGCTTATCTGAAGCAACGAAAAAATCTAAGGTTGTTGAGTAGGTTTTATTTGTGTTATAAAGAGCCACATACTACTGTTATCATTTGGTTAAAGTTGTCCACTCGTATTTTCTTGTTGTGAGTTAAATTTCGTCATATTTAAAAAGTGGCAATCACATTTTTGATTGTAAGTAAATAACGATATTTTCTAAATGACATTCATGTAAAGTGAAGTGAGATTCTTTTCGAAGGGAGTTTGTGTATTATAGGATTCATTTCGATCCATTGGTGATGCATACTATTTCACTGCTACGGTATAGTCGTAAAATCAATTGCTATCGAGTAAGAATGGGACAACCACCATCATTACCTGTATTCAGTCCAAATAAATTAAAACTGCCTAATTCGTAAGTGTTTTGAAACACCTCAGTTTTTTTAAGAGGTGGAAGAAAGACGATGTTCTGAAATCTTTTACTGGAATTTTTGAATTTTAAAACACTTATTTATTATTTTTAAAAATTGCAGGCAAGATATGGCGAATGAGTTTTCGGAGGAAAATATGCAATTATTGCTCAGAAAAGCGATGGCTGTTTTAGCAGCTCATTTAGGTTTTATTAGTAGGTTAATGCTTGAAAATACTTAACAATTCAGATTTATGGTGGAATTTTTACTTGAATACAGTTTATGAAACAGTATTTAATTTTTTTTAACATTTAATATTTTATTTTGCTACTTATAGTGGATCGTTGAAGAAAGCTACTGAAAAATCTTATTCAGAAATGGAATCGTCTGTAGCACATCTTCTTTCACGCATTGTAGCTGCGAGAATTAAAAGAATGTGCTTCAACTTGAATCTTTCACACCAACGGCGAATAGAGGGCAAAGAAACGGCATTCCCTGTACGTTACTTCATATTTCTTACTTGATTTTATAAAAATCGAAATAAATAAATACTTTCCACTTCCATGTATGCTTCATTTCCATGACATTGTTTAATAAAGCGCTAGAATTTAGGGTTAAAATGAGAACTAAGAAAGATCAAGATTTGGTCTTAAACACGAATGCATACGAAGGACATACATGTCTTTCTTAAAAAGAAGCTTGTAAATTGTTAAAATTCCTGTTTAACCCATCCAGTTGTTAGTTTGAACTACCTGTTGTAGTAAACCGATAGCAGTAATGTTTCAGGACTTGTTTGAAATATTTGGGTATATATAATCCGTTCGGATGTATACAATACTTAACGCAATATGCAACCGATGAAAATCGAAAGTAAATGAAATAATTCAGAAAATTTCAGTCAGCACTGATGCATGCGCTTCGCTTGGAGAATGTTAGAGATGTCACAGAGTTGCAAGAATTCTATAGGAATCGCGTCATCTTCTATCACGATCGGATATTACTTTCTTGTACACAAAAATATGAAAAAGCAACGGAAAAATTTGCTTCTTTTCAAGCTGAGAAAATCAATCATTTTACGGATGAAGCTTCCTTGAAATGTCCTCCTTAGGAGCTGCAGCCAAAACAAAACAGAAAACAGGCATGATGTAGTAGTATTTACATCCTTGTTCTTGACTATATGATAAGTGTATGCAACTTATCATATTGCATGTTAGTTCAACTTCTACAGGCTTCGGTCTTCCAGAAACGATCATTTGTGCTTTGAAAGAAATAAATTTTTCCTGTAAAATTTTCCATGTTGCTTATAACCTCAGATTTAGCGAGAAAGCTGCTGATATTATCTTCGGTATTCGAAATGTATAAATTTAGTTCAAAAAAAATTTTAGGATATGAGAAAAGTACCAGTAAGAGGATGGAAGCGGCAATAAAAAGTTTTGGTTTTTCTTTATAGTTTATTTCTTTTTGGTTTGCACTTATTTTTCGATTACGTAGATCAAGCTATGTTCAAGCACATAGTTTTTTCTGTATTGGCATAAATCATATCATAGGTAAGCGCGAATAATAATGCTAAAATTTCTTTAAGATAGTAAAAACAGCAGCGAAAAGTGGCTTTGTAGAAGAAATTAAATTTAAATTTCTTCAAATGTCAGTTATCTGGAGATATTGGACAAGAGAAAAAAAACGATATTAACGGGGATAGGACGTGGAGAAGCCCGTAGAACATGAAGTTCGGCATACTCTTAACGTATACTGTAAAATCTGTCCGGTACCAAGCAGGGCTATAAGTAATTAGACCAGGGGACGTATGGCTCAATAGTTTGAGTTTCTTATAAGATTGCTACTTAAATTATATCGCATTTAGAATATCATTTCAAATCAACACAGCTGCAAATAAGCAACGCCAATTTACATACCGAAGCTGTGTAGCTCAATGATTTAAATCTGATTTTTTTACGCATAAGTTATTGGTGATCGCAAAATTTCAATCAGTTTAAATCATCAAGCGAAATCTGTTATAATAAATTACTGTGTGATATGCAAGCCTATAATGTTTATTGCCCTAATTTTTCTCGACGAATTTCGATGTAAAAGTTCGGTTTATCGAGGAAGTCTGAAAGAAATTAGTTTCATTATTTTATAACTTTTAGGCCTCAACACAGCATTAATCCTAGGATGTGTGTTTTATAGTGATAACTTGTAGTGATAACTCAATTATTTCTATAAGCTAAAGTTTTTTCGATATACAATTTAAGGCAGTACTATCCATAAAAATCACAGATCTAGCAAATTACTGTTGAAAAATATTTAAATGCATTTACACCTGTTCCTTATTTTTCAGTGGCACAGAATCATCATATTGCAGATAAGTATCATCGGGAAAATAAGTCAGGGAAAAGGCAGCTATGCTGTGTTCTGCAAGCAGTCATTGGAAGTTTTTTGGAATGTCAAGCAGACGAGTTTTACACGTGTGTGGGTTGAATTCTCTATGTTGTCAAATTTAATCTATCAAAACTCGAAGTTTTAAAATGTCATTTAAAATACATGGGAAAGTCACAAAGCTTGAAGAACTTTTCGGAATAGACAGAACAATTGAAGCTTTCTTTTGTTGCATATATTTCAATGACTTGCAATAACAACAATGCGTAGCCAGAATACTTAATCTTTTATATTGACCGAGAAATCGAAACGAAAATTAATTTAATGAAAAAAGAGCGAAAGCAACTGAAATATAAATTTTTATAAAATATTTTAAAAACGAGCACTGAAGATATAAAAAGTCCATAACAACTATTTAAATGGAACTTGAATTGACAATTAATTGGATTTTATTTTTTGTTTTATTATATTTTTATCATTTTGTTATGCTTTTTATTAATTCCTTATATTTATAATTTTGGTATTAGATTTTTTTATATTTTGAATTACATCCTTGTCTTACAAATAAAATAATGAAGCATACAACGCTCGCCCAATGATCGATGCTTTTTCAGTTCTTAACAACTAAAGAAATCCTAAACTTACATCAATCATCTTCAAAGCACTGACATCATTTAAGTTTTAAATTTCTAGCAAAAGATGGCCAGCAAATTGTTTGTCAAAAATACAACCAAATTGAATGATAATTCACATACACCCTCACGAATAAAAGGAAACACATTCATTCATTCAACAAGTTCACCTACCTCGCATTTAAAAGCTGATGTTCTAAGTTTACCCCAATCTTTCGTTACCTTGTACTATTTTGATCTGAAAGTACGCTCAACAGAGATTCTTTTTTAATATTACATTAGAAACAGGACTTGAGTCACCTATAAATTTAAAATACAGTCCTTGCAACTTTATTTAAACTAACCTATTTTTCTTTAGCGATTTGATAAGAAATTTGCATTTTGCATTTCATCTTGTACACATTTCCTTTTTGTCGATGTGTGTTCACTAATGTTTTTGTTATAAACCACTGTATGAATACATCGAATTGTTAAATCTCACAATGAAACAGTCCTTAATAGTTTCCGTATGTCGTATCCGAAGAATTTTCAAAATATTCTTGTGTTTTCTCTAAGTTTAGAGATTAAAGGGGCGTTAGCAGTCTTGCAGACTATTTGACACCATTTTCCTAAGTATCATAAATTTCCCACTGATGTATTATTCAAGGAAAACATCTAAAATTCGCTTGAATGCATCAAATTATCTTTAAACAGTAGCAAATATCATTGTTGTTCAGTTCCAAAATGATATTAATCTTACACATTTCAATATAAAAACGAAGCAAACCAAATCACAAACAGTACAGTACCATCTGTACATGAATAGTATGACGCGTCATTGAACTATAATCAGGAAAGCATTATGGATAGGGAAGATGACATTATCATACATATTACCGTTCTAAAATTTCTGATGTCATTATCAATTTTTTATCGCCTTAAATTTTGAATTTTTTAGAAAATCCAGAAGTGAAAAAAGGTATCAAACTGGTCAGGATGTCTTCAGTAATAATTCGATAAACATTTAAGCAACACTTTCTTTTTTATAGGAAATGGAAGTTAGATTTGAAAATTAGTATTTCTTCATTTATGATTCTAATACTGCTCCAAACTACAGCCAGATGAACAGTAACAGCCATAACAGTTTTTCCACTTCAGTCATAAATTTCTGAAATGCTTGTGAAATTTTTCGAAAACACTGAGTACTGAAAGAAGTTACAATTCCTTTTCTTGAATCATGTTATCAGTATTCTGAAATTGCAATGGAGTAAGTGATTTTAAGAAAAATAAACAAAACAAGATCATTTAAGGTCATCATCGTCCTCATCGCCACATGATCGTTTGATTTTGACCAAAAGTGATGTGTGCCACTGATCCAAACGTGATATTTTATCAAATGCTTTCACTACTTCCGTGAACTTGACTTGATTTTTGTCTTCCAAACACGAAATTAATTCACTAAAAACAGCAGGAAATAAAAGATATTTGCAAAATAAAGTTTGAGGTGCTGAAATATAACAGTGAACTGCAACAAATTAAACTATATTAAAATGCACAAATATAACAAAAATTTCCAAAAAATAATAGAAACCAACTTGACAAGTTTATATTCTCGCGAATCCACAAATGACGGAGAAATTTCCTCATAACGTTTTAGCGCATTTTGAGTATCTAGCTAAAAAATTTTTTAATTGAATGATAATATTTAAGGCGAAGCATGGTAAAAAAAGATTAATTACAGCAGAATATTAAACTAGTGACGAATTAAATATTTCCGCAATATTAATACTGATCCAGAACTCCCTCGGTTCTGCATCAAAAACCTTCCTTTGTTATAATTAATTGGATTCTTTAGGCAACACAATATTTTTCGTGTTACTGCGCATATCTCTTTCAATTTCCTATTCACTCCACAGTTATAGATTACTCTCATCAACTTTGAAGAAAATGCAATATACTTTTAACTATAAAAACTGAGTCAGTCATATTGCCAAAATCACTACGTTTCCTCTAAAGCAACAAAAGAGAAGCTAACCAAATCAGAACAAAGATGGCAAAGAAGGGCTTGGAAAAAATGATTTTTTGCAGCATATTTTAAGGTAGGATGGTTAGCTTCCCAAGTAGCCACTTCTTCGAAAATTTTGATTGCTCTTTTATAATCTTCCAATTGTGCGGCATACTGAAAACAGCACAAACTATTCATGAAGACAATAATTATACCCATAAAAATAATATCAAAATAAGTGAAGTTAGAAATCAAGTGCTTGATCGCCGCTTCAAAAACTAATTGCTCGTTTTAAAGCACTTCATTTTTAAGCGACATGATAAACATAAAATATTAAGAAATCACCTGTGCAACTTTAATCATACACTTAGTGGCAGAACTTCGGCTTTCTTCACCTTTATAAAAATCAGCTGCCTCCTGAAAAACAGAAGTACTTCTATCTTAACCAGAGTGTCTGAAAGGAACCTCAGACATTCTCGTTTTTTAACTGAAAAAAATGAGCAGATACAAAAAATCACACCTGATAATGAGTCATAGCTTGTGCCATATCTGGAGCCTCACTTTCAAAAATTTCGGCCATCGTGCAATGATATTTAGCAGCCATATTGAAACGACCCATATCCGTGTAAGTTTCAGCAGTCTTCATCAAGCAATCGATCGCTTGCTACAAATATAAGACCTACCGGTTTATTAAACTTTATTTCCTCTTTTAATGTACTATCCTGTAAATTTGTACAAACTTATATTAAATTTATTTGATATAAACTTATTACATTTATTTACAACAATGACTTAGAATGGAATATTTCTATATCAATTTTAAACTATCATAACAGTGGAAGGCGGCAATAATTTCAAATATATGAAGCAATTTTACATCAGTTCAACACTACCATGAAACGAAATTGCCCCCTTCTCTGGGAATTTAATGCTGTCAAAGAAGGAAAAAATGTGACATTAACGATTGCAAAATCGATCCCATTCTAAAAGTGAATACTTTTGCAACACATGTATTTATTGTTAAATCAGAATGCCAAAGCAAGAAAGTATCGCTTTATTTCAAATTAGTAATCAAATTAGTCCGAAACGACTCACATACAACGGATAAAAAGTATAACAAATAAAAAAATGTAACTTTATATAATTTATCGAAATATATTTCGATAAATTATATAAAGTTACAAAATGTGACATTAACGATTGCGAAATCGATCCCACTCTAAAAGTGAATACTTTTGCAACACTTTGATACAAACAAAAGCCTAAGCTAAAGCAAAATCTTTGGTAAAATGAAAAATATACTATCAATATTATTTGAAATTCACATGAGATGAAGTGGGACCATTAAATAAAAAAAAATGAAAAATTCAGAAAGTTCACCTGTGGATTAACTTTACGATAACAGTTGGCTGCTTCTGCATAATTTGAAGCTGCATCGTGCTTTCGATCGGTAGCCGCTGCATGTATTTCTGCGGATCTCACAAATGCGTCACCCGCTTCCTTCCATGATTTTGATATTTTGAATAAATTCCCTGCCTTAATTATTATTAAATTGCAATGTAATTGCTGCACATTCACCAAAAACAGCAACCAAAAAGCCTCGAGATTATGAGATTAGCCATTCTCTTTGAGTTATAATCTCCAAAGGTATTGATTAAAGCATATTTGTTCCGAACTTGCTTTTTTGCTTCGATATAAGCATTTTTTTTAACTTTATTAGAATGAAAAAGGCATAATAAGGAATGCATTTGAAAATAGAAGAATAGTAAATAAAACACCCAATAAGACAATTTCTCTAAACAATAGAGAAACGCCATCTTGATGTGGTTTAATATTTCCTTCTTTGTTATCTCACTCTTGCATTCTTTGAAGGAATATCTAACATGCAATCTTTTATTTTATATAGTTAGTTGTTAAACAACTAACTATAAAATCAGCAAGCTTAATGACACTACTACGATAAAAACATGAATTGAGATAAGTAGTCAGTTTTGGTAGAGAATCTCTACCAATTACTCCAAGTAATTTACGACTAATTTCGCTCGTTTTATATGTTCAAACAAACAAACTTCTTAATTCCATTTTCCATAAACACTATGGTGGGAAATTTGATAGTGTATAACAGGCATCAACAATTTCCCTTGTATGTTTTCATTGTTCACTGCTTTGTAAAAATTTTCATTCTCCTAGCTTCAAAAGTTGGTTCCTTCTGTTCATTGCCAAAGACTATTACTCGCGGTGTTCGAGGATGCATATTGCAGGAAGTACTGACTTTATTCATTCTTGCTACCTCAAATTCTTTCCGCGGCAATTTTCTTCTTTTCATAAATAGTGAGAGATCACTGATACCATGCACCTCTTCAGAGTGACAATTTCTTTCTTCTGGATTTACATATGTTTGGAAACAAGAGGCTTCATAACACCGAAACAAGGCGACAGTGGGATTACGATCTCTTTTAATCTTGAAAATCGAACAGTGATTCTCATCGACATGAATTTCTAGGCAATGTGTATTTGGAAACTGCCGTCCGCATATGGCACACTGATGCCTATGACACCGCTCGTAATGGTCTTCAAAAGTGGCGACACTATCAAAACTCATTCCACAGCCATTTTCTTCGCATGCTAAGACGGCTTTTGAATCCTCCTAGAACTTTCCATAAGAAACTACAAAATCCAATCTAAAGGTAAGATAAATTAAAATACATTGTAAAACAGACGAACTACAGGAATCTAAGTGCAAGGAACTAAAAAGATATATTCAGAGTCCAAACCCCAGAAGTATCCTTTTTGATAAGAATTCAACGAATTTTGCAAACAACAAGAAAAACAAGTTCGGACTCAAATACTGACAACTTCTAAGACAAATAAATTAGTCCGAACTACGAATGAAGAACTGTAAAATACTTACTTGTACAAAAAGATCGGCAGCTTCTTCTGCTTTAGCATTACCAAATAAACCACTTAAAAATCCACTTCCACCCCTTGCTTTTTTTTCCGCATCCTCCAACTTCTTCCGAGCTTTAGCTTCGTTTTCCGCCATTAAAAGCAATGAAAACGACGTATCAAAATATCAAATTCACTCAGTCAATTTTTCACCTGAAAATGTGAATTCAAAAAGAAGCCAAAAAGTAGATGAAGCGAAAAACAATCAGCTCACGCAATCTTAAATGAGTAATTTAAAATATAAACTTGCCATTTAATAGCAATGAAAAACGAATCTTAAACTATGCATCAGAAAGTCATAATCAATGACACGTTGAATATTCACTCTTTATGCTTCCTTATTACTTGCAAATAAATACTACATACTCTCTTCACACGACAATATTTATTTTCACAAATTTTATAATAGTAGAGTACAGGATGACATGATAAAAAAACATTACAATGTCTCAAATATTTCAGCTTAGCAATTTAGGATTTGTGAAAAACTTAAAAATACAAAAAACAGTCATTCATGTCAAAGAATTACATAGATCGATAGAAAAGTGCAAGCCTATGACAACTTACTGAAGAAAATACGAATTATAACGAAAACATCACATAACAACAGTGCCGGCTTCTATTGATTTCCATTTCCCTAACCATCCGTTATCGTTTGCTGTCACTTTCCCTCATTTCGTGAGCATTATTCCCTTTTTTCTTTTTTCAGCTGCCTAACAATCCCTCCCTCCTTCATTCGTCAAGCAGTAGGATGGGATCAATTTGAGCAGTAACTCGAGTCTGATTTTTGAATTAATTCGTTTGTTTGGCTTTTCCATCCCAATTATACATTTAAAATCTTAATTTTAAATTCTTGATACTTCCAGTACTTATTAGGGAATCTAAGATGGTTAAAAATAAAACCGATGCACGAATACATTCTTTGAAATAGTTAAGCTCGTTCAATTTACATTACTGCAAATATATCTAAACTGGAGGAAACTACAGCTACCAATAATTTCGATTATTAGTATATATGTATATATCAGCAAGAAGTGTCCCGAAACACTTTTTTCTTTTTTGGATATTGAAACTAAAAAGAAAAATTATATAATCCCTTAGAACTTTAGATGGAATTACATGTAAGTGAAATTCAACCGGATATCACACATTCATTAAAGAGAATGTATCAGTCAAATCAATCAATCAATAGTGACTCGATTAATCCCAGGAAGAGCAATGGATAGCAATGATAAATTGATGTATCAACAATCATACACTGCCACAGGTGGCACTAAAGTCATTCAATTTGTCTATCTTCTCTAAAGGATACAGCAACACAGCACAACGCATTTAAAATCACCTCATTCAAGTTAAGCTCGACTAGCTATGTCCTCCTCTCCTCAGTTTGTATTTATAATAATAATTCGATGATCTATCTATTCATTTCTCGTTATATTAATGAAAAAATTTGTATCCAATCTACAATGTATGAAAGTTCAGAAGCGCTTTCGGTTATCTCAGCAAGTCAAGTCCCCTCTCTATAATGAGCAGGAAATGTCCACTCCCATCTCACCACTCCATTTTTTGGGAGATTATTTCCGGAAAAGTTCCGAGGAACAGATAAAGTACGAGTCCAATATTCTTTATACGCGAGTAACACTGGAATGAACAATGCTTCTGCCCTTCTTCATTTCATCTATATACACACATCTATAACGTCCTACTGTTTTAGAAAAAACATCCATAGTAAGGATGACTTGTCTCGATTTCTCCTACTTATCGTGCGGGAGAGATAAAATGCAAAGAACTTTTTTGTAAGGAGATGGAATATTACCTGCAAATAATTGCCAATATAAATGCTCCTTGTAATATTTATCATACTTGACTATGATACTTATGATAAAACTATAACAGTGACTGGAAAAAATGTCTAATTTACCGCTTACCAGCGCGAAATTATGCTGATTAATAAGGATGGTAGACCAATCATAACGTACACATTCAGGCAGACATACATCTCACTGTGATGACGACTTCATAACCTTCTTATTCCTGCGGGGAAATGATATTGCACAATCAACGTCGTGCAACCATAAAAACCGGCGTTGCATGCCTACCTGTTTTTATGCTTTTACATGTCCATATAGCTCGTTTTCACGTTCTTTTTTTTTCTTTCGTTTTTACGTACTTCCGTTCTTTAGAATGTGTCACTATGACTGCAATTAAATGAACAACTTTGTATCATGAGCTATTATGTGAAGCGTAATTTCATCAGCATCTATTAAACTTCTCTTAGATTATTTTACACAGAACTATTTGTTTATTAAATATCAGTCTAGTGATAGTGTTTATTAAGCACATAAGGATATGTCCGGACTAACTTAACGTGAACTGTCATTGTCAACTTCATTACTATGTTTCAGGCAGGTTCCTTTTTTCGAAGTCGTACATTTCAGTTGAAAGCTAACAGAGAAAAATGGGTCGTGGTCGAAGTCGGAGTGAAAGTTCTAGCAAAAGTTGTAATCGTAGCCGTAGCCATAGTCGAAGTCCCAATAGTGGTCATCGTGGCCGTAGTCATAGCAGACGACGTGGTCGTACGAGAAGCCGAAGCCATCATCACGATCGTCGAAGGTACGCCTGGTGCTTTTTTAACTAAATCAAAATTTCTTATTTACTGCGATTAATTGTTCCTTATCTATGTATATTATCGCCAAAATCCGCTCCAAAGGTATTAATTTTTTGCTATTAAAACAATATAGAGTTTTCTGTAATAAGACATTGTGATGAATAGTATAGGATCTAGAAACACTAATAATTGAGGACGTGGAAAATACCGTATAAACTAGTGAAGATTTTAGAGACATATACAGACAACTGTTGTCATCGGTTTCAACAGATGTGAATTTTGTTGGACGTAAAAAAATGATAAGTAATAAAATTATTTCAGCAGAAGTCGTTCGAGTGATCGGGAAACTACGGATTTGCTAAAACTTTGTTGGAAACCGCTGAAAGATGATTCAAGAAATTTTGATGCATGGACTCATCTTTTGCAGTACATCGAGCAACTTGTAAGTCGAGGTCATTAAATCATGTTTTAGTGTTTTAGTTGGATCTGAAGAATATTTTAGCTACGCAAAAATTGATCATAAAAAAGCAGACATGTATTCCTCTTATTAATGTCTCTGTGCTAAAATTTTAATAAATTTGCCTGATCATTTTACTGAATATTTTTCTGATATAAAATAATTCACTTCTACTCCTTTTGGTCACAGTACTTCTCATATTTTCACAACAGTATCAATAGCTTATAATAAACGGTGCTATAGATATAGTATAGACTTTTTAAGATACCCGTACTGAGTTATTTCAGGATGAAACAAAGGCAGCTCGCGAAGCATATGACGACTTTTTTAAAAGATACCCATATTGTTACGGTTATTGGAGAAAGTATGCTGAATTTGAACGTCGCCATAAACATTATGACCGTTGCACTGAAGTAAACTATAATTTTGGCATATGACACTTTTCGCCTCACTTCTTTACAGTATTTTGCTCTCAACTTTCTTAAAAAGCTTTCGCAGCATAATTTCTTTTGCAAATTGAAATCCCGCGATTATCAATGATAAATAAGGGAATGGTGGAGAAGGAGAAGAGAATTAATTGTTTGCTGTTTATTCCTTTTATTACTTAAAGTCTTGCAAAGTTATTAAAAACAAAAGAAGAAACAGTTGAGCATGATTAACATTATTAGGTCGAAAATGAAACCATTTTTCAGGTTTATGAACGTGGAGTCATGGCCATACCACTGAGTGTTGATCTGTGGCTTCATTATATTGCTTTCGTTAAAGAGGTCGTTCAGCATCAGGATAACGCAATACAGAAAATCAGATTGTAACTTTACAACAGTACTATTAGTGATCTTTACTTCATAATTCTCAAAATTATTTGAAATCGATACGCTTGCAGAATTTATGATCATGCAATTGAAGCATGCGGTATGGAATTTCGTTCGGACAAGTTATGGGATGAATACATTAACTGGGAATTGAGTAATGGTGAAACTCTACGAGTCGGAACGCTTTTTGATCAGATATTAAGCATACCTACCTTGCTTTATAGTAATCACTTTGACAAGTATGTTCCTTTCATGTTGAAAATTAAATAATTTCTTTAGGTGACAAATTTCACTTAATATTGATCTTTGACAGTTTGATTCTTTTTCTTAACAGTTACTTTAGAATTACTAACTAAATTAGCTTTGTGGACCGTATTATTTTTACTAATGCTCCATCTTATTTCTGGAATGAATTCTATCGCTATAAGAGAATTTCTTTGATTTCATTGTACTTGTTTAGTTGGATATTGTCTTTTTCACTCATCTGCATTGTTTTCAGATACAAAACCTTTGTGAATTCAAATGAGCCGGATCGAGTAGTAAGTCAGGATGAATACAATGAAATTTTTGCGAAAGTGAGTGGTGGAATTCATCTAAGAGAAACGCTATCTTGTTTTTATATGAAATTTGATATGAAATTTATTTCAGGTTGAAGCAGACTTGCGTAATGCGATCGATGGTGATCTGTTTGTTTTAGAAGAGTATGTTGATGAGTCCCCACCGGACTGCATTCCGGAAAGTGGCGAAGAACCGCCGAAAAAAATTTTCATGAGGCGCAAGGTTTTTTTGATATGCGAAATTAATACATTATTAGAATTTTGTTCACTATTTCTAGTTAAATTGAAATATTTTTTCAGCATTGTGAAGAAGCCCTACGTGTTCTACGAACAGAGATACTCGAACGACGGAATAGAAAATATTTATTAAATGAACAGGAAGTTAGTCGACGTTGGGCATTTGAAGAAAATGTATGTTTGTTTCAAATTCATCAAATGTTCCATATAATTTGTTCACTATTTTATATTTTGATAAATTTAAAAAAAAGCAACGTATTTCAGATAAAACGACCATATTTTCATGTAAAACCGCTGGAACGCGCTCAGTTACGTAATTGGCGCATTTACCTGGATTTTGAAATTGAATGTGGTGATATCACACGTATCATAGTCCTGTTCGAGAGATGCTTAATCGCTTGTGCTCTGTATGAAGAAATGTGGATTAAGGTAAAATCTATCACCCTATTAGTTCTAAATTAAGCATTAACTTAGCGCATCTATCAATTTTGCCAAAAAATGGACACTTCGTTTGTATGAATTATTTTTTAACAGTAAATTATTAAGTAAATTTCAGTATGCTCGTTACTTGGAGAGTATCGGAGAATCCAGCCGTGCCCGTAGCGTTTTTCGTCGAGCAACCGAAGTTCACTTACCCCGCAAACCGAATGTTCATCTTGCCTACAGCGCCTTCGAAGAAAAAAATGGTAATAACCACAGCATTTGTGATATTTGTGATATACGAACCGGTGATCTCTTTTTCCGTTTATTCATTCATGTGGTTAAGTTTGATGATAAGCTAAAGTATTATCACCGTCAACAGACAACACTCATTCATGGTGCTCTACTCGTTCAACAACTAGATGGCAAGTATGGTTTTTAGTAATTTAGAAAAAGTAATAGTTTTCAAATGCAGTGCGATCAAAGATGAAATCTCTTTTTATTCATTTAAAACTGAGAAGGGTGTAATCTTATCTAAAATTTGCGGAATTTCATTGGATGTTGATTTATTCAAAGATGCACTTCCCCTTCTATCAAAAATTTTCCCCTGTATCCTGTGTCCAACAGTCTTGATCTTTTACAAGTTTAAAGAGGCTGAATTATCCTTAAGTAAGATAAAAAGTGCAATGCAATGAAATTCAAATGAGTTAGGCGAAGCAAGATTCAGAGTTAATTCTGTAATTGTCATGAATCCTCCAAGTCGACTTTATTTGCGTGATCGTTTTTTAAAAGGATATCCTGAAAACGAGAATTAATCTTTTGCTGATATAAGGATTCTAGAATTCTTTTGAGATCCTAGTCATTGAATAACTGTTAGAATTTAGTATGTTATGTGTGTGCGTGCAATTGCGAAGCTGAGCTGGTGGCTTGCTAAAGTGATATTATCCATTCTTAACTGTTTTACACTTAAAGCTGGAACAGCTTACTGAGATCCTTTATGATATAGGTTCCTCATGGCTAAACTTCGTTAACATACATATTTATTTTTCTGAGTCTTTATGAATAGTAGGATAAAGCTTTATTAACTTCGGATTCGGATTTTTTAAAGTCAAGATTCGCAAAGCTTCATCTTTGTGGAGTCTGATCCCGGAAAATCCAATTCATCGAACTCTTGACAATTTTTATGAATATGCAGCTTTTACCTTCCTGAGTTTTGAGAGTTATTATTTAGGATATGGATGACTCTTTACAATACCGGCTCTATCGTTTTTTTTTTGTAGCATGAAGATTTTGAAACTTAAGATTTCTAAATATCTCAGTATTATTGTTGAATAATACTATCTTCTGGAAAATTTAGATTGCGGCTCGTTCTCATGTAGCAGTAATCCCGTTTTCCTTTAGTTAGTGAAGTACAATTGATAGAAATAAGGAAATTGAAATGAGGAAAGATAGGAAAAGTTCCATTCACTGAAGTCAGATCTGTTATTGAATTATTCACGGAAGTGGCAAAGAATAGTTAATTTCATTTCCAGTAAATTAGCCATTTACAACTTAAAGTCCTTCGTCGTTAATCGCCGTGATTCCAAATGCTCTCTTTTTATTACATTTATAGATTCTGAAGCACTCTTAACATCCCAAAATGAAATTAGCGCTTCATGGGCATAGTTTGGCTCCACTTTCTTTTTAATAGTATATTCCGGAGTTGTTAGAGCATCATATTCTAAGTTATTCCATCAGGCTTTGGAAATTAGTGAATTTGAATTATTTTTGAATAGTCAAATCTAAAGAAGTTTGGCAGATTCAGAGAATTCTGAAATGTGATAATTGGCGAATTGGCATTCTTACCCTAGATTCTCTGAATTTTTCGAAAAGTAAGACATTTCGGCTATTTCATAAAAAGTGAATGCGAATTCTTGATGTAAATAAAAGCAGTACTGAACTTATCCAGACGACTATCTGAAAACTGATCAAATTAATTGTCCGTTCTAACCAAATTTTTGAATTACTTTGTAGGAGAAAATGATCAAAATAACTATTTCTTTTTATTTCGTTTGGTATTGATGGGAACGTAATTAATAGATTAGTATTACACTGCCACGATTTTATGTTATATAATTTTTGAAATTGGCTTTACATCATCAAGATTAAGAAGCGAAGTGCGCAAATCTCTTCATGTTGCAAAATGTTAAAATTTCTAAATTTCGTGCGAAACGCTCGTTTGCTTCATTTCTGTGTTACAAACATCATTCAAAATTTTCAAATTTCGTTTGCTGAGAAGTTCATAGGAACAGAAAGAAATTGTTTAATGCTGTGTTAAAACATAGAAAATGAAGCATCTGCTGCATTCCTTCATTGAGAACTACTTTTTCTTTTAAATATTACTGCAAATTTTGCTTTTGAAGCCTTTTCCCAAATTCTTATGCATATTCCTTAGTGTGAAAATCCGAATAAAATTGAATTTATCACTTGGTTCATTCAAATAGCAAGCAGATAAGAGATTGTTTTGCAGACGAAAAGTAATTTTTCTGCTCACTATTTCCAGTATACAATCAGTAAATCCTTTTTATAACAATGATAATGCCTTATGTTATTGCAAGTTTTACAGGTGATTTTGAGAAAGCTAATTCGATTTTGGCGAATTTTGATCATCGTTATCCAGGATATGCTGTTATTGCACTACGTCGAATAGGAATCGAACGGCGCTTTGCGATGAAACAAGCAGGAGATAGGCTAGTTATTTGCGATGAGCATTAAATTTTGGATTTTATTGAAAATTAGAAGTAATTCGATGGAGCAAGCTAATCTATTTGGATTTTCAGTAATATTTATAATTTTCAAGAATTTTTTTCTTCAAATTAGTTAGATAAAATTATCTTACAGAGATTCTCCGGACTATTCTTCTGTGATATCACGCTTTGAGCGTCTCATACACGATTCACGTACTCCACGTAAGCTGTCTGCATTTTATGCCCTGAAACTAGCAAGATTTCATGCCAAAACACGAAATGATCGTAGGCTCGCTGAAAAAATCATCAGGGATGCAATAAATCGTGATAAGGTAAGATGAAACATCGGTAAATTATGATATTATCATATCAGCACTGTTATTTATTCCTTCTTAAAAATTTATTCATACGATAATACCATCGTTCTATTTATCCCTTCTTAAAAATTTATTAGTATGATGGAAGCAATAAATAAGCATGGCACTCCTCTCTTTGTTTTCTCATCCATTCATCATTCTGAACTTTTTGATTATTTCTATGTTGCAAAAAATCATGTATCATTGCAGAGCAATCCACAACTCTACTTGGCGCTGGTCGATTTAGCCTATACTGCGCCAATATTTAATGAACGAAGTGTGATCGAAGCATTGAATGAAGTTCTTGAAAGTGACCAGCTTTCTGATGAAGACAAACTTCGTTTTTCTCAGAGAAAGTTGGACTTTTTGGAGGATTTGGGGACAGACGTTGAAGCGTTAGTTTCGATATTCTTGATTTCTAGTGATATATAAGCATCATAGAAATTGCATATATCGATGAGAAATAAATTTTTGTAATTCGGAGTTAGAAATTTTTGTTGAGGCATTATTTTTAGACCAAAAACACTTCTCCTTTATATTATTTTCATAAAAATTTCTTAATTTTTTGTAATTTTATCCTTTTTGATTTTATTTTTGGCTTAGTTGTTCTAGATTCATTTATTTTCAATCTTTTCTTTTTATTTTCATAATTTTCTTGCGATTTCAACATATTAAACTTTTTTTGATTGCCCTAGTATAATTTTGTGAAGATGCTGAGATAAAATTCCTGAAGATTGATTTGAAACAAATCTTTCTCTCGTTTCAGCCTCCAGAAGCATCTCGAATATCATACACAACTTCAAAAAAGTATTGAGAATATTGCTGTACCAAATAAAAGAGTTGCTGATTTGAGAGGTTCTAGGTAAGTTATTACTCCTTCATCAGGAAGATCTGATCATTAAAATCGGATATCATAAATTTTCAAACCTTCAAACATCACCAACAAAATGTGCCGTTCACTTTCAGTGATCCAATTGAGAAAAAGATGCGGACAGCTGAATGTTACACGGCATATTCAACTCACCAACAGCAGCAATACTATGCAGCTGCGCCTAGCACAGATAATGGTAAGTAATGACTTTCAGATAAAAGGAGTCCAATTTCAAAAGTGGCTAGATGCCTTCATGATCTCCAGAGAATCATCCTCTGGAGATCATGAAGGCATCTAGCCACTTTTGAAACATACGATTATTTCAAAATATATGCCAATGCATGCATGATTTGCAAATCAAATTTGTAGAATATATGAGAGAGAGAGAGAGAGAGAAAGAGACTTCAATTGGTGTCGGAAATAATTTGCGATGTTCACAACATTTCAGATTAACATCAAGCTCAGATTTGGTGATGCGCATTATCTTATTGAGATTTATATTTTCTTTTTTTGTAAGAAAGCATTAATTTCACTGAAAGAAGATGTGACAAGTTAAGTCATTTTACTGAAGCGGAAAACTAAATTTCTTGAAGTTGAATTAATTTGAAGGTGTAGCATCAGTAGCGGCAGCATATGGAACAATACCAGCAGCAGCTACAGCTGGCCAACAACAACCACCGCTATCCAACACAGCTCAATATTATTATCCTGGACAGCAACAACAGCAACCAGCGATAGTTCAACCGGTTCCTGTTTTAACAACGATTCAGCCGAATTATGTTCAACAGTAATGTTTTTTTTTTATATGAAATTACACCCATGTAACACAAACAACATTCTGGGAAATCAGTGGGATTCAGAAATATTGCTATAAGCCTTAAGTTTTGGCACAATCATCACAACCATCTGAGTGTTTTTTTGTGATGGTAATTTCTCAATAAATATTCACGTTCATATTTCTGATGGTCTAACAAATGGAAGCTGGAAGCTTGTTATTATTTTGAATTTTTCAATATCGCATTATGTTGATTTTTTCACAAAGTTATTCGATTGTTGATCGTGTATATTTTAATATTCATTTCCGATCACGTGATTTGTGAAAGTGGAGAATTGTTTGATTTCAAATTGCTCTTGATGGATTTCTGAAAAGTTTTAGTGTTTTGCTTCGTAGTATCTGCCATCTTGATTATTGTATATAGGACCATAACTTTATCATTTTTAAAAATGATGGTGCATTTTAAATCACCATTGGTACATAGATTCTGTTTCCAAATTTCAATGGAAAATTGCATCGTTGTTGTTGTTGTTTGGTGATACTTTATTGTTATACTGTTTGGCAGCTGATTTTGGAAGTTTTCTGCACAATTTCTACTTTTTCTATTTAATTTTACTTTAATTCTCAATCAGTTCATGTTTGTAGTTCTGATATAGTGCACATTTGCTTATTATTGGAATTTTGAACCAGAAAAAGCTTTTTCAGTTTAACATATATTGATTAAGCAACGCAAAAGAGGTAGGCTTGAATAGCGCTGTTTCATTTGTTAACTGAACTTCGCAAGCCCACTTAAGGGGTACAAACTTAACTATGGCATTAAACGTGAATATCAAAGTATCATACTTACCAAATATATTGATTGTCAGAAAATAACGGTTAGAACAGGCAGTTTTAGTATTATTTTCAACTTTTTGCAGAGATACTACATGCAGTTAAGAGTCCTGAATAAGTATGGATAAATTTTGTGAAGTGAGAGAAAATTTATGGAGATAAGATTGGAAGTTCGCTTCATTATGTTTAATTTTCTTGCAAATTTCAAGGCCATTTAGCTATTTAATTTTTATCTCAAAAATTTTTATTTCAGACTTGATTTTCAAATTCTTTTCTTTTTTTAATTCCAAGACAAAATTCAAATAAGAAAGGCTATTAATACATAAAAGAATATAATCTTGGCGATATTAAGACTTGCCGTTTATTTTATTCTGTGTGATCTTAAATAATTTATTAAAAAAATATGAAGAGGTCTCCCATACATTGTTTTTTATTCATCGAGAATCCGGAAACAGGGAGATTATGTGGAAGAAAAGATTATCACTGAAATGAAAAATTTTCCGCGGTCATTTTGGCCATAAACTGTTGCTAGCCAACTCATCAATGACTATGATCGAGGTCACTCGTCAGAATTTTAATACTTTTCAAAATAAATCACTGGAAATATGGCCATATAGATTTGATGCTGACTTTCTAACAGTTAAGTTTCACACCTAAATTTCACTCAATTTAAACATACAGTGATGACTGCATGGTTGTGTTTTATTCTGATTTAATTTTACATTAGGAAAATTGCGCAATACTTCAATTTGAAAGCTTGGAAAATTTTGTAAAATTATGAAAACTGCAAGATTCCGACTATCCGACTATTCTAACTGATTATAAATTTATCTGAATTTAATTGACTGAGGTTTGAATCATTTGAAATTAAAACCTCAATGTATCGATGCAGGATATCTTGATATGGTTCCAAATTAGAACTTCAATATAATTTGTATTAAAAAAAACAAGTAAAGAGAGAAAGTGTATGAATTAATTATAACGTAAAACATAGCTTATCATATAAACCTAATTAGTAATTAAGATTTACACCAATGGTCGGTTTACTATGGAAAAATGCAAATTAGATCAGCGGTGTACATTCCAATTTTTTTGCTTCTTCCATTATAATACGGTATGAGTAGGGCGATTTTATCTAAAGTTTTTCAATTTTGATAAATTTCTAATAATTTCTATGCTTTTCATCTAAAAAAAAATTCAAAATTAAAAATAAGATTTAAAAAATTCAGAATTAGATCTAAAAAATTTGAAATGTATTTTAATTTAGGAAATACTTCTTAAAAACTAAATGAATAAATTAAGATCGTTAAGCAACAAAGTGTGGAATTTCTGTTTTAATCCTCGAAATGATATAAGAATTCGTTATTTGAGCTGGCAAATATAGAATTGAAGAAAATAATCAAAATTTTTTGAATCAAATAGAAATTGCAAGGTGACTACAGGTATTTTGCACACATAACATTTATTCATTAACTTTTAACTCTTCATTTTATGTTCAATAGTTACAGATTAAGTCCACTTCTTTATGTTGGTACTGGCATTCATTAAGTTATAAATATTACCTGCATTAGGTAATTGTAATAATCTTTATTATGAGATAGATATCTTTATCTTTATTATGAGCGGTGAAAGAATTAGACATCGTCGAGCATATTCATTTGGCATAATCTCAAACATCATTCACTTTGATTAGCTATCTACAAACATAATTCGCATCAATAACTTTGAAATTTCGATTTTGCGAAATTCCAGTTCTACATGTAAATGGAAATTTCAGTAAATATTTAGAAACAGATAAAATTTCTTTGAAATAATTCAACCTGTTTACGGAAATTTCAAGTAAACTAATTTTAAAGGATGAACACTGTTAGAGGAATTATTTGCGCATAGTGCATTTGAATGGTAAGGTGAGATGATCTTATGCATTTGAATAGTAAGATGAGATGATCTTATAATTAGGTAACTTTTAGTATGAACTTACCTTGTAATATAGGATTAGCATACATTTGCTAGGAAGCATATCATCTACAACAATTTAGCTTTCGAGAAATAAAATTTCTCTTTACTGCTACTTTAACTTTATAATTGTTGTTATTTTTAACAGTTCTAATCGACAAGAATGATAAAGATTAGCATCAATTCTTGAAAAAATTGCTATCTGAGGAAAATTAAAGAAATTTGAAAGGCGAAAAATTAAGCAAACAAAAAAAAAGAAATCAATATTAAAAAATTCAAAGATAGAACGTCTAAAAGCGTTAGTGACAGATTCACATAAATGATTTTTGTTGGAGCCTTGAAAGAAACTATCAGCTAGTTTAACATTAGCTTTGATTAAATAACTTCAATATCAACCTGTAAGCAATAGAGTAAGTTAGTTGCACTAACATTGCACTAAAAATATAAGGATACAAATAATAATCTTGGTAACACTTATGATAATAATGATATTACTACAATAAACAACACAACAATGAAACATTTAGTATGCTAGAAATTCAGGCCTTTATTTTTCTTCAGTTGATACTGAAAATAACATTTTAGCAAGATAAAATGAATGTTTGAACTTATTATTATACGTTATGTAATTCAACATATAAGTTGATTTCTGTAAAGCTTTCAAAGTTCAATTAGTTTCATCCGCTAAATCACATCAAATTTAATTCATATGTTGGTCATAATGGAAAATAGCAATATAACAAATTAGCAATTGATTTTTTCTTAATTAATTATTAAGAATCTTAGAGATTAACTTTGATCATTTGTTGAGAATTATACGGGTTAAATTTGGTTAGTACTAGTATTTACAAATTGTTGTCATCTAATAACTTATAGTTATAGACACTTTATATTCCTATTACTTATTCATACTAATTTACGAAGCAATTTAATAATTATCCACCGTTGGCAATTTATTGACACATTTTTCAAATAGTAATAATCTTTAAGGTAGAAAAAAAATTCACTATGAATTGATTATTTCTCACATATATGGCTGGCAATAAGTATTCATTCGTTCATCCTTCGCTTTCTCACAAATAATAATTGTGCGCAAAAAATCAACAATTGTGAGCCATTCTTGGATGGATCAAAATTTTTTTATCCTCAAAGAAATTGTCCTTTGAAATATTTTATTAGTGAGGGAAGAAGCATTACAAAATCTTTCTTACTTTTAAATCTTCTTTTAGGTGTCATTAATCATTCAAAAAAAAAAAAAGAATTTTTAATTATACAAATTCTAATAAATTTTTATGATAAATTGAAACTAATTTTTACGTTAATTTCGCATTGGAAAATTTCCCTTAAAATGATAAAATAACATAAAGAAATTTAAACTAATAATTCTAATTATTTAAGATGAGAAAGTGTAGCATAAATGTAGAATTTTTTATTATTAATAAAATTTGACAAATTTAATGAAGAAATTTTTGAATTCATCATCGGACATATAAAACCTATCTCCTTTCATAATGATTATCATCTGAAATTTTATTTTATTACTTAAATTATCTTAAAAGGTAACTTCAGATGACATCTATATGTTATCCCATTAAATTTGACCAGTATCCTTTCCAAATTTTAAATCTTAATATCAGCTTAATTTGTGTTTAAGGTATAGCCCCTTAGCAACAACATTTAGAATGCCAATCCATAAGTGATCGGTCTCCATGGAGAATGAAAAGGTTCGCTGCACAATATCGGTTATGACAATCTGTTCCTATGCTTAGTTTGAATCAAAAAACAGCGCTTCTTTTATTGATTTTTAAATCATATTTTCTAATATTTTAGACTGATTTTGAAATTATTTTTTACAATATTTTACTATTAAGAAACTTAAACCACTGGAATATTAGATTCTTAAATCACTAATAGATATATTATGTAAATTAATTAATGCAAATTGTCGATGGCTTAATTTGCTGTGATTAAAATCACTTTATAGCTGGCACTTTAGACCAATTTTGAAAAAGCCTACACGAAATATACCAGATACTGCTGTGTACGTATCAGAATTGATTATCTTAATGGTTCATTCTGCTTATAAAATATTTCATCTAGTTTTCCTTCTTTTAAAGGAAATATCAGTTTTCAGTAGAAGTTTTTGCAAAAATTAACTTTGTTGTGCTAACTTATATAAGTTCAGTTAGTGCTATGTTTTTCCACCAGCCGAAATACCCCACGTTGACCTGTTAATGCTTTCAATTTTTCCCTTCCCTCCTGCATTGACCTCTTCATCCCTCTCTCTTCCTACATTTGATCAAAGTTCAAAAAGCGATCATTTCTATTTAATATTTTTATAATTCTCCGCAAAACATTATAAACAATGCATTCGTGCGCCATTTCTATTTGATTTCAATGTTTGAGTCGTTTTTTTTGGAATCACATATTTAATTTGTATTAAATTTGATTTGCTAATGTAATTAATACTATAAAATATAATCTTTTCATTCAGTCCATTTTTTTAAAATTAATTCCATTATGAAATTTCCAAATTACAGAACGAATTGAAAACTTTTTACATCAAATATTTTCGATATATATCATCGTATTATCGAATGTTACTTCATGCATTTATAGTTAGCTAATTTCTTTCTGTTTCATTCATGTTTAGGTATGCTTCAGTTATATAATAATGTTAAGGAGGAGGATGAGAATGGAGAGGCGCAATTTTGGAAAAAACCGCTCGGTGCTTGGATAAAGTTAGCTTTATGATTAAGTATAATTATAACGAATTTTGTTCAATTTTCTTTTTTTAAAAAAAAAGATTCAATTCCATATCTTAAATTTTATCGGATCAATTTGTGAAAATGGTAAAAATTCTTTTTTAATAATGTAAGAAAATAATATTATATCATATTAAAATAAAATTTTTCTTTCTAAAATTTCAAACCTACCAAAATTATTAAAAAACTTTAAGTATAAGAATAATTAAAGTCAAACATTTAATTGTTTCAGAGATTGTATCATTGGAACGGATGCATTGCTTCCGGAAGCAGCATGGAGAATGGAAGCTTATCGTGGAGGTGTTTTACGATTTTCGGAACTCTGCGACGGTTTCGTTTTTAGTCTTCTCTTTGTTTTCGTGTATGTTTTACAAAAATTTTTTTTAATTATTCTTCTTCAATTTGTCACATTTGCAAAGAAAGATTACTGTGGATGGATTTTACATTTTGTAGAAACGAGTAGCCAATTACTACAATATCCGCATCCCGCTTAGTGTAACGTCCACTCTCTTTTGGCATTTATTTTTCTGAGGTTTTCATGAGCTGAAACTCTTCTGTTACAACTACACATTTAACCTTACTTATTTGAAATAATGGAATAAAATTAAGAGCGGAAAATTTCGTAATTGTAAATACTTCTTCAGAAGCCATTAACTATCGATTTAATGAAAATTTTTATCGTATTTTATGGAGTTGATTAATTCTTTTGGATGAAAAGAAAATCAATAGATTTACAAGTAATAAAAAAAGAACTTACAAATATTCACATAAAAAATTTTGTAAATTTAAAGAAGTAAAGATGATGATATTACAGCGAATCGGATACGCTAAATTTGATAATAATGCGTGATGGAGAAAATTCACTCTCAGACACAGCAATCAACTTGAAAAGACTCTCAGTGCTACTAGAAAATATTCAGAAGTTTTATCGAGTAAGTCTTTTGACTATAAATTTAAGAAGAGATTTAAATAATAAATTACTTTAAATTGCATTTCGTGTTCTCCATTATTACTTTAATTTTTTGTTATCGAATTTATTAATGGATAGCAAATATTCCAGATCTATTCGGAACCATTTTTGTTCAGCTAATCAGATTGCAAGCTGAATGAATAGATAGAACTTGTCATAACTATCTTTAAAATACATAACTTTTCTACGCTTGTTATCGATGGTAATCGTTGTGTTAAAAGTTAAATTTTAACTGCTGATAATAAATTATCATAATCATTGAACTGTCATAGAATTTGTAATTAACTAATTGATACTATATAAATGGACATAACTATGTTCATCCAATTGACTTATTTTTACATTGCTTGCATTTGAGGACCTCTAAAATTTGTGTTTATCTAATGGAAGGTTTAAATGATTGATTAAAAAGAGAGTAGTTGAAGATTGTATGAACGATAAAAGGCCTTTCATTATATCGATCCTTTTCATGTTATCATTTGTAGATGGTTGAAAGTAATTCAACTTTTTTGAGAGATTTTTCTTTCAAAAATTATTCAACTTTCACAATTTGTCATTTTCATTTAATATTCAAATTCCTTATTTAAAAAAGCTGATAGTGTAATTTTTTAATGGAAATTAATAAAATAATTTTGTGAATTAATTTTTAAAAAAGGAATAGTTTAATTAATTAATAATTGAATTCATTTTGTCACTAATTTTTTTAGTGTTATTTTTAAGAAATTTGTTTGCAACAATTTATTTGCTAATTTTAAATTTTGAATCTTTGAAATGATGTACTTCAATTATAACCAAAATTACTACGGAAATAATTTAGGTTTTAGTGATATCCAGTTTTTTTTTTGTTATACGGAACCGGTTGGTTAATTAACGAAAATATTACTAGTTGTGATGTGGAGAGAAGAAGAAATATAAAAATAAGAAAAGAATATTTTAAAAGTTTTTTTATCCATTTAATTTAGTACTTTTTTATGTTTAAAATTCTTTTGTTTGAATTAGTAATTAGAATAAAATTTAGGAAGAAATTATTTGTGATTTATAAATTAAGCCTTCTTCCTTACTTCTGAAAAATTTTCAGATAAATTTAATTCATATTTCTGAGAGATGAAAAGAAATTTCTTCGCTGGAAAAAAAATCCGATAAAACATAAGACGATTATTTTGATTGACTAATTTATCATCACAACCATTATTTGATGTTATGATTCTTTTCAAGAATAACGATAATTTATAACGAATTCATCAATTAATATTTGGTCAATTAAAATTTTCTTTTTAGTAAATCATTTAAAATATGAATTTCAGCAAAATATCCATTGAGAAGATAAGAGAAGATAGATAAATTTCTGTTCAGACTGTATATTTTTGTGGTCAGCGCAAAGCATTCTATATTATTTATCCTTCTTTCTTTGACCAATGGCTCTTTTTTTCAGTTCAGAAGAAACATTGAAATAAAGCAGATAATGAAAATAAGTACCATTTATTTAACACTACAAATATAAATAACCTCTTCTTGTCACATCTCATTTCAATATTTAATAATCTAAACAATGAAATATCATAAATAATATTTTCTACTAACGTATATGCAATTTTTCTTATTTGAAATTTTAAATCTTAAAAGATTTAAAAATTTTATATTTATGTATTTTAATGAACTCATCGTTTAGAATCTCAGATTTTTGATTCCTAGCTTCCTTCTCATCTTAAAACTAATAAATTAGATTTCATTTTCCCTCTTATAATTTATATTTTTCAGTTAGATCTGAAGGCAATCCTAATTTAATATATATAGATTATTGTATTTTTTATTGTATTTGATATATATAGATTATATATATATATATATTTCACTGCTACAATCTTTCAATACATTTATCTAAAGGGAAATGTCAGAGGTCATCACTTCTACATTACAATAATCTTTTTCTTTTTAAAACAATTAACGATTGATGCGATCAGTTTCATTCATAACAATTAGTTCAATTAGTTTCGCATATAATCTTTTTCCTTTCTTTCTTAACATTATTGATGGCACTTAAGCTTATTTAGAAAAATTTGCACTCTAATCTTAAATATGTGATCATTTTTGAAAATTTATTTCTGATATGTATGTATTGCATGAAATGGTAAGGGTTGATTTGAATAAAAGGTTGAATATTTCACTGACCAATGGAATGTTTATTGTATCACGAAAGTTGCACTGACCAAATGATCTTCCTCTTTCAATCAACACCCTTAATGGATTGTTGTTGTTATTGTCACACACACACACACACACGCACACACACACACACACACACACACACACACACACACACACACACACAGCAAATATACGACACCGGACAGACTAACAAGGATGGCCTTGCAGTTTGACCGATTTCTCACTATCCCATCAATGGTCATGCATTTCTAAAACAATTGTTTTAAAAACATTGTTATGTAAGTATTTCACATTTTTTTTATTATTTCAATCTATCTAATTGATATCATAATTAATAACATTAATTGATTATTTAATTCACTGGTCAAGGAATTTCGTACTTTCACTTCGCTCTTTCATATGTCCACCCTTTTAGCTTTATTTTCATAACATAGCACATTGAATTGCTCCATACGCACTAATCACAAAAGGTAAGTTTAAGTAATCGATCGTTAAAATTGTAATCGCCGCTTTAAAACAAATATGAAAAAATTAAATTAATTTATTGATGTGAAATTAATTTCATTATTTCTTAAAAAATTAAATTTTCGCATATAAATTCCATTTATATAATTATGAATGATTGGAGTTTATTAATTATTTGTATGTCATTATAATCCGCTCTCTTCACACCTTTATATGTCATACCTGTCCAAATTTATTTAAAGAATGAGTACATCATTTTATAATTCATAAAGAAAACTTTTGTCGTTTGTACAGAAATTTGCTAAATTTATCGTCTAATATCAAGGAAGGTTTGTGTATATGCGAAATAAATTGGATATCTTTCCAAAAAACTTTCAATACAATTAATTGGTTGCTAACAAAAATAATTAATGGTCGTAAAATACATTATTTGTAGATTTTTGAAAATAAAATAATTGGCTTCAAAATGGGTTTTTTTTTAATTTCATTAATATGAATTGTTTAATGTTATAATTATATTGTTGAAAATTAACGGGGCAAAAATTGTGATCTTCGATATCACTGATATGATAATATTTTGATGAAATGAGCTATTGAAGAGTTATGGAATAGTATTTGAAATAAAATTAATGGGAGAGTGGAATAATTTCAGTTCAATTCTGATACTGTAAACAATTCATAATGATGAATGGAAGTATTTAGAAGTGAAAGAAGCCAATTAAAAAAGAGCAATCAATTAAGAAAATTGAGAAAGAAAAATTTTGGACAATTTGGGTTAATGCGAAAAATGATTTACATTACAACAAACAATAAAATTACAACTTTTTTGAAGTGAAATAAATGGTGCTTTATGAATTTTATTATTCATTGCAGAAGGAATTAAACAAATTGATTGTCATGCCATTACCGGATCTTTTAACCATTGTACGAAATCCATATCCCGGTTCGTTTCTTCTTTTTCTTATTTAATAATTATTAATTAACCTTTAATTTTATTTTTTATCTTTATGATATTATTATTCATCAGGACTTATCATAAATATTTCATTTTTACATTATCAGATTTACAACAATCTTCCAAAAAACCTTCTGGTATCAGTCATCAATTTATTATTCTAATTTTTTATTTGAAATTTCTTCATTATGATTATATTTTTGATTTGATAATTAACTAATGTTTATAGTAAGTAAAACTATGCTAAATCCTTTTATAAAAACTCATCTATCTTCACTTGTAAATCAACAATCTCATAATGTCTCTCATGTATGTGATTCATCATTGTTTCACTTACGTGATATTTTCATGGTAGAAGTATTTCACTTTTTAGCATATAATTATCATAACTACTATAGTAAATAATGTCAAAATTATGTGGAAATTAGATTTTGCTTATTTCAGTCAAAAATTTTTCAAATTTACGTTTGAATGAAAGTATAATAATATCGTACGTTTTATGTTGCATATCACATTTACAACGATCTTCCAAAAAAAACCTTTTGGTATTAGTTATCAATTTATTGATGAAAAGATATATATGGACAAAGCAATGCTGGCACTTTATTAAATGGAAAAGTAAATTTTAATTGTTGAAGTGTGATGTAATAAAAAGTCAGGAATAAAACACTAATTTGGATGAGGAAGTGGGAGAGAGAAAAGGAGAAAAAGTGAACTGTAATAAATGATCGTCTTTTAAAACTTATTGTTCTCATCGTCATATATTTTATTTTCATATACGAGTGACTGGTATTAGGTCTATCAGACCTAATCTGATAATACAATCGTTGTTGAACAGTTGTTGAAACAATTGAGGAGGAGATGAAAAAGAAATTTTATGCGAGTTGATGATATTCGATATGCGACATTAACAAAATGTTTAAATATATTCCGATACCGGACCATATACCTATCCAATAAATCATTTCAAACATTCTACCTTTTACAACTAATCGTACTATAGTAGAATATAAAGAATAGAGTAATGTAGTAGGTAGGAATCATGTAATTAAATTTGTTTTCCTTTTTTAGCAAATTATTTTTGAAAGATAAATTTCTTCCTCTTAAACCTTTAAATTGGAATAAATATTTGAGAAGAGAAAGTTTAATCAAAAGTATAGAGAGAGAAGTTTATCTGCAATCATTGCAATTTCCTTTAAACCATTAGAGGAACTGCCAACAATAAATATCAAACAGTTTTCCGGAAAAGAAAAGGACTACTTAAGCTTTCCCCTCTCTCCTAGGAAATTTTATTCTACATAAATGCCCTTTTCTGCTTGTCAAGCCTTATTGAAGGTGAGCAATATTCATTATTTGCCCATAGCTACTCATCAATTCGCATCGTGACCCCATCGAGTCGAAAAGGTCGATTGCACAAAGCTCCTATCCTTTCTCCACAATCTATTGTTTGGCTTACCATTTGCATATGCCGGAATAGAATTGGTCGTTCGGTCATCACCTATAGGTCTATATAGGCTAAAATCATTATTTATTCGAATGTAATTTGTTGTCTTTTTTCAGTGTTACCTATCATATTACTTTTTCATTAAACTTTATTTCCTTAAATAATTGCCTTAGAACAATAATATACATTAATAGAAAGATTGTTTACTTTATTTCTAGACCAAAATTACAGAATCTCTACGCATTAATTCATTAAATCGTTCTACTAACCATAAATTGTTGTTTTAATTTCATCACTTTGACTTTTTATCTCTTTTTTGGAACCAAATTTTTATTTATGCATATTTTTCCTATGTATATTAAAAACAAACATCTACAAAATATCGTTAATATTTGAGCATTCTTTACATTCTTTGCCATTGAAAGTATTCACCAAATGCGCATTTGTTTATCCCTCAATTTCCTCAGTGTGAATTCTGTCGTATAGTAATAATATACTTTCATCAAATTGCATCCATATATAAATGTATATATATCTGCGCTTCTATGATACTATCATACGACATATAACAGAGACAAGAATCAATCTTATTTTAACATTTCTTGAGTTTATGAATTTATTTGCTCGACAGATATAAACACTATGAATCACAAATTTGTTTAAGAATTTATATACAATTTCGTTCATCTTCACCACATTCTATCATCATCATCTTTCAGCCCTTTCATTCCTAAATATGTTATCAACATACCAATGCATATTCATTCTTGAGAATATTGAAAACGCGCATAATATCAAACTATCCAGTTCGATTCACATCCACTAGGCTCATTTGTCCTTCTGAATGTTATGAATAAAATTCATCTTATTTTCTTATCATATCATTCTTCACTATTCTCGTTAAATTGTTTAATTTCAGTCTATTGTTTATAATTGTTTTCTAATGAAGTTTTTAGCGTTTATCTTTTTTCACTGTTTTATTTTTATACAAAATAAGCACTAAATTTTTTTTTCGTTGTTGGCAGTTGTTCTGTGCTACATTATGTTAAACTGGTTATCTGTGAAATTTATCATTTGCCGAAAATTGATTCCATTCTAAATTTTCAAATTTTTGCAATAATATGTAAATATCATTATCTCTAATTCAATTTTACAGATAAATGTTTTTTTAAGGAATTATAGGGTTATGATAATCGACTGGCAGAATCAAATAAATATCATTAAGTTATATGTGTCGATATTTTGTAATAGTAAAAATATCGGATTGGATTGTGATAAATGCGAAGTAAAGATAGAGAGGAAGGATAGATGGACTTGTTGATGTCCAACGTTGTTATTATTGCTGCGGTTTATGTTTTGTAATCACAATAGTGTGTTATATTTTAATCGTACATTAATTTATAAGTTTGATTATTGCTTTTATTTAGAATATCATGAGATTCTGCACTATCTTTTCTTCCACTTCTCATCCACTCTGTCCACTTCACTATAGTCATCCTATTTCAGTAAGTTCTCAATAACTTTATTCTCAGTTTGAATTTCATTCTATCTCCTGAGTTCACACAGTTTATATTACAATTGTTAATATTCGTATAAATTTAATATAACCTTTTAAATATTAAATTCATTTCATTGTTATTAAATGAATGCTTAAAAATTCACCTCTAATTGACTATAATAATTAGAAACGGATTTGTTTGCTGTAAAATGAGTGATTGGTTAAAATTTCTAATTTGAGCTCATTGATTTTCTTTTCTATCATATCATTCTGAAAGAAACAATAAATCTCATTTAAATAAGCTTAAAATGATTTAAACAATGGTTTCGTTATTTCTTTGAAATTCAATAAAATGAATGTGTGAGCTATTGTTTGATAAAAATGAGAAAGATATCAATTTTCAACTTCAACTTTTAGTACATCATCGTATACTCGTGAACTCGTGAATTTAACACTAATCATTTAAAATCGCTTGTTAAGTGATTTTACTTCTTGCACTCACTGCAATAGTTCACTCATTTATAGTTTAAGTTAAGAGAGAGAGAGAGAGAGAAACTGAATGGATTATATTCATTAATACTTTCATCGCATACCAATGTGTGAAAGTATTATTAATATGATCCATTCAATCGCCTAATATCACTATACCTGCTGTGATAATCTAATCTAAATCGAAAGGTATTGGAAAGCGAAATAGCTGTTTGCTTTATTTTCAATAAAATCATTACTCAATCATATACTGCCAGCTATACAAAAATTTTTTTTCAAAATAAAACTGACCTTTAACATTACTCAATGAATTAATCATTCATTTTCATATAATTTATGCAAGTATGTTATCACTAAAAAGAATTGTAAATTGTTTTGCATATTGTTCCAATATTTTTATTCATTTTATCATTGATAACACAGGAATAAAATTATTTAAAAAAAGAACGATTTGCTTGAATGGTAAAGGAAGAGAAGGCCTACGAAGATTAGGCCATTCTTGTTGACTGAATTAATTTGCAGTTTCTCAATGCTATTATTTATGTATTATATAATGGATGAAAAGTGCCATTAAAAATCTAATATAATTAATGTACGAAAAATTTATTGCTCTTAATTCTAATATGCAAGAAATTTTAAATTCAAATTTTAGGCAAAGTTCTTACATAGAGCAGATTTTCGAATTTTAAATAAGGATGAAGAAAAAGTTTAAGGAGTGATCACATAAATTTGAAAATGTTATAATTCAACTGTATAAGCGAAAATGGATAAAAGAGTTTTTGACCGGCTCTTTGTGTCAGATTACCAACAGCGCTCAGGCAGAATCCATAGAAACTTTTCCCAACAACATTCCTACTCTTTCTAGGCTTTTGTATAAGAATGTTGTACATTTTGTATAAGAATGTTGTACATTTTTTACAGAAAGGATGTAATTAACATTTTCTAATTGTTCATTAAGTTTTTCATAATTATTCACTTTTATTATTTACAATTTATTTATTATCGGCGAAGCCATTTTTATATGGAATAAATATATTTTTTGATATCATTTACAAGAGATATCACATCTGTAATGAATAATTTTATTTTATTGTTTTATCAGATTGATATATTATAAATTTAGTATATTTTAATATACGACGAAAAATATATTTTCTTTAAAATAATTTTTTCTTTTGTTTCAATTTTGCTTTTTTGTGAGAATAATAGAAATCAAAATTTATTATTATTTTATTAATTTCCAATTTCTATTAAGAATTATCAGAATTTTGTTAGTGTTTTTGTGAATTAATGTGGAAAGAATTTTTTTTTACACTTTTAATCAAAAATATTTTAATTCGATTTTTGAATAGATTTTAATTATTGTTATAAATACAAACAAAACGATTATTTGAACGAAAGTTATAAAATTAAAAGAATTACAATTTATTGTATATTCACGCAATACACGGATTAGAATGAAATATATTTCACGTAGACTTCTATTCATTCAATAAATAATTATAAATCAATCAGTATGATAATGAATTGATTTAATAAAATGCAATATTGCAGAAGAGTGTGAAACAGATGTAAACAATGTATTGCTATTATTGTTGGGATGTGCAGTTCACGGTGAACAACGTGGTAAATTCATTGAACGTATCAAACGTATGGAAAATGAGCTACAAACAGCACTCATAAATCAAATTAAAAAGGTCGTCAACTCTTGTTATAAATTATCATTTATTTTCAGCGTAATTGGATGGCACAAATATGAAAGATTTACTTTGATTACATTTTTTATCATAATGAAAATATAGTAAATTCATAATATCATTTATGGAAGTCAAATTATCAACGATAATGCTAATTTATGGATAACATTGATATGCTAACCAAAATTTGCATATCAAAGAAATACTTGCGCAAGCATTACATTTATAATCGCAAGTGCATATTTCCATTTACAATATAATCTATTTGATTGCATTTGTGAAAAGAAAAAACTTCAAAGTATTTTATTAGGATCCATTCTATTGGTGGAAAAAAATCCGCTCGCTCTTGTGCGACAAGTGCGCTTATTCTATTTTTTGTATATTTTATAATAGCAAATCGATATCTTTTTGTTACTTATTTGTTTTTGTAAAATTTAAAGTGATTTCTAATTTCTTTTTCTCTTATATTATTACTTTAATGCAAACCAAATAATGTTTACAGCTGGGCAGGGAAATTACAGTACATTTGATCTTTTCCTTAATAACATATTTAATCTTTTGTTTTTGAACAAAAAAAGAAAACTACGAAGTGATTAATTTCTCTCTTTTTTCTCAGCTAAAAAAGCAAAAGTTTTTGACTAATGTTTACACTCATAGGCAATTGAATATCGAAATTTTTGAATTTTAATTTGAAAGAGAATATTTTTGGAGGATTAATTAAATTCAGAAAATGTTTACGTACGAATTACAAATCAATCTTAGCAGTAGAAAAATTGTGATTTTATTTGATAACCACATGTCGGACAATTTCAACAATTCAGCTATTCAAAAATTATTTTCAAGATCACAATCTTATTTTAAACACAACTATACATTTAAAATGATGTAATTTAGGTAGCGGAAGAAGGTGACTGCGTACTTAACGTCCACGCTCTAGAGTTAATTTCAGTGGACGACCAAAAAACAACGATACTGGCTCATCTAGAAAGTGTAATGAAAGAGCGTGATAGGTACGCCAATCGATTATACGAAATGTCCTGTGAACGAGTCAGTTTTATTCCACAAATTTTAATTAAAAATTGAGGAATTTCTTTTTTTATTTTTCATTTAGGAAAATTAAAAGTATAATTCAAAATAGAAAGGAATTAAAATATCGTTTATTTCCGTGCTGATTCCATGGTTATCTTATTTGAATGATATTCTCAATGCGGAATATATGCCATAAGCCATTTTTTAATTTCTATCCTTTTATTAAAATATCAAATTTATCTTTTGAACTTTTTTTTTTTGTTCATTCCAATCATTAGTTGCATTGTAGGAAAGTGATGAAAACAGTACGACCGCTGGCTCTTCATCAGTTTCCAGTGAAATGATAAGGACAATAAAGCAGCTATCGGAGAATAGTTGTGGTATGTGATATCATTTATCACTTAGACATATAACAGTGTTTATCGTACATCCAATTTTCTGCATACCATTTTTAAATCATTCGTTGTTTTTTCCAAATTATTGAAGAAAAACGTTGCAGAAGATCGTATTCCTTCACCCACTACAATACAAAGACATGCAAATATTGAACTTGCATCTGCAAAAGCTGAAATCCGAAAGTTAAGAAATATGATGTAAGTGACGTTTACGTTAAAGCATTACTACTTCAGAATCGCTTGAAAATATTTTAGAAAAAAATTGCTGAAATGACACATTTCAGAATTTCTTAAATATAAAGTGTTTTACATATCCATATTTGCTAAGCAAAATTTTCTACATTGTATTTCATGATAACGAAAGCATCACTTAACATATTTTCATTCTTTGAAATGAAATTGAACTTTAAACGATTCAAGTTGAACTCTATGCATCTTGCGTATATTTTAAGCATTATAGTTATATCCTACTGCATTCCTCAGCATTGAAAACAATTCTACTTTTGATTAATTTATGTAAAATATAGAAATCTTCAATGAAATCTGTTATTTAATTTTAATTCCAATTCCATATTTAAAATATTCCATCGCGGATACAAACAGAAATAGTTGTACAATCAGATTTTATTTTCAAGCATTAATTATGGAACAGAAAACTATTTAATCGATTGATTGGTGGCATTTTTGGAAAGAGTGCAATTAGTAAAATTGTTAATTGTTTATATCATTTACTTAAAGTAAAATAAAATCCAATAATATTTAGAAGAGTTAAGAAAACATTGTTAGTAGGAATTTAAATGTAATAATAGCTGCCATTATCTATTTTAAAACTTTTATTGGAGACAGTCTTACTTTTCTATTTACGTAATGGCATATTCTCTATCAGATCACTTTGAAATAACATACTTTTGGTCTTTTTTGGCCTAAGTAAGATTACAAAAAAGAAATTAAGCATTCATAAAGTCAAACAATGTATCTTCACGCATGCGAACGAACTATCTATTCTAGGCCATATATTTTCAATTGATATGAATGATGATTTATATAATTAAGATTAACTACTACAGGATTAATTAATGAATGATACAGGGAGGAACGAGATGAGACGATCGCAGAGTTAAAAGATGAAGCGGAAGCTCGTGAAGTGGATATTCTAAAAATGCAACAAGAACGATTGGAACTTATAAAAGATGCTCGTGCAGCAAAGGATTATCGTGATGAGCTTGAATGCCTGCAACATAAGGTCAGCTGCTATTGGGCGTACTTGTTAAAATATTGTGTTGTAATTATTTCATTAATTATGTTTGGGCAAATTCTAAATCTCTTACTTTCTTTCTTAATTTCCCTATCATCCAAATTTTCTGCAAAATTTTCGCACTAATTACATAAAAATGTTTATTAGAGCTTATTTGTGTGCAAGAAGTTAGTACATAATTTGAAATTAGTGTAGTACCATTAGTTAATATATAATTTTAAATTAACATATTGCCAGTAGTTGCTCGATCATTTGCACATTTGTCTAGTTCGAATAAGTTTTGTGTTCAAATGTGTTAAATGATGAGATTTCAACAACATTTCAATTTTGTGAATTTCAGTTAGCAAATTATGATAAGCTAGAAGCTGATAATGGCAAATTAAAAGAGAAATTGTCAGATTTAGATTTCTTCAAGTCTCGAGTAACGGTACGTTTCTTTCGTTGCATAGAAATTAAAATTTTTGCTAAATTTAAAAAATTTTTCTTCCAACTATAATATTTCAATTTCAAACTTATTCATTTATTTCTTCTCACATTAAGCCTGCTTTTAATTAGAAACTTTTAATTAGAATATCAGAAATTAAATTGATATGATTTAAAAAATATTTCAATTAATGCAATACGATATTAGTTTGATTTATTAATATTTGCATTAATAGGATTGCTTTTTCTTTCTTCGAGTTTAAAATTAATGAAAAAAGTTTAAATTAGCTTGCCTGATAAGTTTATCATTTGTTACACTTTTGATTATTTAATTTTATTCATATTGACTAACCCGAACTTTTTCATTATACAGCAATTAAAAGAAGAAAATGAGATAATGCAAGAATCGTGCTCGGTATTGGAAGATCAACTTGAACAGTGTCAACGGAAAGTTTCAAATCATATTGATATGGAAGCAAAATTAGCTGATTATCAAGATCAAATAAAACAATATCTTGCCGACATCACTAAGGTTTATTTTTACAAAAAAATGAGATGAAATGAAATGATAATTTCTTCGTTAAATTACACCTTTAAGGAATTTTTTATTTATTATTAAGTGGAATATACTTATGGTATGAAACTTTTTGAATTCATATATATCTTTTTCAGAATTTCGAAAAATTTTTTTGTATAATTTTGTACTTTCTTTGAAACTTTAGGATCGGGAGAAAATTGAGCATTTATTAGTGGAAAATGGCCGTTTGGAAAGAGAACTGAAAAGTGAACAACAAAAAAGTTTAACATTAGAACGAAAAATGGAATGCATGAATGAGGAGGACAAACATAATCTGCCAGAGAACTTCGGATCGTTGGGTAGTCAAATGGCTGATGATGATAAAAAACGAATTTTAGAATTGGAATTAGAAAATAGGAAATTGAGGACGAAACTTGAGAATCATAAGTGAGATCTCTAACTATTTTCTTCATTTGAAATTTTAATTAAGAGATTTAATCCTCTATTATTTTCAGCTTAATAAATTTATTGTAATTTATATATTTCAGTTTTTATATTGAAAGCTTTATAATGCAAAACTTCAACATAAAAAATCGAATACATAAATTGGTTGACAGAATTTATGTTGTTTTTTCATATATAATCTTATTGAAATTTTACATTAAATAAAATTTTGCAAATGGTAGCCAGGAGATTTTTGCTAAATGAGAAGTAAATAATCTTTAGTTGGAAGTTTCCCAATTAAATCTCATTTAACAAATTAAAAGAATTTCCAAAACTTTTGCATTTAGTAATTGTGAAGAGTTGGGTGAAATTCATGCGAAATTATTGCGAACTGAAATAGAACTGTCGGAAAAGAAGGAGCAATGCGGAATATTAGATCAAGAAGTCCAACGGTTCCAAATGACTTTATCAAAAATTACTTCAGAGTATCAAAAGGTACCATTTCTCGTGCTTTTCTTGTATCTCAATTGATAACAGATAAAATGATAAACTTTCATCAGATTGAATTGCTTGCATTAAATATTATAAGAGAGTGGTAAATTTTAGATTTTATAAAATTAAAGAATATGAAATATTCATACTATAAATTTATATTAGGAAACAAGAAATGACAGTTATTTGCAAATGAATCATTTGTGTAATAATATTACGCCTTCACACAATTGTTGGCGTTTAATGGGTACTGTCATTTTATTTCAATCTTTTCAAGAAATCTTATAGTTGTAGAATTGATACAATATATTTTTTTTAATGCTTTAATTAATTTTTTTATGGAAATGAAAGTGAAAGAAATTTGTAGACTTGTGATCTATGCAATACGTTGGTAATGGAACGAGATTTAGCACAACAGAATTTGCAAGAAGCAAGAAAGAAATTTTCCGATTTTCAAAATGAACAGAAAAATGATTTTACTGAAACGGTATTGAGATTAATGAATGTTTTTTAGATTTTTGGATTCGAAAATTTAATTAATTGTAAATCAATAAATTATAATTAATTAATCAATTCTAAATCACTTATAATAAATGAATATGTTATATCGAAAATTTTAATATCGGATATTTCAGATTTAGTGTTTCAGAAAGAATTTTTTTAGATTTCGGAATTGCAAGAAACTTTAAAAACTAAAGAAGAAGAAATCAATTCCTTACGAAAGGTGAAAATTCAGAAAGATGAAGAACTGAAGAAAGCGCTCGAAAATGGACAAATATCGGCAATTGATACTGAAAAACTAAAGCATAAATTAAAAGAGATAGAGCAAACTGCACATAATTTAGAAAAGCAGAAGAAATTATTGGAAAAAGAACGAAACGCTCAAAAAGTTCGTGCGCTTCTCAAATTTCCTAAAATTATCGAATTATCGATTTTCGTTACTAATTTTTTGAATAATTCATTGTAACTCATAAATTAGTAATTAGTGGTAGTAATATTTGTAATAAATTAGGGCATAAGTATTAATAATAATGTAATATTGATAATTCAAAATATAACAGAGTTAATTGATAAATTTTATCTAATTTTTTAGTTTGTAAAATTAGCAATAATAAAGTTAGTTAAATTTTTCAAACAACAATCAATTCTAGTGCTTCTGAGGGTTAGCCTGAATACCTGTTATTGTTTTCTTTTTAAGTTAAATGATCTTCCTATCAAATATCAATTTCCTTCTCAATTACATATAATCCAAATTCGATATTTTTGTTTCACATCGCACTTTTTGTTATATTTCTTCTAAAGGATTAAATTCAATTTTGCAAGAGAATTTTGAATTTAGGAGCTCAACGAACGACTTGAAGGATACGTTGAAGAGAATAAATTGAAGGTAATGAATATGGCAAGCATTCAGAAAAAGTTAGAAACTTGTGAACGAGTAACAATGGAAAGTCGAAGCCGAATAAATGAATTGGAAAGTGAAAATAAACAGCTTAATCGGCAGGTACTCTTTTTTAAGTGTTATTTGATAAATTTAAATTCATCTGAGAGGTCCTTATTATTGGAAATCTAAAACTTCAAATTCGAATTAACTGAAAGGCTTTTTTATTCATTATAGGATGAGAATTGCATAAAATGATCATTGCCGCTACACTGCAGAATTTTAAAATATCACTCATATCCGAAATTCATCCTAAAATTTAGGTGGCATAAAATTTAGTGCCTTATTTATGATTTATTTAAACCTGCCTGATATTAGATATCTAATTTAATTGAAATTTCGAATTTATTATTTTATTTATTTCATAATGCTTGTAGCAAATCTAACGCTATTAAAGAAGCTCTAATTCTGTTTAAGTTCACAAAATTGTATTTAATGTTACTGAGTTGGAGGTGAAATTAAGTTAATTCATTTATAGCTTGAATTGGAGCTCAAAAAGATGGATCGTTTGCGAGAGGATTTGATAGCTGTGAAATCACGATGTAGTGATTTGATATCCCGATTACGTTCAATTTGTGTATCAATTCAGCTGAACGGTGGTAAATGTGAGATGCAAATGATACAATCCATTGATGATGATTGTGATGGTGTTGATGATGAGAGAATTATTACAATTATCGATGATGTTATCATGAAAGCACTTACAACTGCAAAACGTGAAGCTGATACCCTAAGATTACAGCAGCATACACAAATCGCTGAATTAAATGTTCTGAAGGAGGATATTGAGCGATTAAGGTTTGTAATTGAAGTGCTTTTGTTAAGATTCAGAAATCATTATCAAACTGAACTACAGAATATTTTTGATATAAAAGTTGTATAAAGCTTTTCTAATACATATAGGCGGTTTACTTAAGGCTTATTATAACATACTGAAGTGAATTTCGTTTTCTTCTTAACCTTTCGCTAGCAAAAATATTTTTGCCAATTATTTTAATGTGAATATTTTTTATTCAATAATAGTTTGTTGATAAATTTGGAATAGTTATGATTAATTATATCTTTTTACTTTTTGTAAAACGTTCTCAAATTTATGTTCTTTACTTTGACTGTTTTTCTCTTTTAATATTTTAAAGAGTATGAGAAATAAATTTTTAAGATATTCCATTCTTCCATTTCATATTTACTATTTAAAAATATTCCTTTGATGAAAATTTAACTATCGTAATATCATTCAAAAATTAGTTTGCTTATTCCTTCTTAATCAAATACTTAACTTACTTCAATGAATTATGTAAAAAAAATGAATAAGAAGATTAATATATTCAATACTGTATAAAATTTATGCTAAAATCAAATATTGCTCCCAGAACTTATTCAAACTATAAGCTTTTCACCAATGGCTAGCAATATTGTTTACAATTTCTCGTATGCTTAAAAAATTTTATTGACTTATGATAATGAAACTTATTGATTTAAGATATAAATTTCATTGCAATATCACCTATATTTCAATGCGCATCTTCTAGCATTTCAAAGTATGCATCATTGTAGAAAACTGTGACCCATTAAAAAGGATTAAAATGGATATTAACCCAAGTAAAAGCTCTGCCATTATTCATTCATTTAATTTTGTCTATCTTTTTTATCAAATCCTCAGTGATTGGTCATTGAGTAGCAGCTCCTTATTGCTTTGATTTTTTCTTATTAATCATACTTTATTTCTTGACCATTCATTCTCATTTCTTCTTGACCTCTTTTTATCTCTATCAAGAAAATTTCTTTTTGTTTAATGTCTACTATGTTATGATAACTATTGATACATTAATTCATACTTTCTCGCTTTATCACTTTCCAACATCGTTACTTCTCTAAACTATTTCTAACGAAACAATAATACATATTTGTGAGTTTTCTTCCAATCAAAATTCAATCTTTTATGTTATTAATTTTTTTTCTATATTAATTACTAGTAACGAATGAAAATTTCCATCCTTTTTACTTTGATAAAATTTCAGTGGGATAAACATAAATATATATGTATCATCGGGGATTACTTTCCCGGATATAAATAATGCTGACCCTAGAAAATTCCTATTATTGATAATTGCTAGTTATTTGATGATGTGATATATGCTTTTTTACAAATCAGTCTACTTTCCATCTTTGTCCTTCAAACATCGCCACAAATTATTTCCTCCAAACACATTCACTTGACCTTCGTCACTATAATAATAATCAGTAAATCATTTCATCCATTCCTACTATCGTTTCTTATTTTTATTTGTTAGAGTTATTAAATTTGAGTAGTCTTATGCCCAATGATTGACCAAATTCTATTCTGATTTCCTCCAGTCACCACTGACGACCGCTACCTTTTGGCTTGATCTTTGAGGTCACTCTTGTCATTCTATATCATTTGTTTATTCAAGTACTACGCAATTTAACGAGTCCAGTTTTTAGTAATATTCTAATTTAAGATCTGATAAATGCAAAACAGGTGAGAATTCTAATGAAATGTTTATTAATCTTTAAATGGATATGATATTATTCATCTCATTTTATAAAAGCATTCAGAGTTATGCTTTTTCTTGTATTTATGAATTCTATAAACTTTTAAACATAGGACTATTGTAATAGCCTAATTATTTGCAAACGGATACCACTAAGTAAAATTTCAGACAATCGGAAAGCGATCTGAACGAAAACGACGATCGTTTACGACAATTGACTACAGAAAATAAAAATATCAAAGAGCAGGTGTGCATAAGGGATGAAAGTTGTACTATTTAGAGACTTCATAGATTCAGTAACAGAGAAGAAAATATATGTAATTTTTTGCAATTACAGGTATTTCTTTTGCAAGAACGAATTCGTGAAATGGAGCAAGAAAATTCATCCAAATGCAGTGAAGTGACATTACTGAAAAGAGAGCTGGAAGAATTGCAACAAAATGCTGTAAGTTGTTTACGTATATTTGAATTGATACTCATTTTATATTTATCATTTTAAATTTTATATTTATCATTTTATATTTATTTAAATATATTATACATTATTTAATTCATAACTTATAACTTAGAATTTCAATTTACAAATTAGAATTTGAATCCAAAATTTTTGACAGATAATGTATAATATATTGTAATCATTCTTTTGCCATTTTATTCTGTTAATTTATAGTTTATCGATGAAATCTTATTCAAAATATCATATCTTCACAACTTTTTCCAATAGTAATTAATGTATTTTCAATTTTAAAAAATCTCAAAAATGTGTGGAATTTTTTTCAAATATCAATAAATATAAACTTCATTTTTATGGTAAACAAAAGAATCATTAAGAAATGTAAAAATAAATAGAATGGAATTTCGAGGAATCAATTGACAAATTAAATAATAAGTAATGAACTGCTTAATCTTTATCAGAGTCTTCAAGGGGAGATTAGCAATGAAGATATCTATAGTTGTGTGATAAGAATAAACTTAGTGATAATGATGATCATGCCTTTGCAACGACATTTCTCTTCTCTGAACTTCTTCACAAATTATTGTAACAATGTGTATGATGATTGCATGATATGACCTTACTATTATTATTATTTATGCTAGCCATTACTGCTATCGTTATCAATGACCTATGAAGAAGTTCATAAATCTTATCATTATCTTTATCAGGTATACTGATAAAGATGATAAGATTTATGATATTATTATATTATTACTCTCTGCCATTATCGTATAAACATAGATGAGAAATCATTTATGCATTTAATTTAGCATTCATTGACATCCATTTTTCCTAACATTATCTTTTGAGTTATATTTATTCAATTCATTTATTCATTTTCATTATGAATATATTACTGTCATATCTTTGCTGCAAAATTTGTAATTTATTGGCAGTATTGCATTAGGAACTGGGAAATCTTGGCTGCAAGATATCTTGCTAAATGATTGCCATTAGAAGTTTTATTTTTATTGTTGTGAATTTTAGGCAAGCCGAAGTAAATTGCATACAGAACTTGCTAAGCTTCAAGTTTCCGTACGAAATCTTCAACTTCAGGTTTGTCTGTACTAATGCTGACAGTTTCATCAATAGAAATGTCAAAAAAATTTATCAAAAATCATTAAAAATTTCAAAAAACTACCAAAGTTTAATTTATTATAGGAAGAGCTATTGAGGCAAGACAATACAGAAATGCAAAAACAACTTAAAATTTGTGAGAAAGAAAAATTAGCCACAAAAACTGATTTCGTAAGTTTTAAATCTCATCGAATTTTGCTCAGACTTACTTCTTTCTAATTTTTTTTCTTCACAGGTAATTTTTTCGTTTTTATTGCTTTGAATGTTATTCTAAATGAAAATAAAAAGTGCAGAAAACTTTCAGGAATCGTTGCAATCAATGCATAGTGCACTTCTAATGGATCACGATCGTTTGCAAACATTGCATGACATGCTTAGTGCTGATTATGATCGTGCACAATACGATAACACATTATTAAATATTAAATTGAAGAATCATAAAGTATACTTTTGAAATGAACTAAATTTAGGAGTTTTTTTCGCAATTTTAGTTTTTCATTCTACGGAAGGAAAATTTGCTAAAATTGTGTTTTATAAGAAAACAATTTCATTTATCATTTTAATTTTTCCTTTTAAAATTATAGGGAACTGCAGAGGAAGTTTTAAATGAACGTCGACAATTCGAGAAATTAAAATTAACAGTTGCAGAGGAACATGAACGACGTGATCATGAAGTACGAATAATGCGAAATGACATGATGACACTACGTAATAATTATGAACAAATACGGTGAATATTCTTAAGGTTAATTTAAAAAAAAATTTTTTAATTAAATTTAAATCATTTTACTTCTCATTTTAAAAATCAAATTTTGAAGGAAAGATAATATTTCGTTGGTACATAAGGCACAGCTTAATGAGGACGAATTACGGAAGCTTCGATTTGCTGAGCAAAATCAACGCGCAATTAGTGGGCGTTTGACGGCGCAAGTTGATGATTTACAGCGAAAGCTACAAGCTCGAAATTTAGAAATCACTGAATTACTTCAGAAAATTGAGGTACTAATAAAACTTATAGCGGAGGTTTCCTTTAATTTCAAATTCCAATGGTTTTGTTCTTACTAAAAATATAAATTATATGTTTTAAATTTAGCGGATAATAAAATTTATTGTTATGAGAGTAATTTGAGAATATATTGGAAAGATCATCAGGTAATTAATCACCTGATAATTTCTTTGATTTCCCAACTTCTAATTTTTTGTTTTGTGTTATCTAACTATTATCATTTTCAGTTATTTACATGTCTGAACAAAACGCTCGAGGAAGAAAGTCGCGCTTTGAATCGACAGGTTAATCATCTCTTGGCACAAAATCACGATCTCCTGGGAAAAAAATTGAACAATAAAGATATTATTTATCATAATGCACAAAAAGATTTTCAGGTATTGCTCAAAATTCTTTTGCCATCTGAAATTTCTGTTATATTGTCATTAAACGTTACGAATAAATCTGATAAATTCATTTTTAATTTATTCCATTTCTCTTTTTAAACCTATTTTCATTCCATTCTTCCTAAATTTTAATTGTACCTAAATTTTTTGATAATTTTTAGTTTCATAAGAAATTTAAGCAAAAACAAAATTTGTGATGTTAATTTTTTTAAAGGAGAATGTTCTCTTACAAGAGAAATTATCATCATTGAGAAGTGATAAGGAACAATTAGAAGGAAAAATAATGAAACAATATCATATATTGGATAACAGTAAAGGAACAGCCAAAGAAAAGTTGACGTTTTTGGAAGGAACCGCCAAAGCGCTCATTCCCAAGGTATCTAATTAACCTTGTAATGATGATCATATTACAATTTTTATGATTTCATGATCTCTTTGGGTATAACCTTGAGATTGAAAAAAATGATTTTTATCAAATTTTATTTAAAATTTTAGTATCTCTTAGTAGGCAATCGAGAACTGAAATACGTATTTATGATTTTTGTTGTATGAACTACGTTTTTTTATAAATGATCAGGAAATGAGTTCAGGATTTTGGAGAATTTCGAAGAAAAAATCAAAATTATTAACAATTTTCAAAGTTAATTTAATTCCAAATTACTTGTCTGCTTTTATCTCAACTTATTCTTTATACCATCTATTCATGTTGTAGAATCCTGGATCGAATAGCAGTGATATATTTGCTACCGAAAAGTATGTGAATGGTGCTTCTACCGGAGAAAGTAGCGCATATCCGGCAGAAGAATCGTTGACTACAATCGCTACGAAACAAAATTCACCGCTTACAGCGTCAATAAATGGTCAGTTACCAATGAAATATCACGATCGTTCTATGGAAACAATCATCCAAGATAATTGTAGTGGTAGCAGCAGCAGCAGCAGTGACAGTAATTTCAATAAAATTTTATACCTTATTTCGAGGAGAACTCTAAATGAAGACTTAAGTTTCACTATTTCGAAACATTGTACTAGTTTTACTTCAAATGAATGCTGTACTAGTTTTACTTCTAATGATAAGACCCATTTATCTAGGCGATCACCTGATACCATCATTCCTTCGAATTTTTCATCATCTATGGAATATATTTCAAGGTCAGACAGGCCTAGAAGCTTTTATGATAATGTTTGCTAGAAACTTCAGCTTTTTTTTGCTTCCTAGTTAGTGTAAAATTAGCTACAATAATTTGGCCTTTCTGTTCACAATGACTTAGTCTTAGCAAAATAAATAAGTGATGTCACTTTAATTTTAAAGTTCTTTCTCGGATATCTTTCATATTCAGTGATTATATTTTCACATCCAATTTGCATATTCGTTGTTTATTGTTGTGTGATCAAATTATTCAATTCTAACTTGAATTTTTTAAAAATATATTTTAAAATTATCAATTCTATCAAACTAATATTTTTTGAATCAAAAAAATTTGAAATGTGAAGAATTTTCGAATTTAATTGTGAATACAATTCGTAGTGCACGACATGAAATTTAATATCATATTGTCATTTGTTTATAATTTTATTTGCTTTGTCTCATTTGCGCACTTTTGCATGCAGAAATTCTGCACTTATTCCTTACAACACAACACGAGAGAATATTATCTTAAATCACATGCAGTAAAATTATTAATTAGATATATTTTAGCCATTTAGACAAGAAAGGAATAATTTGCTTAGGGGTCAAAAGGGAAAAATAAAATGTAAAATGATCTGACCTGTGTAAGTTAGCATAATATTAATCTTAGATTGATTCTTGTGCTCTGTAGTATATGAAAATGTTTATTTAATGATTTTCATTTATCATAGTAGCACTGTATTTTTGCACTTTGTTTATATGAACTAAATTGAATTTAACCACTGATTAAATTCAAAGTTCTTACTATTGCAACTCTTACTTCGCTACTGAATTTATTGCATTGATTTCAAATTGATTTGGTTGAATCATATTGAAAAATTTTAAGATTGAAATTAAAATTATAAACTGACAAATTTTCCTTCATTAGTACAAAGTACGAATTGATATTGTAAAAAAGAAAAGGTTCCGAATTATTTCTCCCATAGTTAGCAATTTCATATTCATAAGAAAGACATTTATGGCTGTGAACTTATGCCCGCAAACGAAAAATAAATTGATTTTTTAGCAGCGCGCATGACCTGCTTGCTCACCTGTTCATGTCCTAAGGCACTCATTGATATGAGAAATTTAGACGTTGAAGTTAGATGACCTTTTTTTTTACACTCAGCCAAGCACCGTATCAAATTTAGACGTCGAAGTTAGATGAATGACTTTTTTTGCACACAGCCAAGCACAGTTTGTGGCATTATTTATTTTAACAAAAATTGGTATTTTAATTATTTGTCCGTTCATCGGATAAAATCTTACCTTTACAAGTTTTTCAAATATCATAAAAATTACGATACAAATATTATAGTTTTTTAATTACTTAAGTTTATTAGTTCAAAAGATTGAAATGAATCTTTTTTCTAACAAATAAAAGAATATTTGATATTCAGGATACTGCTCAAATCCGGATGATCAACCTTCTAGTTCATCTGGTGAATTAACACTTATCAATAAGGGCTGCGAATTGCAACAAAATGGTAATAGAAATATATTATTTATGCATTCTAGTATATATAATAATATATAATATATGTAATTAATTTATTAAGAGAAAGAACATTTCATCCTACTGATGTTATTTTCAGAATCTCAAACAAGTCCAGAATCCAGAAATAATTCAATGCATTGTTCTCGAACATTCATGAGAAATATTTTTCGTGCTGAATATTCATCATTGCGACGTACAGTTCCATTCAATGAACGATCCATTGATGTTATTAGTTTGAACGGTAATAACTTTTGCACTCTTCCTGCACACTAATAATTGTTGAAATGAATTTAAAAATTTCCTCTTCTCTAGGTTCTGAACGCGGCGTAGATATACCCTCATCAACCCGTACTTTACCACCTCGTCCACCATCTCGATCAAATTCAGCCGGTCGATCCTCGCATAATCGATTACCTCCTCCATCATATCAACCAAAAAATTCCATCAAACATCTAGCAACAAATGCAATCAGCAATAAACCACCACCGCCACCATATAAGGTACAAATTATGGTCAGATCTTTTCACTTATATATTATTAGATAAAAATTATGGAATAGTGAAATCATATACGTCTTATATTATTATCATTTCCTGATACAAAAATTGGGACGGACAAAATGATGTAATTCATTTCATTTCCGGAATTTTAGGCACATACAAAACGAACTATCGAATTTTCACCGAAAGGAACATCAACACCTATATTGGAGCATAATGAATCCCGACGATGTCCAGAAGATGAAAAAGGAAGTAGCATACGTGATAAGGTGGAGCGGAAGGAGAAGACATTAAGTATCTATGAGAATGTTGATCATAATGATGCATCTTTTGGTTCAGAAATTGGTACTGTTTGGTACGAGTATGGATGTGTCTAAAAGTTCCTAGCATTTATCATAAGATCAAGGAGGCAGTCATAGCGTAAGCTATTCAAATCTTTATATCTTATCCCCCCGTTATGCATCTGTAAATGAACTAAATTTAGGTTTTTGTTTAAATCTTAACAACATCTTTTAAATCTTAATTTGAATTTTTAATAAAGTGAATGGAAAGTTGTATCTTTACGCTTTTATGATTTGCATCGAATATGCTTTTTTCCTCCTAAAAAATGTTTCTTAGATTTATTGCCAGTTTATCTAATCATTTACTTCTATAAATTTTCATTACATTTAAACTGTAGTATTTCAAAATTTGAAACTTTTTTTGTTTGAAATTAATATGAAAAAAAAATTTGATATACATTTTACAAGTTATAAGCCTAAAATTTCCTTTGAAATAGTTTGTTCCGGTTGTTCAACTTGTAATTATTGGATTTTCTGATTCCGTCTTCACTACTATTCCGATTATAATTTGCACTGATGAAAGGAAAATGCTTTTGCCAACCGAAGTGTTATTTATATTCGTGTGCTGTAC